CTATAACATAAATGCCTGAACTCAAAAATCCATTCATAAAAAAAAAAAAAGGGAAAAAAAAACGCTAACGGATCTCCAGACCGTTCCGGATAACGATTTTGTTGTTCAGTGTACCTATAATACAATGTACATTATATATACACACGGGTATATATAGGTTAAGTTATAGGTACAGACACGTTTTTTTTTTTCTAACCAGACACTAGTTAATGTAGAGTCGCCTATACACAATAATATTATTATTACTATACACTTATTCACATACTTGTGGCGGTATGTGAAAATACCGTGTTCGGATTATTTGTGGTTACCGTGTATAACCGCTGCATAGCCGAACCGAAAAAAACATAATGCATAATATTAAATAATAGCCCGACGTGTACAAAACTGTATCGTCGAGTGTTTGTTGTGTACTTTCGTGTTTTTTTTTTGATGCGCGCGTATAAAATATAAAACATTACTTTTAAAAAAAAATAATAATATAATAACACTAATATATCACACTGTACCTGTTTTAGATTTTGTATTTGAAAATAATATTGTTAGATTTTTGACTAAACGTACCTATTTACACGTAGTGTTTAAAAAAACGTGTGTATTGATTCGTGTAAAAAAACTACACGTATGGAACGGACAATTGGACAATGGTTGCAACGGAGTATTTAAATGAGGAGATTAGAGAGATAAATCTCTCTGAGAGATATTTTTTTTTTTATGTCTATTATTTATACGGCTACCTATTTATTTTTCAAATTCAAATAACATTACTTTTTAGTCAGGAAAATCAAAAATGTGTCGATATCTATAACTATAGATAACTACAGTTAATACATCAAAATAGGCTGAACGTAGGTACACTTTATCTTATTTAAAACAAAACCTATCCACTATAATACGAAGAAGATTAAATTATTACTCCAATGATAATATGTGCTTATAAATAACACGTATAATAATTTGTATAATACATGTACTAAGCTAAATCGGTCGGTTTGATTTCGATGATAATTTTGGGGCAGATTATAATTTACTTGCAAAAATCTATAAATTAAATTTTTTTTTTTATCCTATGTAATACACAATTTCCAAATTCAATATCTCCCTCCTTAGCAAAATCCTAAATACGTCACTGAACGGTTGAACAATATTATTCGGTCCGACTATCCGTGTGTTCCTCATTAGACTCGATGATCAATCAAATTAAAGAAATCTTATGTACTCATTTAATCGTAGATGTAAAATTCACATCTGAAATCGTTGCTTACTTTCAATCAACACACATAATAAATTACTCTTTCATACTGGACATTAAGTATTACATTGGCATTCGTTAAAACGAAAAATGTATTTATATAGTTATTTGAAATTTTCTATTTTTTTTTCGGTTGTAGGTATATAAACAAAAATATTTTGACTACGCATAAACACATAGATGGTTGCAAATTTAATATAAAACGTATCATAAGTTATACTTGGTGGTCAAACGAAAAGTTTAACTCAATATCTTAATTAATATATTATTTATAAAGGCGTTTTACGTTCAAATTTATGATATTACTCGTTGATAACTCAAACAATATTATAAATAACCTACTCTGTAGTTACAAAATAATAAAATATGTTCAATTTAAATTTATCGAAAAATGTGCAACCGAACACCGTTTATTAGAATCGGTTTTCGTTCGCAATGATTTATCGTTTTATATTCAGTAAGTAAGTTAATCCTAACTTCCTAACTTTTTTTTTTATTATTTTAATAACAATTCGGTAAATATTTTACGCGTGAATACTTCCGGAATATTTGTTTACTCTGAGAGCCAACGAAATTCCCTGCGAAACGATGTTTGACATTAAAAAAAATACAAATCATTATTACTAGTGCAATAAATTATCCTATATTTAAAAAATAAACCGTTCTTGCGTATCCGCTAACAAGTACTAAACCTATATAGTATTGCATGGTTATAATACAGTCGTTATTCGATTCAGCATTCAGATAACGGGTTTTAATCATACCCCACTACGTATAATAGGATATTTTATCCGAACACAATGTTCTCCGTTTTAGCACAGATGGACTGTAATTAATTTGACGCATACCGAGAGCACTAAGGTATAATACAATATCGCCCGGCTGCAGAACGAGAATGTAGAAATGGTCCGAGATCTTTTTATTTTTTTGTCATATTACACTTAAAAAATAGATACAATTCCGTATATATATTTACAGTTTTTTCCCAGTTAGTTTTATACACTGGACCGAGGACTCGGAAATCAGAGTATTGTTTTATTGACGGATTGAAGTGATTAAAATTATTAAGTTGAATTTCAATACGAATTGCTCCACATCCTTGTAAGAGCAGGAGGGTGGTGTTCATTTATTAGCTTTAAACATCCCAACAGTCTCACCGAATGAAGCCAGAGAGATTAAATTTGGATCTTTTTTTCAGAAGCAGTACACTTTTTATATTGTATCATTATAATATTCACAGTTAATTACTGTTTTACATAGAATATTTATGTGACACAAATGAAGCGGGAAATAGTTGGACTCAGTGTAGTGATGGAACTGTCTACTGCTTACAAGTATATTTTTTTATATATATATTTTTTTTTCAATAGATTTCAAAACTCCTAGTGTTATATATAGACGATGTTAACTAATGGGATTTATTTTGATATTTTTTTTAAAAAATGCAAAAAATGTACGTAGGTACCTACGCGTTTCTAAGAGGAAGAGTGTTTTCTGTAGAACTCAAAAACGTTTTTATAGCGTGATGTTTAAAGCGTTAAACTTGTCAAAAAACGATTGATATTTGAAAACATAGCTTAACGAAAAATGGATAAACGAAAAAAATAAAGTATCACAAAGCGAAAGTAGAAAGAATAATATTTTAATATAGCGATTTTTAATTAAAAGGCTACTCTCAATGTACAGTGACGTAATCATTTGGGGGAGGGGATCTGGACGCACATCCCTCATTGGCCTTTTTTGTTTTTTATTAAAGTACTATGTACATTACCCATATCGAATACTACGCATGAACACATTTTCCCTACTTTGAAGAGGATCAAAACATACTCGCGGAATACGATACCAGAGATATATTATTTCATAGTTGAAAATATAGATAGATATTATACAAACATTGCACACCTAATAACAGTAAGAATTAAATATTTTGTTCATTCAAATCGATTTAATGGATAGACTATATTAGCAGTCCGTATAGAAATGTACTGATATGTCGAGAATACGCAAGTACTGAATAAAATGGCTCTGAAGCCAAGAAGAATTTGTTTCATAATTAATATTATTCAATTTACCAATTATCTCTTAATTGTCTTGTTAATAATATTATACTTGTAATAATATTTTTTTTCTAAATCTTACCCCTCCCCCACTTCTGAAAATAAGCCTTAACTAATAATTTCATAACTCCACCCGTTTTGTATACAATTTTAAGAATGTGTTTATACCTACCCATGACCTAGACCAAATTACGCCAACTATAATTACTGTATAGTGTATATAGATTATAGACATTATAATTCAAATTACGCAAAACTTGAAACGATTAACGCAAACATAACATAATGTTTTAATTTTAAATAATGTTTTTCGCAAAAATCGTAAAACGTTTTAAATCGAAATAATAAATATGATAAATATGAATAATAATCGAAATAATTACGCAAAACAAGCGAAAGTCTCATATCGTTTTAAAACGAAATAACATAAAATAACATTTTAGTTTTTGTTTTAGATTCTGATTCTGACGTTTTTTTATCTGTGATAAAACAAATTTTCTACCAAGAATTTTTTTCCGATTTTCAAGTGTAACACCTTTTCCGAAAAGGAATTTGAAAAAGGTGGCACTTTAAGGTTAGGTTATTTTTTGATTTTCCCATGGGTTTTCATAATGAATGGGAAAAGCCAGAAAAAAATAGAAAATATCGGAAAATTTACGAAATGTATTATTTTCAAATCGTAAATTTTAAAGCCTTTAAAAACATGGAACACCGACCTCCGCTCAGAATCGTTTTTCGTTAGCAATGATTATTCATTGCGTACAGATATGCATTGAATTTCTCTCTACTTTCCCAACGTCTTACCTACTACAGTGGCCCACCTCGTGACCCACATCGTGGGAAGTATATACGTTTTTTTTTTTTTTTATATTATTATTATTGGAATTTCATAATATTTTAACAATTTATGAATTTTTTTTTTTTTTATCAACTTTACGTTTAAATAATTTAAGTTTTTTAATTAATTTTTTACTTTTACTATAAACAAGATTTTAGTTATTATAAGGCTAGTTATTTGAGCACTTATATAGTTGCGATACTTGGACGAAAACTAAACAGACGGAAAAGATTCAAGCCCGTTTCATCGTTTAGCCGACATATTATACGACCGAGTGCGTTGTTATTATTATTTCGATATGGATACCTACGGAGATTATTACCGATACCTACGGGTGTAAAATTACATGTTTACCGAATGTCCGGAATTTGGCGATGCGTACCTTTCCGTAAACGGATAAACGTGACGACCGCGATGGGTAAACGTGACGGCCGACGACGAGACGGGATATTATAAAAATAATAATAACATTATCCTATATCTATTTAGGATGGAGGACAAAAGGGGAAACGCGCGCTACACCGCACCGCACGCGTTCATGAATGGACCGGACAGACCGACCGGGTACGAACGCACCTTTATTTCGAGCCCCGCATCGGAACCGGTTACCCGGAGCGTTGTAGGTAATTCCCACAGACCGGACGGACCGTTGACGTCGTCGTCGTCGTCGTCGTCAGTATACGCTCCGTCCGACCGCCGCGGTGGTGTTTGTTGTGCGCGCACGCTCACTCGCTCGTCCGTGTTTTCGGGTTTTTTTTTTTTGTCTACAATTAATTTTCCCCCGGTGTCCGCCGCACGTTGTCGTCCGGCCAACTCGCGTGTGCGTAAACCCGACGAAAAATGGCGTGAAATGGGCGGCATTACGGATTGCCATCCGGCTTGGACAGGTGTACGGTACCGAAAGCTCGCACACCACAACAATCCCACCGACGGATGTTTGTCTTTTTCCTGTTCCGGTTGCGGCAGCGTGCAAATGTTACAGGTAACCGACCGCCGCCGACCCCTATAATGGCTTCTTCGCCGTCCGCGTTACCGTCCGACCGGGTAGTGTTCCGAAACCTGATTTTTCGGGACGTAACGCAAAAACGAACGCGTAGTATGGCCCGGGTATCTACCGGGACGTATACCTCTTAATTCGAAGGGAGGGGGTAGAAACCGTGACGGTCGTATACAAACACAATAATAATATTGTACACTCCAGTCAAACGTTCCGCCACACACATGCAGGAGTTTTTTTTTTTTTTCGTAAAACACCTTATACACCGTCGCATTCCGGCATTACCGAAAATTTAATTTTGATCGATCGCATTTGTTTTTTTTTCCGTTTATTCTACACAACGAAGACCCGGTGGTCACGTGCGTATAATTACAATATGTATTACAGAATGATATTGTCCGTCGTCGGGCGCGGGCGGTAGGTGTATACAGTAGGCACGTCGAACTTACGACACTCGATAGTTTTCTTCGACTCGTAATAATAAATTGCGCCGCGATATTTATTGGCAAAGGCCGTTACCGCGGTCACCGTCACGTTATGGGATTTTCTCCGGCCGTACGTCTTTATGGACATGCATGAATAATAGCCGTTCAAACTGCATCAGCTGTAGAGAGGACGCTACGCTTGCCCGCACGCGACGTCTCCGTGCCACGAACGTGCGACACGGCGAAATTGGCGTTCGCGCGGTACAGCTGTTTCGACATTAGAGCAGCGCTCAAATTGTCCTACAACATATTCCAACGACGCGGACATTGGCCGTGCGACGACGGCGCTATTTTCACGATATTTCGATTCGTCCATATTATAGAGACGAATACGCCGATGTGGAATATCGCGATTCTCTCACCGTTCGGAAATCAAAACGAATCGTAAAAATATCGCCGTCACACGCGGCAGTGACCGGACGGTGCCGTGAACGTTCCGGGATTCCGCCGGCCGCGGTTTCTATTTACACTGCGGGTCATTGTTTCCATCCGGCGTTGGGTATAGCGCATTTTATAGCTTAAACTGGGAAAATTCAGCACCTGCCTGACTAAAAATCACGGCCGCGAAACGTGAAAAATATCGTCCGAAGACAGAAATCGTGTCACGCGCCGGACGAATAAAATCAACGAGCTTAAATCGGCTTAAACTTCGAGAATATTATTATTATTATTGTAATTAAGCTCGCAGGCGGAATCTCGGAACGGTCGCGGCACTGCCGTGTGTAAAAAAGGCCGCCTCGTTCCGTGTAAATATCGTTAAAATGTCTCGCCACAATATTCGATATCCGCTCTTGCAGCCAACGGCGAAAAGTTCACTGGCCGTCGCGGTTTGTACGCGCAGACGACGGGGAAACGGCGCGGCGCGTCCTCTAGAATTTCGCCGACGGCCGGGTGTTCTTCTTATTGAGCGATTATTATTATCAGCGAGCGTAATATTCCGGATACTCCGATAAACCGTTTTTCGTACAAATATTTGACCGTGCGAACCGGACTTGAATTTGCATATTGTTAATCCTGCACAGGTCGTCGGGCGTTTTATTTTTTATTTTTTATTTTTTTTTTTTCACATATTATAACTGGTCTGCCGCGCCGCAAAATCGGTTCGTATGCGATTTCGCGCGCGTTCAGCTATTTTACAAACAATGCGCACCTACGTGTATGCTTTCACCGAGCACCGGTGCGGTTTCCGAACGGTAACCCCGTAATCGCGGTATCGGGACTAGGAGATTTCAGAAGCGTACAAAAAAAAAAAGAAAAGAAAAGAAACACAATTTCTACAAAAAGCCTTTGAGAAAACGCTCGCACTACGGTATTCCCGTCGCCGTCGTTATTATTTATTATGCACGTTGTTTTCGCGTTCGGCCACAGCATACGGCGGTGGAGGGGAGGAGGGGGGGGGCAAAGTAAACCTAAAACGATTTATTATGTACGCGAGTCTAATAACGACAAGTGCACGAGTGTACGATGTAATATTAAACGGTCTGGGAAAACACGGTTCTTTGGAAAATAAAAAAATCCGTCGAGAGTACAGTCCGATCAAAGTTTGTTCTTGGAACGGTCGCGCGTGTCTCGCATTAGAGGCCAATTTGAAAATGCCGCGATCAGTGTCCCTAAACTCCGTAACAACAGCCCGGGGGTAATTTATCGTTAAAACGGATATTGTTTCAAAGTGCGACCCCGTTAAAACATTACGGTCTTGTCGAAATATTATTATAAACAGGTATACGAAGAACACATCTGCTAATGTACGATTTACGAAACGCGTTACAAACAATCGCGTTTTATTATTAATATCGTATTTTGTTATTAATATTTTTTATAAGCAATCTTTATTTTACAGTAGAATTATTTTAATACGTGAAATTATACGGGGGGGGAAGGGGAACGCTTCTCAGATTCCCTAACCAGATGGTCGTTTGCAGGTTGACTCATCGTCGCTATCCGACGACATTCTTTATACGTTATATAAGCGTCGGAAGTGCCTGTTTAGTACGTATATAACTAAACTTTAGTATCGTACGTTTTTTTAATTGACGCCTGTTTTTTCTCGTTATTTATAGTATACGCGTACGTTTGTTGTTGTTTTTTTTTTTTTTATTATTATTTGCATATATATTATATAAAATGTGTATAAGTGATTTGAATTTGTATTTAAAAAACAACCGATACTGTTGACGGGCGTGCCGCTGTTATAATAGGCGAAAAGATGGAAGGGCGGGATTGAAAAAGAAAAAAAAACGCCAAGTGATGATTAACCTCGGGTTCAATAAATTTCCAAACGTTTCGAACAAAACAATTTGATCCGTATGAAAATCAAATAACGTTTTGAACATTTTAGCAATAGCTAATCCGGCATAAATTTCGGGATTAGTTTTAATCGAATTCATAATGAAAATAACAGAAACCGAGTGATTGCGTAAATTTTCCCGCTTTTCCTAGATTTTTTGTCTTCGGTTTTTTCCAAATTGTTAAGAAAACTACATGGAAAATCAAAAAATTACCTACGCAAAACACGGTGTTTAGAGCAAGATTTCTAGTAGAAAAATTCAACAGATACAAAAAAAAAACACACATCATTGTAAAATATATATATTTCTCGCTGCGCTCGGAGTCTTAAACACGTCGAAAACTCTGGTTTTAATGTTTTATAATATATAATATAATATGCGTACATAGAGATCATTAATCACGAGTTTTGAAGTATTCTATTACAGATTATGGATGTTTTTATATACGTTTACTCGTGGAAGAAACTGCAACGTGTGTATTTTAATAATATAATCGTATTAAAATCGTGACTAGTATTAAAAATTAGTTTCGCATTTTTATTTTTTTTTTCATTAACTTCCATTAAAATTAAAAACAATAATCCTCCGAAGCAGAGTCCGCCTCTTCTACCTCTCACCCCCACCTAGACGCCGAACGTAATATCGCCATATGTCTGTGATCCAACAGTTTACTAAGTACCTATGTATATATATAATAATTTGTAATGTACGGGTCAACATAGGTCATTGTAGTTTAGAAGAGAAAAATTAAATAAAAAAAAAAAAAAAAATCCTCAACAGAAAACCTGTATCCTCCTGAAATTCCGAACGGCAGTTGGCTGGCCGGAAGCGTTCCGAGATAGTGCAATGCCGTGTAACTTGTGTGAAATAAACGTCTGCATTTTGTGAGAAACGAACGCGCGCGCGTATAGCCCCCGGGCAGTATTTTATAATCACGCCTTTTGTGTAAAATTAAAAAAAAAAAAAGGAAAAACTTTGAAATCCGAAGAATATTAAAACAAACATATATAGGATATTAAAAATAAAAAATAAACGCGGCTCACACGGGAAAACAAAGTATACATACATACCTAGAAATATGTATAATCTACTATCTGGAAAGCACGAAACGTAAACAGATGGTCTATTCGGGATTATTTTCTTATGGCACCCACTGTAATACGTATATATACGGCGAGAGCTGCAGTAGTTCCGAGGGTGTAATCTCGAATACCCGGAGGACAATTAGAAGAAAAACTGCATAGTGATTTATATTATAAACCGGTGGCACGATAATAATATTTTGATGGTGATAAATTATATCGTAACAACCGCGTAGACGATAATTCATAATAAAAAGTTATAAATAATAATATCAAAAAAAAAAAAACATTTAATTTGGAGATTTCATTTCGACCTATAGATTCGTTAAAATTTTTCAAAAAAAAAAAACAAATCGGGTAGTAATTACTTTCTGCGGCGATAATATTGTTGTAATACACGAGTTTGTTACGCTTTATTATTATTATTTTTTTTTATTTTTTTATGCAACAGTAAATTATTATAATTTATAAACGATTCATGGACAACACGGAAAATATAATATCATATTTTAACCTAACTTATTGGTGTATTCGATTCTAAACGAAGCGAGAAATGCACACTGGTTTTTACTAGGTGTATGACGCGTATGCTTTGTTTTTGAGATTTGTTAATAACTCTTTGGCCCGAAATCAATTCCGGTGGTTAATATTTTTTCGATAATTATTTAACGTTTCTATTATTTTCTTAATGCTAGGGAAATACGGGGTAATATTTACGCAATAACCGTTTCTGTGAATGTCGTTTTTTTTTTGTCATTTTAATTCGGTGAAAAATGCTCATAGACCTGAAACTTGCACCCGATACTTGTATTATAATTTTTGAAAACCTTCTGGCATTTTTTGAGTTATACATTTGGCTATTTGAAGTATTTCCGAGTTTTTTTTTTTTTAGTTTCACGTTTTTAAACAAAAATTTAGATTGATGTTACTGATTTGATTAATTTAATTTTCCGCTAGGTCATAATAATTCTAATTTAAAAATTTACAAATTATATGGGGGATTATTTTTAGTTGTGTATGGTGTTTGAAATACGTTTAGAAACCCGGAACTTAGCACTCTCGTATACAGAGTAGATTTTTTGTTTTCTCCGCTAAAATGTAATATAATAGCTACTATATATTGATATTCGGTAAAGTATTATTTTCAAAACTTAAATATTATAGACAATATGAATAGTAAGATGTTCGTTTAATTTATGAACGAATTTCACTTTTAAGTATAAACGTATAGTACAGAAAAATAGAAATGTAGTCATTGCAAAACATACTTCTTGTACTATAAACATTTAAAAACGTTAATCGTTTGATTCATATTTCCCATACAATAATTTTTTGTAATCGGTTACTGCATAATATGTTTTTTTTTTAAACATGACTAAAAACCGGTTAATTATTTTAGAAAACGATAATTATTATGTTTTATCATAGCCCGTATTAACAAACTACCTATATAAAAACTATTTTTCGTAACACGGAGGGTCGTAAAAAAAAAAATAGTTTTGTGTTATGTTATCAAAGGGTCTCGAGAGAAAAATTCTCGCGTATTATAATGTCCCGTAGATTTAATTGAACGAGTGCCTTTATGGCATGTTTAAACAATTTTCTTTTGTAATGAACCCCATAAGAACACACGCACGTCACTCCCTAAATAATTTGCTGTGTTACAAACACTATGCACTCAAACGGGTATAATACGCTTATCAAAACTAATAAAAACTCAATAGCTCAATTATTGTTCATAAAAACTATGCAAGATGACTGTTGGCCATTTCTTCAGCGATTTAAAATTATAATCCAAAACTCCTAAAAAGTGATAAAATTCAACCGTTCTGAAAATGAACATAGAGAAAATGTTTTTGTTTTTTTTTTTTTGTGCCTTATACCGTTTTACCTAAACAATATTATATAAAACTAAATATACACGTAATACGTATTTTATTATAAATATACAATTTTACCATGTTTCCATAATAAAAATTTTCTAAGTGATTTGTATGATTTTTGATTTCGATTTTTTATTTTTTTTATACATAACTATCTAAAATGCGAGTAAGAAAAATGTACACATCTATAACTGGCTTTTATCCTAAAACCGACGATTTTGTTTTAAATTCGAATGGGTAATTTACCGTTTTTTTCTGAAAAAGTTTATTAAAATTAGATTATTGATAAAGATTAAATGACTATATTAAACATTGAACCATTATTCCATTATTTATAAGCATTTAAAGTTTTGATAAAATATGTAGAAAAGATAATGAAATTATTAAAGCACTACTGTGTATTGTTCCTATACATACTTCTTTTTAAACATAAAATCAATCAAAAGTAATTAGTTCAAAATTATCAACTAAATCAATATGTATATTATGTATCAGCATTTATAAAAGTATTTGATAAGTCCTATACATATGTATACAAATGGAAATAAATAGATTTCGAGTTTAGATTATAATAAGGTGAACTAAAAATCTATATAATACACATTTTTGTTTTCAAATTAATATTTTATTAAGATGACGGTTTGAAAAAAAAAATCACGCCCATATTATAAACACTTGTTTGAACTAAATAATTATAGTATTATCATATGGTATACCTATCTAATTAACTATAGGTACCTGCTTATTATACTACTCGTAAAATAATATGACGTATAGATTCTATTTTTCATTATAGAACATAATTTATACAGAGTGATCAATTTAACGTAAGGCAGTCGTTATTTCGAAAAGTATTAACTTTTTTTGGAATTCGTATTTTTGGAAAATTCTAGAAACCAACCACATTAAAATTTTACAATTTTTCGTCCCCTTATTTTTGGAATTGAAACTACAAGGAAGGTAGGAAGCTACTTTTGATTTTCAAACAACAATATCTATATTGACAATTGAGGGAAAAGATAAAGTTTTAGTTTAAATTGTTAATTTTCATCAACATCCGCTGACAAAATATTTCACTTTTAAGGTTGTTATTTTGGTGGTAGAGTGTGTTTATTATAGTGGAGCATAATATATATGTAACAGCGCGGCAAGCGGTCGTTTAAATAGTATTTTTCACGAAAATGTATTCTATAAGGAGTTAAGTAATTAATTATTATTTACAAAAATATAATTTTTTAGTTATATTTACTCTGCATACTACCTTTTTTTGTTTACTAATATTCGCTGTAACCCCGCGGCTCCCGAAAGCTTAGCTGACATTAAGTTTCTATGTGTACACTTTCTGATTTATGAATTCCTAAAACGTTAAATCTGTGACATAAGAATTGAAAACAAAATTATATTGTCTTTTTACAATGATATACGTATATTTCTACATTACAGTATATGTAATTTTGCGAAAACCACATAAGAATTACTCGAAATAATCGGATTCGATTATAGTGAGACGAAAGAAATGTGATTATAGGACATACACTCAGGCATCCAGAAAAACAGTATAACAAACAATAGAAGGCCGATGGAAGGAAAAATACCACCAGGACGGCCTCGCAATTCGTTCATTGGACGATCAAGAAAGATGCGGGAGCCGGATGCATAAAAAACTAAAACAAATAGAGAATAACCGTTTGGAACTGAAAAAAAGAGCTGTTAACCATCCTATGAAATAAAAAACAAAAATAATTGTATTACAATATTGTCCAATTTTCCCAAAAAAATAGACTGTTTACGATGTATTGTGTGTCTAATATAATACTTTTTTTTCGAACATTTCTAGCTTCTCTTTTTGCACCAAATGAACTTAAATTCGGGATTTTAAATATTTTTTTTTAGGTAAATTTAAGTGATTAAAGTTGGGTTAAATTTAAATATAAATTGTACAGTGTTGTTTTGGATATAGGATAATATTTTTCAGCTCCCCAAAATAAAATCAAGGAAAATGAAATTATATATATACGTGGCGTTAGTAGCATTAATTGCTTTAGCACAAACTTATTGGCCCGTAACACGCTATTATCAACAGTCAATAATTTATTAGATTGACTAATGTATATATGATATCATATATATATAGGGTGTCTCACGAAGATATTACCCATTGTAATATCTCTAGAGATAATAAAGATAGTTAATAATTTTGTTGTTTTTTTTTTTTATTACTCACAGGGAAAAGGACTACAAATATTTATATTTCAATTGATTTTTTTATGGTTTAGTAAATAAAAAATGAAAAAATAACTTTATTTCGTTTTTAACGAAATATTTTAAGAGTTTTTTTTTTGAATAACTGTTATATAGAGTTTATTCTTCTGAACATTTTGACGTTTCAACTTTTTATTTTCAATAAACTCGTGATTTTTAATAATTTTATAAAGTTCAGAGAAAACATAAAAAAATAATTGAAATATAATTAATATTTGTAGTCCTTAACCCTGTGAGTAATATATATATATAAAAAAAAACAACACGATTTGATTATCTTTATTATCTCTGGAGATATTACAATGGATATATTATCTTCGTGGGACACTCTGTATATAGTATAGATATTATATTATAGTCTGCGCATAGGTTAGACCGTTAGGTACACACAAATATACGTACAGGCATCATATAAAATTGTATTCGTCTTTACACGGGATTATCTATAGACATTCTAAACTGGTTGACGTTCCTGTCGTAAAAGTTTTACTATGCAACTATAATCTATCTATGTATAAACTAATATATTATTATTTTTTACCAAACTTTATAGAGATATCACCTTCTTATATGATAATTAGGTAACGCAAACCAATTAATTGTAGGTATACGCTGCTATAATTATATATAGTGTTGTAACGTCGTAACTGAAAATAAATACATTTAGAAATTTTACCAGTTTACCTCACAACTGTGAACAACAAGGTTTTATCACTTTATAGTTGATCACCCCCCCCCTCACCATTAGCTTGAATAAAAGAAATATTTTTTGCAAAATAATAAACAGCCAAATACTTAATAATACTATATAATATATACGAGTATATACTACAAATTTTGTACAATAATTACACTACTTAATAAAAAATTGCGAAATTTAATCATAAAAATAGTTAAGATGGGGATGGAAAGTTGAAACACAGGTTGTTTCACAACAAAGTTGTTCACAGGAAAAAAAAAATAATAATAAATAAACATCATTGTAAAACCAATACATTCCTCGCTCTGCTCAGAATCTAAAAAACGTATGTACTTGATCCTAACAACATCCCGGTTTAATTTAGATATTTGATTATATAGGCGTTTAATGGGACATCAACCACCCAGTGATTGCGTAATGCGTATAATGTACAATGTATATAAGTCATTTTAATGAAATTGAATTCAAAAAATGTATAATAATATTCAAGTAAAAAAAACAAGTTGCCCCGTGCCACAAACATAGTAATTTTTATAATGCAATAATTGAATGAACTAAAAAGTAAAAAAAACAAAACAAAACTAGACAACGTCGTTTTTATTTACTCGACATATCACTATACTACGAAAAGAGTTATGGGCATTTTGTGAAAAACGTAAAATTATCCGATTTCAAAACAATAATAATAAATACAACTTAGCACAGCGCAATTTCCGCAACGGTTATGATGAAAATTTGTCAATTTCTTAATATATTAAGAATGAAATGTAAGCCGGAACGCGAAGTAAGTTTTACAAATAATAACTTTACGGACGTTCCACCTTCCACGAAGTAACGAGTCAGGAAATAAATATTTGAAATGTTTCGGTAAAAATTCTAGAGAAAAACGGGATGATTGATTAATTTGGACGTTCGGGGAAAGCGTACACCCCATTTTCACTTGTAAAATGTGTGTGTATATTAACTTAATGTAAATATTGCCCCCTACCCAACAGTGGTGGGGGTTACTGTGACTTTCAACATCTGCCCATTAAAGTCTATGTACTTTACTGTACATCAACTAAAATCGCGTAACAATGTCGTAGACGTTTCCGCGAAGTCGAACGGACGGGGGGATTTCTTTTCAAAGATTTTTCCGCGTCCACGCAGTAAAGTCAGCGAGCGAGGCTTCGCTTACCTTGTGTCCGCAAGAAAAAAAAAATGATCGGTAAACGGATTGCATTGGTATATAGTAATTTATGTTAACGAAATATTAGTTGTTTATTTTTTGTTGGATTTATCGCCGACTGGGTGGCCGGACGGGGGGAGGTCCGTATGTTAAAAAGAACGTTTGGCCGGTCTGATGGTATGGGGATTTGTTTGTTATTATTATATTTTTTTTTTTTTCCTGTCAAAGGAACCGGGGAAGCGGATATTCGGTAGAAAAAAAAAAACAAACGCGGTGTGTAATAAGTTTTTTAATGCGTGCGCGCGGTTATTGAACAATGCCTACGTCGCCTGACGACGATGGTGTGATGATAATAATAATAACATCTTATACGGGAATAATATTATTGTTGTACGCCTAGTATAATAGAGCATAATGGCTCGGCGGCTAGGGGTACTACTGACAAAACTGCCGCGGCCGTCGCCGCCGCAATACACCCATGTGCGAACAGTACACACCAAGTAGTATAATAATATTATACGAGTAGGTAGTTATTATATACATACAAATATATACGCGTGCGTAATTGTGTGTGTGTGTGTGTATATATATATATATATATATATATAAATACGTATATTATATTATACAGTGTGTACCTATATTATACGTATACGGAGCGGCGAGCGCACAATCGGTCTTCGGCGTAACCGTGTATAATATTCCGGGGGCGGCGGCGGCGACGACGGCAAACGCGTTTTGAAAATAAAACAACGTGTACAGTGTACGCTACAACGGCGCAACAACAATAATCATAATAATATAATAATAACCGTACACACACACACACACACACTATACAATATATATATATATATATATATATATATACACGATATTATATACTCTACTACTATTACGGCGGCGGCTGCAGCGGCGACGGCCGCGGTGGTGCCCGGTAGCGCGGTGTCGGTTCTCTCTGCCGCCGCCGCCGCCGCCGCCCGCCGAACGCATTACAAATATGTACGGAATGCGGTCTCGCTCGCGCGCGCGCGCACGGTACAGGTACGCAATCCGCCGCCGCCCCCACCGCAGACGGTATATAATGTTGTATAGGTGTGCGGTGAAAAAATACGGAGTAAAAGAAGATTGAAGAAGTAGAAGAATTTCAGAGTCGCGTATATTATATAGTAGGCAGTCGTCTTGAAGAGGGAAAAAAAAAAATGTGAACGCCGTCGTCGTCGTCGCGACGACGACGACTGATCTGTCGGGCGGGCGGTGTGGGGAAATCTGTATTATCATTATTATTATTATTATTATTATTATTATACAAGAGCGCACACAACGCAATCGGCGCTTGAGGTGGTCGTCCGCCACCACAGTCGCAGCCGCCGATTGTTGGTACGTCGCGTCATTGTCGTCCGCGCGCCAGTGTCTCTCCTGCGTTTAATGTATTCGTTTTATACGACTATACTGCTGCGGAATAATTGCTTATTTTTTTTTTATTATTTTAAAGTCGGGTGCGTTTACGAAAAAATTATTTCGTGAGGAACGGGGGGGGGGGGGCTGCGGGTTAAGGTTGTACGCTTCCATACTCTTGTAACAATGAAGTTTACATACTTTTGACTGTAGGATTAATCAGTTTTCATTAATCGTCATAGACGTCAATATATTTTTATAACGTTTTTTTTTTTGCCTCATATAGGTTAGGTTAGGTTAGGTACCTACTAATAATACTAAATTTTACATTTAATGTTTTTTCAGTGAATACAGCCTAAACGTAATTCATATTATTGTGACGATAATGCGCGGACTATATGCAATTTCGCCGTACCAGTTAGAATTTTTGTCACAAACAGTAAAACCACAAAAAATTAGAAATTACAATAATAACAATATAATATACCTACTGGCTACTACTTATAGTTATAAAATTAAAATAAAACCGAAATTGTATTTATCTTCCTTGTTTACAGGAACCGCTTTTGAGACTCTATTAAAAATCTACTTTCATCGTAATTTTTATCAAATTTGAGGGGGTGGGGGTAAACGCCTAACCCACCCTCCCTTGTACACGCGCCTGATTATAGTATCGTAATTATTATACGAACCGTCCGCGATCGTCTATTGTACGAAGATTTCGAGTAAAATAATTGATTTCGGGTTTTTTTCGGACGTTTTCGGAGTATTGTAGAGCCGGTTAATAATATATTATATTATTATTATTATTATTAGTTTTAAATTTTCTCGAAACTAATACTTACGAGGACGCCACACCCGCATTTACTGTGTCCGTCATTCAAACGCGCGACGTGGCAAATTTGCGTTCAGCATGACACGTTTTGTGCAGTCGTCGGTTTTAAAATTAAAACAAATCGACTTTTATTGCCGATCTTAAAGGTGAGAAGATTACAATATGTGCCCTGGCGTTGATGTTTTTTCGATAATTTTATTTTTAAGCGAGATATAATCATTTTTAAATTGTAATATTTTGCATACTCGTCTCTCGCTTGAAAATAAAAATACCGTAAAAACATCAACGCACATTGGACATAGGGTACCTTTGATTTTGGTATTAAGTCAATTTGCTTTAATATTGAAACTAATGGCACAAAATGCGTCTTGAACATTCAAATTTACTATGTCTCGCGTTTGTAAGACGGAGACAGTAGGCGTTGGTGTGGCGTTCTCTTAATAGCAAGTAATATACTAATAATAATATTATGCACTACGTTTGACCTTTATTTCAATCAAAAACTCTAGAGACAGAGGTTACGGGAATCTGTGTAGACAACTCAGACGTGTGTAAATAAGTAAAATGTGCATAATTCTTGTTGTTTTTTTTTAATTACTATTGAAATGTTAATATTAATAAAAATATAAAATTATTATATTTTAACAATTACACGGGATAAAAATGATATACATAAAAAAAAATAAAAAAAAAAAAAAAAAGTGAGTAAAGCCCTTAGTCGTTAAATTTTAGGACAAGATTGGGGAATGTAATAAATAATATATAGAATTGTATAATACAATAGTACTAATGAAAATATATAATTATATTGTTCTAAATTGGAACTTCTAATAAAATAAAATGTATTGTATTTAGTAAAGCCTACCATGTTATAATAGTATAGTTTTAGAATCTGAAACTTATTAAAAAAACGCACGTTCTTAAACTCGCATTCAGGAAGCCAGTAATTCCCTAGAAGTGTTGATACGCATCACATTACATCATTATTTCATTATTAGATATATCTGAGTATATGCGTTTATGAGTTATAATAATGTTATGTTTAGACAAAATTCCTTTCCTAAAATTCCGCAACTTAAAATGTAAACTGTTATCAGACATAAAAGGTATAGGTATCTATATCCACAGATATGCATATCAACATTTTCAGAAAAGTACCAAGGAGACTGGGTTTCTTTTCGACACCGATTTTAGAAATATTGGTCACTATTTGAAAATGGAGTCTATAAATGTGTATGGTGTTTGCGAAACATGTAGGTACTACCTGTTTATATTATATAAATGCTGAAAATATAGTAAAGAGTAAGATCGTCTAATAGAGAATTACTATAATCAAAATAACTCAGAATCATCATCAGACAATCGTTGTTGAAGATTTATGATAAAATAATCACCCAGTATAATAATAATACTATGTAAATAATCTCGTATTATTTGTGGAAAAAAAGAACTGATACTGCTGATTGGTGTACCATTGTTGTAGATAGGAAGTTGAGAAGGTAAGATGCATAAAGAAATAAAGTTATTTATTTATATCTGTATGCAACGATAAATTATTCCTGACGAAATACAATTCCAAGCAAGTCAGATTAAACATGTTTTTAAAATGCCGCAATTTTTGCAGTTTTCATCCAAATTTGAACTTAAAATTTTATAAAAAAAAAAAAAAACCCCATCAGCAGTATATCAATTGTTATTTTCAAATTCAAATTTACTTTTATTCAGAAAATTCAGAAACGTATTGGTACTTATAGTTCATTTATCAAAAAACCTGAACGTGTGTACATTTTCTCGTTTAAAACAAAATCCATCATAATCACTTCAATATGGAAATGTAGGTTTAGTTCCTAAATATGCTAAATAATAAATAAACTAGTATAATAAATTACTAATACCAATGCACATTATAATCAATAATAATAGCTATAGACATTTTAATTCAGTGATAATTTTAGAGCACAGGCACATTGAGTAATTACATTACTTTCATAAATTAAAAATTGATTATTTTTTGAGCATAGGCACATTTTATATAATACGGCACAATTTTCAAATGTAATATCTTCATCTTTGATAAAATCCTAAATACGTTATTATAGTAGACATCACAGCTACCACGGTTGGTTGTCCTAAGTAGATACATATTGTTCTCGAGTGTTTTTTTATTCTATCGGTTCTTTATATTAAATTCGTATACAGCGCATCGATTCCGTAATCTCAGACATGGGTTTCCAATAAAAATGTTTAACTTATGTTTATTTTATATTACCTGCATAATATATAATATTTTATAGATAAAAACCGACCTCGAAGCAACGGAAGACATAAAAATAATAATATGCAATATGCCCATCCTAAAAGGTGGGTGTAAGAATGAAAAAACAATAAAATGTACGTTTGTTTTTTTAATTATTTGCAATATACCTATAATAATATGGCAGACAACATATTTTACTTTTACATTATAATACGGCTGGGTCAATCTGCTATTGTTATTTGATTTCGAATTTCGATTGTTTTGGGTAAAATTTATCGACCGTTTGACTGTCAACACAAATAATAATTAGGATTTGAAGTTTTACTACACATGTGTTAAACAAACCACCAAGTATTTTAATCAAAAGGATTTTGAATGATCCGATATCAAAATATTGCTGATAGATAATCGGATCACGCAAAATATATAAAGGCCCCGAGGAAAGAAGAATAGCGAAACCCTTAGAAGTACACAAAATAGTGGGTAATACAGATTGAATTTCTCGTTTATAAATATTATAAAATGATATAATATTCAACAAGAAAATTATAAACCCAAGTCATTAGTATGCTCGTATAGTACTTGTATGAATTGCATTTTACAAAGTAGTTGAATTAATATTGCATTAAATGTAAGGCTGATCAATTTATTTAACCGGTTCTTCATTTACCAAAATACGAAAATTTTGATTTTTGTTTTATATTTTTACTCTTTAATTCACTGATAATAAACATGTTTATTTAATCGTATTTAATATGTTCTAACCAAGAATTTAAAAAATCAGTACACAGAAAACTTGTAAAATCTCGTGACACATAAAAATTGTTAATCGTGAAAGATGCAATTTTTTCCATATGACATTCTTCTGGACCGCCCAAAACCAGTTTCAACCCCCTTTTGCGTTAATTAGTCATATTCGTCATAAGTATTATCAGAAAATCAGATTATACGAGATTCATAGTTTTGTTCATTCTAGCGGAAAATTGTTCATTATTTCATTTGCTTATCATGAATTTGTGCGTAGGTATATGTATCCAACCATAATATAGTAGTTAGGTATATTTGATTCTGAGCATAATGCAGTATGTTCCCACGTAGACCACACGTACGTTAAAAATGACTTAATTGCCTTTTATACATTCCTTTACGAAACGACAAAAAACATTTAATAGCGCATGATATTAACATCGATTACAGACAACAATCTGTGTAAGCGTGAACCAGTCTAGGTAGGTACTTATATACTAAAACAATCCGTGACTTGATTCTTAGAAACAGAGAGTAATGCTAGTTTAGAAAGCGTTGTTACTTTCGATTTTACCTTACAGTTACCCTTTTAATTTCATATTATCATTACAACTTAACTATTTGATTTTTTCACATACAACATAAATATTGTCTCATGTTCATACATAATATATCGGTATATTTATGTGTAGTATAGTAAACCTATATTGTTTAATAATGTGAGACTTGTAAAAATTTAATTTCATACAATATATTATATGAATAAAATATTATGTTATGATAAACAAATTATTTTTAAAAAACAATTTTAATTGACAATATATTTTTCTATTTTCAGGCAGAAGGGTTGAACTCCATTGTGGGAAATGCGTTTAGAATGGCGTATGCTGCCCAATTGGAGCTGGAAAGACGATCGGTGACAAGCTCACCAAAAATAAATTTAAATAATACTTCATGGGTAAAATTATAAACAATTATTTTACTATGCTGTAGCGTAAATATATGATTGTTTTTATAATAACTTTACAGGTAAAGTCAAGTGATAAATTAAATGTACAACGAATCCAAAATGGATCTCCTTTATCTCCTCGGAAGTCAATTGAAACTCCAAAACCAACTCCTCCTGCAACCCTACCAGGTGTGCGTCCCTTTGACCATAGCAAAGGTGTAGACCTCACACCAGGACAATTTTCAACACCCACTAGTAGTGATGATAGTCCAGATTTAAATACGTACAAGCGTATGCTAGAAAAACCACCTCTAATTAAACGTCTAGCCATGGGTCTATCCGTTCACACTAACTGTTCTAATGAAGACTGGTATCCGCTAGTTTGTAGCTCCTCAGTATCCAGTTCACCGTCTACCAATAGTGACGATTGTAGTACGCCCGAATCTTCACAAGAAAAACTAAAAGACAACAGGTAAATTGTATCAAACTTTTCGCAAATATTTACAGTAGATTAACATCTTAATGCTCTAATAGATTAACTCAATGCAGTGTAAGATCACCAGACTCACCGACAAGTATCAAACTTAAGAATAATTTGATTGCTAACGGTATTGATAAAACTCCAACTCCGCCGCCTTTACCAGAACGATCGGACAGTCTTCTAGATAAACCTGAAGAATCTGAATTAAAAAAAGCCCCATGGTTTCAAGCCGGAATTCCAAGGTAATACAAATTATCGATCTCAAATTTGTTTTAAATGCCTATATGATAATATTTAAATATTCTTATAAAACCTGACTTTAATAATTTTTTTTGTATGTGTGTTTTTGATAGAGAAATAACATTAGAAGTTCTGGGACAAGAGCCAGTTGGTGCTTTTATGGTTCGTGAAAGTACTACCAAACCAGGATGTTTTGCATTGTCACTAAGAGTACCTCAAGAATTTCATCCTCTAGGAATAGCTCATTATCTTATACTCAGAACGAATAAAGGGTTTAAAATTAAGGTTTGATTAATAAATGTCTAAGAAAACTGTTGTTTTGGCTAAATTATAATTCAAAATTATTTCAACAGGGTTTTACAAAAGAATTTACTACGTTGACTGCATTGATAACTCATCATTCAGTAATGCCAGAACTACTACCTTGTCCCTTATCTCTAAGCAGGTACAATCCAACATTTATAAAATCTGATTCAAATCAAGATTTCGCAGATATTGATGCGGATCCAGATTACAATACACTTGCTGACTTCAGAAAAATGATGGCTGATTTAAATGTATAAACTAAGCACTTATCAAAAATAATAATGTACTTAATAATTTTTTAAAAGTAAATCTTTCATTTAAATGTTATAAATTGTAATAATTATATTACATGTTTTATACACATATGTCATATATATGTTACATAAAAACAACTTATACATAATAATTTAATTTAATTTCATACATTCAATAATGATAACAACTATCAACAAAAGTATTTTATGTTTTAAACACTTCACTTGTACACATATTGTTATTTTTTTTTCTTACATTGTTAATACAAAATATTTACTATTACGGCCATAACAACATACTAATTGGCAAATTTATATTGTTGGTAAATTATAAAAATTATTGTAAAACAGTAAATTTCATGCAATATTTTTAAACTATTGTAATCTGTATAAAACATTGTAATATTTATAAACTTTATTATTTTTTGCAAGTTATCAAAAAACATAATTTTGTAGGTAAATACAAAAAAATGTTTATTACTTATTATGTCCAGTCACTTTTAGGACAACACAAATATGTAATTTTTGTAAAGTGAAAAAATATTATTATCATTCCTAGTCTCGTGTGATAGATTTAAAAAAATGTATGTTCGTACCTATATAATAAACATATTTTATTCAATAAAATTACTAAAGTATATAAAGTGTAGTTATAATTGGAATAACTTTCTTGAAATTATTATTAAAAAATGATGTATATGTTTTTAAATAATAGTTACGAATCAGATTTAAAATATTTTTTCCTCACATACCTATATATCAAATACCCAAATAATAAGTGTTATATGTATAACCACAATTATTTTGGAGACATATTATTATTCAACGAACCATTCATACCTATTCATACTAGAAAACTATCGTGTTTCTCTATCCCTATACTAACCATATTTGCAACGCTTAGCAAGAGCAATAAGTAAAATAAAAGAGCTGATACTGCTGATGGATGCAACATTGTTTTAGATGAGAAATTAGGAAGTTAAGATACATTAAGTTATTTAATTTATATCTGTAAGGCAATGATAAACCATTGCCAATGAAAAACAATTCTGAGCGAAGTACATTTATACATGAAAAGCCAAAATATTTATGATTTTTGTCAAAATTTGGATTATTAGGACCATTATAAAAAAATGACTAGATTTTCTGATTGAAAAGTTATTTAAAGACAGAAAAAATATATAACACAAATCATAATAAAACCAATAATCCCTACTAATACAATTTTAGAATTAATATTATGAAGGTAATGTTATTCGATTGCATGGGCAAAATTAATTTTGAAAAATTGTACTAGACATAAGATGTGAATTGAAATAAAATAAACGGAAGAAAATATATGGAATGGGAAATCATTGCTGATGAAATACAGTTCTATGTGAAGATCGGTTAAACATAATACAATATAAAATACTGTGAGTTTACAATGTTCATAAATTAAAACTTAAAACACATATGAAAAAAAACCACCTACTACATTACGCTTACTAATTTTTTCACCACCAAGTAGAACCTATGATGAACCTCATGTAAAATATTTAATTATTTTGTGGTGGCTGGCCAAACAATTTTATTCACATATCAAATAACCACTTAAAAACACAAAAATGTCAAATGCCTATTAATTGCTCAGAAAACACTAAGTGAAAAACGCAGAATGTTTTGAAATTTTTAAGTCTAGAAAATGTTAATATAAGTATTCTGTGAATATTTTAATTTAGGTACGCCTCTATGATTATGTTAAACTAAACAAATTAAAACCAAAAATAATGAAAACTAAACTTTCATGTTCATTTTCTTAAGTGTTTCCTTAGTTATTAGAAATCAATGTGAGACGAATAGAAAAAGAGACTTCTTTAATGCACCAACTAGATCCAAAATGTTAAAATAAAATTATCTTGTTTTTTTTTATTAGAGTCGAGATGTTATCTGGTAAGAAAAAATTGTTAACAAACAGAAAACAAACTAAAAATTGTATGTAATATTTAAATATAAATAGCCAATATCAAGCACATGTTACACCATACATGTAAGTATAATTACTTACTATAGATACCTGTTTCTCTTCTTTAATATATTACTCCAGGAAATGTAACCCTTTAGTTACATCATAGTAGTATAAGTTTTATACCAAATAATAATTATTAATAAATAAATTCTCTTAGCTGACAATATTGGCCTCTATAAGCTTTTACAAATCCAAATTGCAAAACACTTCATTAAGTTCATTATTGTTAGTAAAACTAGTTTTTTATTTCATAATTATTGTACATTTAAAACTGTTTTAAGTCTTATTGAAATTATTTTATACTAGTTGTATAACCGTCATATATAACAGGTTATAGTAGATTTTAGATTTTGAATATCATAGTAAATAAACAAAACATTACAGATGAATCACGGTATTTATACATAAGATAATTTATTTTAACAACACCAAAGTTGAAAAATAATATATTACATAAATATTAATAACGCTACAAGTATGTGCACCAGTAAGTAATGTATGGTACTTACCTACCAGTTTTATGTTATAGTAATATGGTAGTTTCTAATAGTTGATAATATATAAATCAGCTTATAATCTAATAAAAATGTATAATATACATCAATATACATTTGGATATACAACAAATAAAAATGTTTTAATATTATTATACCTACCTACTTTATGAATAAGAGTATTCATTAGCTAAATTATACAAATAATATAATTATAAATTTGTATACCTTTACTTTTAAAAATTTATTTAAATATTGATAAAATTAAATAGGTAAATAGTACCTGTAGTAAATGTTTACCTATTTGTAGATTTATAATTCAACTACTTGTATAATATCAATGTATTGCAATTTACCAAAATCATACATTTTAATTTGAAGTGAACCATAATATATTAATATGTTTATACCAACTGCCTAAATTAAAAATTTAATTTAATTTAATTTAATTTTAGTATACAAAATTAAAAATAAAGATAATAAATTTAACAATGAAAGCAAAGAGAAATTTATCAGTGACATCTTCTTCATAATTTTAAAGGAGACAAATATAAAACATTCTCTAATTTTTAACTTAATATTTTTTTAAATATTAAGTAAAATACATAGTTTGAACATAATTTAACACTTTTTACACATTGTTTCATTTTAGTTTTGAACTATTTTAATAAAATATTAATTTTAAAGAAAATACTTTTTGTTCTTATCAAACACTAATTATCAATTAAATTATTATTTAGTATTTACTTATGCTATTTCAACTAGTAAATCTATATGTATGACTAAACAATATTTCAAAATTGAAAACAATACAAAATGATGCTTAAACTCAGCAGCCAGGAATTACATTTCACATGGTAGTATTAACAAAGTTCAAAACCTTTATTAATTTGTTATGTACATAATTATAACCGAAAAATAGCATGCCTACCTATATTTTAGAGATATCTACCAACTAGCTGTATTGATTTTTTTTTTTCTTTATGGGATAGAATAACTATCATATAGCTGCTATTATCTTAATCCAAAATTAATAATCATTTGCTTACCTTGTGGGTAATCAAGATTGGAGTTACTATTGATTTGCACAGACACCAAATCTGCAACAAAATATAAATAATTTTATATAATAACAATGTAATGTATGTTTTTTTTTTTATTTTTGGTTGATTATTTGGTTTATGTTCAGGTAAATGTATAGGTGTAAAATGATATTGTATGTAAATTAAAATTGCCATAATAATAATTTATAGGTATCAAAACCAAATAATTACTAAAATAATCAATAATAAGAATAAAAGTGATATAGACTTAGTGAGGCACATATATAACAGGATTGAGGGATTCAATTCCCCTCCACACACACAGACACACACACACAATTGGAAAAACTCATAATATGCTAATCCAAAATATTTAATTTTTAGATTCTATTTGTTGAAAATTGTTATACTACAATATTAATGTATACTTATTTATTTTTTTTAGTCTGAGCAAACAGAAAATAAAACAATAAAAAAATGAACTCAAGTTGACAAATTGAAAACATTCAATGATCGTCAATATGTTTATAATTTTGCATTTTTTAACCTAGGCCAGATAGTTTTTTTTTTTTTTAAATTCTGAACGTAGCGATAAAAATAGCGTAAAATCAATATTCAATTTTGATACTATGATGTGTACTCTTTTTCTGCCTATAAACCACTTTCTGCCAGAAAGCTTACTCAAATGATAACATAAAACGATACCTTTTTTATTACATCTTGTATCTAGTTGGTACATAGATGTGATATTATTTTAGTTTTTGATTTTTCAATTGATTTTCATAATTAAGAAAACCTGGAAAAAACGTGTGGGACAAACGGACAAATATTTATAGCGTTATCGATAGATTTCATCTAGTTGGTGAATAAATTGACGTCGATAATACGATTGACGTTTACGCCATAGAGTAATTATAGAGTACTTAATGGTTTACGCCGCGTACAGAGGAAGGCAAAAGACGAACTTTAACGCAACAAAAAGCAGAAAACACTTCGATTTTTATAAAAATATAACGCGCCTACACGATAACGGTCGTTAAACGTTATATTCTACCACAGCTCCCGACGGAAAATTTAGAAAATACGCGTTGGTGTGCGTTAACCGCGATTTGTTGGGACCAGTAGAAAACGAGCGACGTTTTTTTCCACCATGAACTCTGACCGTAACCTATGAGACGTTGACCATGACCGTAGCCCTTCGACGACATCGCAGTCACACGTTCAATTCTCAATAGACCAACCTTTCTACGTTCTTCAACGAGCGGCAATCTCGTTTCCGTTGGCATATTATATTATTTACCGCGTTGTCAATATAACCTTACTTTTGTTTACAGTTTTACACTTTGTTTATGTATTATTTTTATTATTCGCGGTTAACTAAATTTATCGTTAATCGTGTAGGTAATTACTAATTATTTATTTATCCGTCGCCTCGTGAAGACAGCTGCTTATCGATAGATTCAATCGTATTTATGGACGGCGCGAAAATAGATTTCCGCCAGTCGTTATAGAAATTCAATGATTTCTAGAAATAAATGACTATAGACAATCACTCTTTTAAATTTAAAATGGTATTTACCACAAAACTGATTACGCTGAGTTCGCCGTATTTGAATATCTGTATGAAAACTTTACTGATTCATTATTCGCCACCCATCAAAATTATAAAGCGAGATGAAATATTATTATTGTACAATAAGTGTGTAAGTACCTAAGAATACCGCGATCGCTGAACCCGTGGAATAGAAAATAATATCAACTATTACAAATTAAAATATGTTAGATACCTACCTATTATACAGGCTAGTTATATATTGGTCTTCAAGTATTGTTAACTAACTCTAGCCAATTATAATATGTGATAGTAATTTATTACTTATCATATACCGGAAGAAAATAATTTTTTTTAATTACCATTATAATATTTTAAGTACATCTTAAACCATTTAATTATAGATACTACTACGGAACTGTCTTCTTATTATTCTTCGCCTTCGTCCCACCTATTCAGAGTCTGCCACCCTCGTCCTAAACTTCCATTTCGATCTTACACCTCGCATACACCACCTCATATCATCATTCTGAATCACATCTAACTACCTATTTTTCGGTCTTCCTCTTCCCCTCTTTTCTCCTACATCTATATTCGTTATAATTCTTACTACTTCTGATTCCTCTCTCCTCATGACACGCTCAAAACCGTCTAAAATTGTTTTCTCTCATTTTTCCACTATCGAAACGCCACACCTTATTGTAGCTAACTCTAAGCTACCTTGTATGTACTCAATTTGTATCCTATTTTCTCTAGTCTTTGAAATCATCCGCGCCTCAGCTTTCTCATCACTGTTCACTCATTCTCTGTTCTATTTTTCTATCTACCGCCAAACACTCCGAACCATATAACATGGTCTGATCACACTTTTTTGAAACGTACTGTATGCGAGGGGGTACAAAAGAAGCCATTTCTCTCCCATGGGATTTTTAACTGCACTTTTATCACGCATAATGACAAACCATTTTACTATAACAAAATAAAATATTTTTAGAATAAGACGTTTTGCCCCTGATAGGATTTCATCATGCGGGCGCACTTGATTGTATGCATTAGGTTCACAATAAAATCAACTTCAATGGCCTGTAGACTATGTTGATAGGTTTTTTTGATAGACATCTACGACATGAAATAAGGCCACTTCTGCAGTGGAGGTTTAATTTTATTCCACAAATTGTTCCTTAATTCAACTGTGGTGGCATCACTAATAATAAGCATACCTCATCAACTCAGCTTAGATGGTACCGGTGCCATCACGAACGAATTAAGGAACACAACTACCTATAGTTAATATAGAATGGATAAGCCTTTCATATGCTAAATATATTATTAAAAAGTATTAAATATATGATACTATCAATCAAACATCATAAAGGATCAAACGACATAATATTACCTACCTACCTATGTCTCTTATTAGGCTGTTCGAAATATTCGCATAGCTACTTCTTTGATTGTTAACAACCATAAAATAAAACATTTTAAACTAAAAAAAACAAACACGAATCATAATAAAATCAATGTTTAAAATTTCTTTCTAAACTCGGCAGAATTTAAAAAGGGCTTGTGGTGACAGGAGTCTTCTAATGATATTTACATACTTAGGCGCTGTAACATATTTAATTATTTTATACAAAACTAATTTCACGAAGACAATATCAAATAAATACCATTTATAATACTAAATGATAAATAACATATATGTGCTAACAGAAATTAATTATTTTAGTGGATATTGAGCGGTTTAGCAACAAATTTAAATTCGAATCTGTCACTGTGTAGTAACACCTAGGTAGGTTCCTAGGTACTCAGATGCATGGTATAATATTATAGGCGTTCATGTAATTTACTAAAACTATTTTTTTTATTTCAGTAATAGTATTACATTAATAGTTCATAAATACACACAAAATAAGTTGTTTAAGCGTAGTAAATAATAATTGTATTAGGTAGCTATGCACTTATGTAAATGCATAGTTTAAAAAATAGGTGTCAAACCGACAGCGTTTAATAGTTTTAGATATTATAATAGGTATCTATTTAATAATATGTATACATATATATCAACTCATCACGTGTGGTGTTAAAACAAAAAGTAACATATTGTCATAAAACACAATGATAGGTACCTATAGTCGATACCTACCAACACGAAACAATGTTCTACGGCTAAATAAAACATATGGAGAAATTTGAATTTACTCATTGTGTCGACCTAAATAATTAATATTATAGCTAGGTAAGTACGTTTAGTTCAAAAACTTATAGCTATTTATAATCTATTTCATTCAAAAACCATAATAGCTGAGAAACATTTAACCATTGCAACTATCCACAATACACAATACACCAGCGTAAATAAAAGGCTCGAAGGAACAGCCGCCAAATCAAGTCCACATTGAGAAAACACAGAGTACGTTTTATACAATGATTATATTGGTGACTTAGCGCCTAAAAAAATTTGGGTTATTTACGCCTATGGCTAAGATGCTACTTATTTGTTATATTACCTGTTTTAGATTCCGAGCGTAGCGATCGAGCTATTGGTTTTACTAAAATGTTTATTTCTTTTTTTTTCTAATAAACTTGCTCCGATTTTTACGTGTAGCAACTTTTCTAAAAGCTCAAGTTGTCTAGATGGTACTTATAGAGGTCATTTTTTGATTTTCGACACCATTTTTTAAATAAAGGCGCTTAAGTGGGAAAAAACTTAGGAAAAAGTACAATTTCACGTTATCATTATTTTATAAAAAAACACCAGAAAAAAATGATTTAATCAAAAAAACACAAATTACCTTTTTTATTGAATTTTTGATTTACTTTCTCAAGGTGGTATAATCGCCAAAACTTTAGAGCCACTTTTGAGCTCTTAATTAATATTAACTTTTGGGAGTTTTTTGTTGTAATTTAGTTATAAGTACACGTAAAGACTTGAAACTTGATAATATTACTTATATTGGACTTACCTAGACGTGGTAAAATTTCCAAAATCATCAGACGACTTTTTTTAAATCAAATTTAAACGAAAATCTAAAAAAAAAATTACTGCACTTCAAACTATGTACAATCGAACTGTGCTCGGAATCGTCTTTCGTCAATCAATGATTTATCGTTGTTTACAGAAATAAATGAAATAACCTTATGTATCTTACCTTCCCAACTTCTCATCTTCAACAGTGACCGTACCCATCCTCAGTATCAGCTTTTTTTTTTTTTGTAAATATGTGACATCCAAAAATTTCTGGTTTCACTATTATATGCACATAGCACATAAGTCATAACTACTACATAAATATTAAATAGCTTTATATTTGCATTAAAAAAAAAGAACTCATAAAGTTAACGAATATGCCATTATAAGGTTGGAAGTCAGTTAGATGTGATAAGACACACGTTATGTCATTTTTAGCAACAATAAATCACTGAAATAGATATAACTAATCATGGACATCTTGTCAAACTTTCCAACATTTGTCTAGCCAAACAAATATTATATGCATATCAATCGAAAAATAATACGTGATTAATTAATAAGTGGTTTTTACGATTTCCATTTAAATGTGAACTTAAAATGTTTATACCAAAAACTGTATTACGTTTTTTTTTTTTTCCTACTAAGGACTTCATGTTAAATGTTCAAGCTGGCCAAAACAACTTTATACACATAAAATCAAATAAAAACGTTTGAAAAAAACTAGTAAATTTCAAATAACAATAAACAACTTTAAATTGCCAAAATGTTTTAAAAATTGTATCACATCCTGAAAGAACTAATAAAAGTATTCTGTGGAAATTTAAGGTCTTGGAAATTATTTCTACTAAATTACAGAACCGTAAGTAAAGCAACTAAATGTTTTATTATTTTTTTTTTTACAGCTTTATTAGCTATTTAGAAAACTTAAGGAAAATCAAAACTTTTCTAATAGAACATTTGTTAACAGACATAAAAATTAAAAACATATCAACACAATTCTCTTTGTTCAAAATTTAAAATAGCTAAATGAATTAAAACCTACAATGATAAATTATAGTAATGTTAAGATTAAGTTTTTACCTATATGGAAGCAATTTCTTGGTTGAAACATTTTAATGAGTTTTAGATAACACATATGATATTTATATATCTATGTATAGTTAATATTTATGTGTTGCATTCAATTTCCTACAGATGTATGGGAATTTCCAAAAAAGTATTTATCGAAAAATAAACATTTCAAAATGTTAAGCTCTTTTTAGAATCTTCAGGTAAGCAAAACTTTTGAAATTATGTAACACTAACATAATTATGAAGGTACCCATTCATAATAAAATACTTACATTTGTACTCAATACATTCTATCTAAACTATGTTCACATTAGATTATATAATTTATACTAAAAAATTATTATTTTATTAATTGTCACCAATCACATTGTTAACTTACCTTATTTTATTGTTGAATTGAACCGTCTTCTGATTAGTTGTTGTAACATTCGACACATTACACAGAAACAGATTACTTAAAACAGAGTAGGTACAAATAATTGCATGTTTGAATATAAGATTTTTAATTTTAATAACTGCTTCAATATTAGTGAACACGTCTCATATAGTCATATAAAAAAAAACTTAATATATAACACAGAAAATGTATGCAACATGTTCTTTAGAACAAACAATACCGACAGTTGCCACCAAAGTGTACATTATACCCAACATGGAAAAAATAATAAAATAAAATATTGTTTTCACCATGAGATCATATATAACAGCAAACCATCTGCTTAAATAAAACGTTGACAGTTATTTTAAACTTTTAAATCACTCTAAAAGTCTAAACATTGTATTGGTTTTATAATGATTCCTTTATCTTATTATTATTATTTTTTTTTTATCAATTACCAACTTTTTTACTAGAAATCTTATTCCTGTCATCAATTTAGAGGTGGTTTCTGGTAGAAAGTGACAAGTGCTGTCTATTTAGTGCAATGGAATCATTTTCTAATTTTCCTTGTAGTTTTTTTAATAATCGAGTAAAATGTGAATATTTATGCAATAAAGATTATCATTATTTTCAAATTTGATTGTTGCAATTCAATTAAAAATAATTATTAAGAACTGAAATTTTCAGTTAATACTTATACTATATAGGCTTTTTTAGGTGTGGTGCAATTTTCAAAATATTCCAACTGATTTTAAGTTATTTATAATTATTGTAAATTGTGAAGTTTAATTTCGTTTTTATTTGGTTTTATGTGAATAAAATTGTTTTGATTACCTACTTAAAAATACCTAAAAGATAGTTTAACACATATTTTATCATAATTTGCTCTTGTAGCATTATATAATATCAAACATTTATTATCATGATTTCTATTTTTATGAGCATTTCAAGTTCAAATATCGATTAAAAAAATTGTAACAATCGAGACATTTCGTATGCTACTTTTTGATTTTTAATGAATAAAAGTTTTTTGACTACGAAAAATGCTCAAAGATTTGAGATTAAAAAGACACAAGATAATTGTTATTTATCTTTTAGTTACTAATTAATACAATTTTCATTTAAATTTATCAAAACCAAGTTCAGAATCATTTTCTGTAAGCAATGATTTATCATTGTTTTATAAAATAAATCTAAAAAAGAATAAAATAATATAACTAAGGAAAATAAAATACACACCTAATATTAAACTGTATTAATTATTAGGTATATAAGAAATAACATATTTCTCAAGCAAATTAATAAAATTAAAAATATAATTGACAATTCCAAATTTTATTTGTTTCATTTTACTCCAATATTTTGAGTCACATAATATTAAAATATAAACAAATTGTATGATTGAAACCATCAGGTAGAATGAAAAATGCATTAATTTCTACATTAAGTAAAATATTAATGATTTCCAATATTTACAAATTTGTAATACAATACGTTTTTATGTATAAAATAATGCTAGATAAAAGATAATAAAATTGAAAATATTAATAACAGGATAACAGTTATTTTTTAATCAAAAATATTTTTTTTTTTTTTTATAAATTACTACAAAAAGAAATTTGAATTTGATATACTTTATATAACATAAAGTATAAATTAAAATAAGTCAATATTTATAACAAACTTAGTAAAAAACAGTAATTATTTTTGAATAAAAACTTTTTCAAGCTCAGCTTTTTATTGTTATAATCTAAAATCTTAAGTTTGGTTTACAGGTCATTATGTGTCTGAAAAAAATGTAAAAAAAAGATTATTAACTACTACTTTATTATTACTTAATCATAATAATCACATTATAAACATGTTATATTAAATAAAAATTAAGTACATATTATAATTTTTAAAAATTTTTTTTTTTATTTGGTAGATTTTTTTAAATGTGTTAATTAAAAAATGATGCTACAAATAAAATATTAAATAACAATAATTAAAATGTGCACATTATATTATAAATGTTACCAGAAAAGATGATAATTTAGAATTTGTTGCGATTTCCTAGTCATTGTATACAATAATTAGAAATGATAGGTAATGTTAAATATTTCAGTATTACATTAGGGAATGTTATCGGACATCTTTATTGATCTAATTATGAATTAAATTGGGTATGGCCAATTTGGTTTTATGTTATCGTTTTTATTGCTTTAATAGAATAAACAAATAAAAATATTGACCGATAGGTACCTATCTTACATAGGCACATTCCGTAAGTAACACATTACTGTTTGTGCACTATAATAGTAAATAGCGAAATTTTAATAATTGTGTTTGGTTAGGTTAATATTTTATAATAATTTTCTTTAGGTAATAATAAAGGAAGGCAAGGAGAAGAAGAAGACAATATTTTTTTTGTTATTGTGTAACTAATAGGTTCATAATTAATCTACATATAATTATTTATTTTTATAGGTACAGAAAATAGATTTTTGAAACATAAGTATACCAAGACAGAAATCAACCAATGTAAGGAGAACTTTCTTAATCTTGAAACAGTTTTAACTAAATCAAGATAGAGAAGATATAACTCTAGGAAGCAGCTGCTTTAAACAGCATTTCTAGATCACAGGTTTTAAGAGATTCCACTATATAACACAGTGTAAAACTAATAGATGTGCTTGGCGTGCATCTATGAGATTATCTAATTCTAAGTGTCATGATAGTTTACAATAAGGATGATTAAATATAAAATACTAATGTTACATAAAAAAAAAATTAATGGTAGCTAAATTTATTATGTCTTCTTATTAGATTTTTTTTATTTTATCATCATTGCCTTAATAGGAATAGACATTAATTCCTTACTAAATCAGGCATTATCGTTATTGATTAGTCATTGTTATCATTGACTAATTATCATTATTTTTTCCGCTAACATATATATTTATATATTTTATGCAATAGATTTTAAATTAGTGAAATTATAAATTTCAGTTTACAAAATTAAAAAAAAAAAAAAAAAAAATGAAGAAATGATAACAAAAAATTATTAGAGTTGACTATAAGTATTTAGGTAAAAAACCAATAAATGGTATATCATTTTATTATCCTAGTGCTAACTATCCCAACAGGTAGATGTCAAAATTCTGTATCAATATTTAAAAATAGAATATATAATCTAGTGAAATTTTGTATAATTCTGATTTTTTTTGTTAATAAACCTATAATTCAGATATTATACATGTTTAAACAAATTTGAATGAGTTTTAAATTAAATTTAAAAAATTTCAAAACTACCTTATTTAACAATTTTCAACAATCTTAGCAAATATATTAAAATAATCAGAAAAAATTAATATACATAATATTATTTATATATGTTTATATTTACATATATATTATGTATAAGAGGTGTGATCAAAATATATCTAGACTGTATTAGTCATATTTATATATCAAATGTTATTCGATAAAGTAATTTCTAACAAGAATTAAAGCGTTGGTTTAAAATATTTATTTTTATTTCTTGGAATTTTTCCAAAACCATGTTTCAGTCATGCGGCAAATTTCATAATGAAAGTAACAGAAGAAGGCATGTGTGTGAAACTTCCTTAAACCATTTAAGCCACTCATAACATGTCCAAGAAAGAACACCATCTTAAAAAGCTTCCTGCAAAAATTCAAAAGTTTCACTAGAACTTGTACATCATGTTATTCTATTGCTTCCATTATGAAATTCACGGGATGACTGAAACATGATTTCGTAAAAATGCCAAGAAATAAAAATAAATATTATTGTAGATTTCAAACCAGCGCTATAATCCTTGCTAGAAGTTACTGATTCGAATAACATTAACAGGATTTTTTTTACCATTATAAATACAGAGTATTTATATATATAATACAGATCACACATTGTGCATATGCACACAACAAATGCATGCGTACCTGTCTAATTTTTCCCAAAATACCATAAGGGTGGCTCTATCTAAATGACGCCTTGTCCTTGATATTTGCAAAACATTAACAGCCCATTTGGCAACATTTTTGTCCAACTTCATTTCATCAAATTTCAAATGAAATGCACATACTGAAAATTTAACAAATGATTTACATATTTAAAGATTTTAAATTTTAAATTAACTAATGCTTAACTTAAAAAATAATTATGAAATTCTAAACAAATTTAGAATGAGTAGAATGCATGTTAATCTTTTAAAATCGATCTTTCAAAGAATAAAAGTATGATAATTACTACTATTATAGTGAAATTTTTGTTTATGTACAATTTATAATTTTCACAATACTAAATACCTATAAAATAAAATAATTTAAAAATAAAAATAAATAAGCAGTACTTATAAGTATTTGTATAAAAAAAAAAAATACTGCCAGATATTTCTACTCTTTAAATAATTTTTGCTTTTTTTTTAATGGCTTATTTTTAGTATCTCATTACAGTCATTAGTATTTAATAAAGATAAATTCAACTCCAATACAACATTTGGTTGTACTCTATTTAATTTTTAATTTAGTGATACAAAATATTATTAGTTACAAAAAAAAAAATGAATTGATTTGATTCAAATTATTCTTAAAACACAAATCATTAAATCTAACATGATTTGATAGATTGGTTCACATCATTATGATATATCAGGAGAATATTTAGGTAATTTACAAAGGGAAAGAATATAAAATTTAAAATATATATAACAAAAATAAATATTTGATTAGATATTTTGAGCATATTAATATTATACAAAGTAAATTTTATACCAAGAAATAAAATAAATTTAGCAAACCATGAAATTAAAATATACATACTATTATTTATCTAAGAAACTGTGATAAAATAATTTAATATTTTAAATTTCATGTTACAATCAAAATTTATATAAATTGCTTATTTTTTTTAATAAATATTTGTTGTTAAATATTGTTTTACCGAATACTATTAATAACCATTGGTTAAATAATATATTTCAAAGAGTTTAATATATCCTCCTACTGCGCATTTAATTTTTAAACAGTACATTTTAAATATTAATTAAATTTTAAAATCATAAGTCAAATCAATCATAAAAAGTGAAAAAATAATAGTGTACATACTTTTAGCAAAAATTTCTACTGGATTGCCGTCCCATGGCCATCCTTTGAATTGCCATGCTGGTCCCATGACAAATACTGCAACTACTCTATCCCATTCTCCTTGGGTCAGTCTTTGAGGATTATCAACAACACGATATGGCACTGTCATACCTCCATCTTTACGACGCTGTAATAATAATTCATTGTCCCGTTTTGCGCCAGTTTGTTTCTTTTCTTCAGTAGATACAAATCTTTTTTTAAAAAAATTAACATTAAAATACATTATTCAGTTAAATTAAATACTAATAAAAATATATTTATTCTAATTTAAATTCTATTTTGTAAAATATTTTTTAGATTATGACTAAAGTTAGATATATTTCTTTAAAAAAAAAAGTAATAAAATTAATATTTTTATATCTAAATATTGTTTAAAAAGACACTTTTGGTTTTCGTTTTTAAATATATATTTAAAAATAAAATTCTGAATAAAATAGTGATGCGGTTTTATAACTTATAAGGAAATGCAGATAAATTATAGGAACTTATTACCTTATAAATGAGTACATAATAATAAACCTTAAGGAATAACATAGAATTATAATTCTATTATTTCTAGAATAGAAGAAAATTCTGAATGTATAGCGATTTTCCAAATTAATGTTTAAAAACATAATAAAATACATTTATGTTCTTCAAAATTATTAGGATCAGTAGAAAAAACAAAATAATTAAAAATGTATAGTAATATGCCTATAGGCATTATAGAACAAAAAAGCACAAAAAGATTGGACCTACTAATGGTTAAAAATTTGTCTATGCCACTGGTTGATAATACTTAACTTAATCAAAGGAAGTATAAAATTATATAAATAATAATAGTTGGATTAGTAATTATTTCACATGTAACAAATTTAAGTCTAATTTCAAAATTAAAATAAATACTTACTTCATATCTTGTAGAATTTCCCGAGCATTATGCATAGATATCAATGAAGACTGGCCAGCTGGGATGACAATAATTGGAGTTTTTGATATTCTTTGTTTTGCTTGCTGAGAAGCAGTCAATTTAGCCTATAATAAGTTAATTATATCATTCAAAACTTTATTACAATTTAACTATTTGATACACACAATTTTTACTATGAATATTAAAGTATAAGATATTTAAAATATAATATATTTATGTAAGTTGAAAATTGGAAGTGTTTCAAAATATTTAAGTAAACCATAATTCTATCACCATAGTTAAATAATTATCTATTGATAAGAATTATTTTTTAAGTCATATGTAAATTACAAAAATAAAAGTGTTTCTCTACTCAATGAAAACAGCAAAACTCAATTAAATGTTTAACATATTTTTCAAGAAAGTCAAAATTCAACATTGAAAGATCTCAAATTGTGCATTAAAGATAATTAAATTAATGTAATACACGTAACTACATTTCAAAAAGATAAACTGTAAAATTCAACAAATAAACGTTTAAGGCTATATAGAAACCAGCCTATTTTATCATTAAAAAATAATAAATTATCTGTTTTTAACAAAAACAACATACTGTACTTAGTAAAATCTATAATTATTTTTAACTTACCAATACTTCCTTTTCTGTAAACTTTAGAAAATAAATTATAAAATAATAATGTATTAAAAACTATTCTTAATAATGTAATAATAACATGACAATAACTTAACAAATGAAAGGTGTGAGGGAATAACATTGCTATATAGTAATTTATACAACTATCATCTTTCCTTTACTACTTAGGCAACTTGTTTACATTTTGCGGTGGCACCATGCCTGATAACATAACATCTTGGTCATTTCTATGATTATTTGTATTTACTTATATTGTATTATTTGTTTTTCTACCTTTAAGTAAGATTTTTCATCTATACTTAATCCTTAAAAAATTAAATACAAAAAAGTGTTACATAGCACTTTATTTTCGCACACCCTTCGATTGTTAATACTTGATTAATAATATTATTAGAACTAGTTGACTTACATTTGGACCAGTTCTAGATGACTGTTGTACAGGGGTGACTGTGGCAACTGGTTTTTTTGGAACTGTTCCTTCAGTTACAGATTTTAACGTCATACCATGATATGTACCCATAGTATCAATTTTAAAACCTTCCGTATCTATAAGTCAACATTTTAAACATAATATTATTGTATAGAATTAAATGAATCAAACAAATATTTTATTGTCCTTTATATCATCAATAGGCAACTTCTACACTCAAAAGGAATTATCACCAAATTATTGAAGCATTGTAAGAATTTAATGCTATTTAAAATATAAATGCATAATTAATTAATAGACTAACCTTCTCTCGATTTGATAAATCTTTCTTGATCATAACGGTTATAAACCGTTGGCTGTGGTATGGTTGGTTTAGGAGGTACTACACGTGGTGTTGTTACCATACTGTGTGATGGTCGCGTCCTACCATCCTCTCTATTTTTAATTGATTGCAGTATTGCAAAAATATTTTTTCCAAAAACCTATGATACACATTATTATTTAATTTAAATTAATATACTCAAATAAATCTAATAAGTTAAAAGATTTAACATATTAACAAACATTATAATATTACTTTTCCATTGCTTTGTAAAATGGTAGTACGAGTCCGCCATTGTCTTTCTCTTTTGATAATATCTTTTGTGATGTCTACATCAAAATCCAACATAACTCTAAGATCTGGTCCTAGGCCAATATCGTCATGACCTTTAATGGTAGTCCTTTTTTTTGCTAAACGTTTTGCTTTAATTGCAGCAATTTTTTCTACGGACATGGCTTCTGAAAGAGATCTAACAAAAACATTTTTAAGTTACCAAGCTTCATAATTTAAAATTATACTTAATTAAAATAAAGTTATTTAGACTGTGGTTATTTAATTTAAAATATTTTAAATTTTAATAAAGATAGAAAATTATGATTACTGTTAAACCAGTTTTTCTCAACCTAATAATAGGTAATATGTAGTAGGTAATATATTTTTATCTTAATTTTTTTTTTTTATAATAAATAAATAAATGATTTTGTTTTTCATAATTTTAAATAGGAAATAATGTAATAGATATTTTACTACAATCTTGAATTAAAATATTTTTAGTTTTTACATTATCTAAAAATGAAATCAATCCATGAAGAAGCAGTAGCCTTTTACAAACGATTCCACTCTAAACTCCCTTCTCATTCCAACCCTCTCATTTCGAACCTAGCCACTCTCACTATTCCTGGGAACCCTCCCAGAAGGCTCAAAGGGAAATGGTGTCGAGACCTCTTTACTGTTTGATAAAATTAAACAATATAAATAAAGAAAAAAAAAACCATCAAGTTAGGGCAGTGTTACTACTGGGTGACTCCTCTCTTCATTTCATCATGTTTTTATTTACTCATTTACCACATATTCTTATTGTTCCTCAAGGAACAGATTGTATATTCTTCGTATATAAAATAAAAAAATAAAATAAAAATATTTGTCTTACTTACATAAAATATATTAAAGTTACATTTAAGTTTATAAAGACCAGTGTTTTCAAAAGAAGGGTGATTTTTTGTGAAGTTTTTAGTTCTATTGTTTATATGTTAGATTAAATTATTTTTGTTTTAAAGGCGATTTTTGAATTATTTGTATTAGTGTTCAGAATTTTAGTGAATTTGTTAGACATATTATTTTGATATTTCATATTACAATAGTTAACAACATTATTTGGTGAAATGTTTTACTTTTTTTTTAATAGTATTTAAATTGAATTTATTTCTATGGGCTATATTCTAGAGAATATTGAGCTCATGTTGATAGTTATGTTTATTTAATGGAATACGTTCTAGCCTATAGAATATTGAATTAAAAAATTATATTTTTTAAGAATAAGGTTGATTAGAATCATATAGTATTATAGCATCAGTTTGTGTAGGTTTAATGTAAATAATAAAATCAAATTTATTTTTTATTATGGAAACTGTAAGGTCTAAGAAATTTAATTTATTATTCATTTGTTTTTCGAGTGTAAATTGAATATTCTTATCTATTTTGTTTGAGTAATTAACTAAATGTTCTTGGTCTATTTGAACCTCTTAATAAAATGAAAGTGTCATCAATATATCTTATGCTACTATAAAGTTCAATATGCTTTTATATATGGATTATATATTTTGTTGTTAACAATTTTGCATGTAAATTTCAGATAAAAGAGCACTTAAAGTTCCACTCATAACTAACCCACTTATTTTTGCGAATATAATTTATTATTATATTGGAAATAGTTTTGTTTATTTATTTAATATTATTACATTTATTGATTAAATAATTTCTTTTACTTCATTTGTATTGAATTTATTGCTATGTAAAGTTTATTTTTTAAACAATTTACTGGCATAATATTAATTTTATCAATAAAATTATAAGTGTTTTTTTTGTAGAAGTATCAGTATTCATGTTTAATTTTTCTTCTATGAGAGTCTAAATATTTAGCAAGGTTATAAGCTGGATTAGTTTTAAGTTAATTAATGGATGAATCAGATTATCTTGTTTATGTAGTTTTATGAATGGATGTAAGTGTGGAACCTCTATTTTGTTATCAGATTTTAACAATATTTTTTTTTGGACTTTAGGTATGGTTTTATTCAAATTAGTTATTAGTTTATTAATTTGTTTAGTGTAAAGGATAATAATAGCATTAGATTTATCTACTGGAGCTATTTCTAAATTATTTGTTTTTAATATATTCATACATATTGTTTATAATAGCATTTATTCGTTAATCCTAATATTTTACTTTAATATTTTATTAGATTTATTTTTGTAGTTTTTATTGGTGTTGTCTATAAGTTATATCTTATTTATTTTGATTTTGAATTTCTATATAATTTATAACATATCCACAATATATTGTTTTTTAATCAATCGAAAGTTTAATGTGTGATAAGTACATATTTAATTTATTACCTTTATTTAATAAAAAGTTTTCAGCTTTATTGAAAATTATGGAAGTTAAATTAGTAACTCGTAGTTGAAAGAAATGCTGGTTTTTAAGTTGTAATACATTTGTGTGTATTTTGTGCTACTAAAATATTAATTTTATAACTAACCCTATACCATTTATCATTATTATTTTGGTTGGATATTTTAAAGTATGAAAATTGTAAAAGGTTTAAATTTTTAAATAAAATTGTTTCTAAAAATGGTTGATTTTTTCTATGTGTTTTTTGTTGAATACAAATTTTGTTTCAGAATTCAACCATATTAATAATGATAAACCATAAATACATATAATTTATTTTTGTATGAAATCTACATATTTATTTATTACAAGCCTCCTAGTATATAAGCCTCCTAATGCCATCTTCGAATTTAAGAAACCACTAAATTTTAAAACTCAACCAACTAATTTCATTATAGGAGACTTCAATAGCCACTATACTAGCTGGGGCTACAATGTAACTGATGACAATGGCCATAAAGTGGAATTATGGGCAGAGTCAAATGGGATAATATTAATCTATGACCCAAAGCTTCCATCTTTTAATAATGGTAGGTGGAAAAAGGGCTATAATCCAGACATCATCTTTGCAAGCAACACAGTAGCATCACAATGTGTTAAGGAAGTGTGGAGACCAATTCCACACACTCAACATCGATCCATTGTTTGTAAGATCATGGCAGTTACAAAAACCAACGAAATCCCCTACATGAGAAAATACAACTTTTAAAAAAGCCGACTGTAATAACTTCACAAAAGACCTGGACAGCCTGATAACTGATATAGAACCAATGTATGAGAAAACTGTTAACTTCATATTCGTTTCTACAACTTCATTCAAAATCGCATCAAGGCAAAATATCCCAAGGAGCTGTCGCACACACTACATCCCAAGCCTAACACCCAAACTAGCAGAATCTCTGCATATATACACAAAACTGTATGAGGCCAACCCGTTTGAAGAGAATACAATAGAAGCAGGCGAAGCACTAATAAAATCACTAGCACAAGAGAAGAGAACGAAGTAGTGTAATCTATTAACCAGTATAGATATGAAGCGAAGCAGCAAAAGAGCCTGGAATCTCGTCAAACGTCTGAATTGCGACCCTAAAAATAAAACATTTATTCCAATTGTGACTCCAAATCAAATTGCCCATCACCTCCTAATAAATGACAAGTGCAATAAAAATAAAAATAAACACAATAAAAAATCACCTAAACCAAAGGTTAAGCGAATAATAAACGAGGAAATCACTGAGCTAGGAGACCCTATTCTATATGAAGAACTTGAAATTGCTATGAAGTCGTTAAAGATCAGCTGGTCTAAATATAATGTATACAGAACAAATTCAACATTTTGGCCCTATGGCTAAGCAGTGGCTATTGAAACTCTTCAATAACGTTAGATCTACGCTAAGACTTCTGAAAATATGGAGGAAATCTAAAGCAGTGGCATTACTTAAACTGGGAAGGATCCCAATTATGCATCTAGTTACCGACCAGTCTCCCTCCTTTGTCATACATATAAACTTTATGAATGAATTCTCCTAAACAGACTATGCCCAGTAGTAGATAATAAATTAATTAAAAAGCAAGCCGGTTTCAGACCGGGTAAAGCCTGCACCGTTCAAGTTCATTGAAAATAGGTTTGAAGAGAAGAAGATTATAGGGGTGGCATTTATTGACCTATCAGCTGCATTTACGACACGGTCAACCACCAAATCCTCTTAATAAAAAGCTACAACCTCACAAAAGACTATAAATTTACTCAGATCATTGAATCAATATTAAGCAGTCGGAGGTTTTTCGTAACTTTAGCAGACAAACAGAGCAGGTCGAGAAATACAAAAAACGGCTTATCACAGGCAGTACCCTGGCTTCAACATTGTTTAATATATATACAAATGATCAGCCTATCTCTACAGACAACAATGCTAAACATTTTATATATGCCGATGATTCTGCAATTGCTGTTCAAGGAAACCAATTTAAAATAATAGAAGAAAAACTCACTAAAACATTAGAAACAATGAGTAATTACTACAACGATAACTATCTTAAGCCAAACCCTATCAAGACTCTTGTGTGCGCTTTCCACCCCAAGAACAAAGAGGCAAATAGGAACCTTCAAATTACATGGGCAGGAGAATTACTCACACACTACAAAACACCGATATATCTAAGAGTAACCCTTGATAGGACATTAACATTTAAATTTAATTGTGAAAACACTGCCAAAAAGATAAACACCCGAAAATGGTTGCTTTGCAAGCTGACTGGATCAACCTGGGATGATCAACCGCACGCACTACGAGTGTCAGCTTTGGCATTATGCTTCTCCGTGGGGGAGTATGCATGCCCTGTTTGAGAACGTTCAAGTTATACGGCAAAAGTGGATGTGGCATTAAAGAAAAGCTGCTGCATTATAACAGTATGCCTTGAAAATAAATCGGTAGAGAAAGTATATCTATTAGCAGGTGTTGCACCTCCCAACATATGTAGACTTGTAATAATAAACCTAGAGAAACAAACAAACAAACGATTAGAAATACCCAATGTTTGGACTAGATATGCCCACTTTCCGCCTTAAGTCAAGGAAAAGCTTCTTAAAGATGTTAGAGATACTAACAGAAGACCCATCATCGAGATGAATAATTCTGTGGAAAAATCAAATCACAGATATAAGTTGGGGAATGGAGCCAGCCGAACAATTACTACAAGGTCTCCAGCTAGAATGGCAGACTTGGAGAATCCTTAACAGAATTAGAGTAGGTGTAGGCAGATCAAAAGATAACATATCTAGATAGGGCTATCATCTTAATAATTCTCTCACGAAATGCAGATGTGGCCAAGGACAAAGCTTATCTATTAGTATGCTCAAGGAACCTCAACTTATGCACGGAAGATGACCTAATACAGGCAAATGAAAAAGCAGTGGAAGTCCCTTGTTTTTGGACATTAGAAGGGATATAACAAATAACAAATGTCTACTCTATGTTTTATTTCATCTATCTATATTTTATTTATATTACTGATATTTATTACTTATTAACACTAAGCGGCCTGACACGAATAAAAAAAAATAATTACAAGTATTTCAAACTTTCTACTACTTTATGTAACTACTTTAAAATACATTTAAAAAATTATATTTTATCCATCATAGCAAATTTAAAGTATTAATATTTATATTTTCAAAACCTTGTGTATCAAATATTTTCAAACAAGTTAATTTTTGACAATTTTTTGAAAATATATAGATTAGTTCTACTAGATTTGTTGAACATCATTGGACAACTTAAATATTCAAATATTGCTGGACATCATTTTTACTGATAGCATTACAAACCATCTATCATATTTAGACAGCATTTATCTACTACTGCATATTTTTTTGAAATAATTTTTATAACACAAGTCACAAATCATAATGCTAAATATATAAATGTATACTATTATTATGAATTAATCTTTAATTCGAGTTATTAATTTAAATTATTTGGAAATTGTATTATTTTAACAAATTTGAAAGTTGTCCAACAGAGTCTAACAAATTTAGAAGAACATAAAATGTAGCATAAAAAACAGGTTTTAGCAAACAATGACTTGACATAAACTTAGCAGCGCAAAATTGGGAATTGGCCCACCAGGGAAAATAGTGCTCAACAAAATGTTAAAGTTATGAAACAATTAAGCAACAAATTTGTTGAATGGGTAGAATTGATATCTACTAATGTTGTGCTACGAAGTTCATATATGTATCTTAATCGTACTATAAAGTTAATAAGATCTCAATAAAATTATGGTTCGATGAAATGAAAATTTAATTTTCTCTCAGAAACTGTTTGGTTAAAAATTGTTTGATGTCGGTTACAATTAGTTACTAAAACGTTATTCAATTTTGGAATTAGTCCGGAGTCGATAGGGTATAGTTGGTGGGCCACCTTTACAGATGTCTAATATTGATAGTTATTCTGTTGTTGACCTATAGTAGTACCTTTGTAAAACTCACAATGATATTTGCCTTAGCATTCTGCTGCACACGGTTTCAGACAGTTTCAGACGGTTTAATAGGACTTTGGAAAACACCTTATACACTGAGTTTAGTGGAGATATCCTCTATAGTTGTTGCACTCAGTTTTATCGTCCTTCATATAAAGTAGATAGTATTATTATTGCTCCGTTCCAATAGTCTGGCATTATTTTCTGCTGGTATACCTTAAAAATACAATTATGCACATTTTCTCCGCGATACTTTATAAGTTCCAATGGAATGCCATTGGAACCTGGGATCTTCCAATATTTTAAGGTTCCTTATTGCTTCCTTGACTTTCTCTTTGAATACTTAATTTACCAATGGTTTTCTTTCCTCTCCTCGCTGAATGTATGCATTTTCTATATGATTGGGACCCATTGTATCATTTACGAGATCAGTAAAATATTCTTTCCATCATATTATTTTCTTTTCTGGATCCATCAGTATTGTCTCCATAGTATTCTTTAAGACTTATAGACGTGGGTTAAACGATCTTTACTTTTTGATAGTTTTGAAAAAATTCCTTATGCTACCTTATAATCTATTCCTTTGTAATATTCCATTTAGAAAACATTTGTTCTTTCTCTGTAATACATGTTTAAAGTTCTTTTATTCCTTTTCATATATTTCTTTCTTATTTTCATTTTTAGTCCCCTGATCTATTATAGTTTTCTCTGGTAATTCACCACTTCTCTATTTCTTTGTGAGAGGCATTGTTATACCGTATATTTGTTTTGTTTTCTATCTTCTCTATACTCTTTTTCTCTACTTCCTTAATATATTACATGGCTTGGTCCTATTCTATTTTTTATCATGTTCTTCTAGGTTTCTTAAATGGTTACTAATTTTATTTGCACAATTTTTCTGAATCTCTATATCTTTTAATGCTTCCAGGTTCACACTAAATTTTTTCTTTTTTCTCTTTATGTTCTTATGGTCTTGTAATTTCAATCTAAACATTGATATAGCATTCACCTTGTTATAACAAAAGAAAATAACCACTATCGCAATCTGCCCCTCTGTAGCACCTAACATCCATAATAAACGACCAAAACCTTTTCTGTATAAGTATATGATCTATTTGGTTTATAGCAGGGTTGGAACATATAATACAATAAAGTATAAAACACATATTATACATATAAATCGTACAGTATGAAACTATTAGTTGTATACGCTTCATACTGTATACTTTTTTTTTTTTGGCTGCAGTTGAACAGAAATTATAAATATAAATATAATATAAAATAAGACAAAATAATTAACAACTCAAAAATGGCCTTTTACCAGTGATGGGCAATACCAAGTAAAAACTATCTATTTACTCGGTTGTTTTTAAACAATGGATGGTCAAAAACACTCGGTTGTTTAGTAATCCAGTCGATACCAATACTACCGATGGAAAACTATCGGACTATAGAGTAGTTTATTCTAATGATAATATCTATTTAGTTGAAAAAGTACTTGGTTGTTTTTAAATTATCGAGTCAAAATCGGTCGATGCTACTATTGAATGAAAACTATCAACTAATTCATTCGATAGTTTTCAAAACAATCAATGGATAAAACTATCTATTTAATCGATTAATCACTTGATTGTTGTTTAAATCAAAACTAGTCGGTTCCGCCCATCATAACCTTTTATGTTCCAAGTAGCAATCTTTATCTCCGCAAACAGTTTTCTATGTCCTAACCATTGAACTATATACTATGATAGGCATACAATGCATATTTGCCATATAATGAAAGTGAGTCACCATTTTGATTCCGTTTCAATTATTTCCGATATCATCGTACTGAGTCAAACTTCATTTAGTGGTTTTTGATAATAGTTTCTAACTTCATACACATAGTGTAAAGTAGTTATTGGTGGCAAATCGAAAATTTGGAGGTTAACAATATTATTATAAAACAAATAATATTATACAACTATTCCGTAAAAAATTAACACAACACGCTAATAAAAACAATAGCATTATAAATATATAAATAAAATATTTAAACATAAAAATAAAATTAATTAATTAATGAATGTGTGACCTGAAGTATTATAAGTGAATTATTATACCACCGGTTTCGAATTAAAAATCAATCATCAGGTAAAATGACAGTCAAAACGTAAAATGCGACTGAATAAAAAAAATTTAATAAAGTAAATTTTTTTTTTTCTATGTATTACTTCTATATTTTTTCATATTCAGTCGCATTTTACGTTTTGACTGTGATTTTACATGACGATAATTTTTTAATTCGAAACTGGTCATATAATACATATATAATACTCCAGGTTCTATTCATTCATTTGTTTATCTTAATATATAAATTTTGTATTTATATATTTACACTTTTAATAATTTTGTTTTACTTTATTATTAATAGCATTATGTTATTTTCTTAGTTATTATTTTTAAATTATTAAGTAGTCACAACATGTTGCATACCCTTTTGGTTTGTTTTATTATCTTTCATCACCGGTTACAAAAAATTAATTTTAACAATATGAAGTCAGAAATCATCATAAAAAACCACTAAATGAAGTTAGGCACGGTATGTATGATATCGGAAATAATTAAAATGGAATCAAAATGGTGACTCAATTTATTAACACTATGCGCCTAGGATAGTATTTATAGTTCAGAGGTCCTAACTTATAATCATTAATTCTAGACGTAGGCCAAATGAAAAATTATTAAAACTTAGTAGAAAAGATATGAGGGCAAATGGAATAGATCTTGGAGATTAATAATCGAAATTATTACCAATGGTTGTAATACTGGCTGGATCTAAGAGTAGCTTACTACACGAAAAGAAAGAAGAAGCTTAGTTTAACATTAAAAAACATTTTAAAAATAAATTTAAAATTGTAATAAACAAATATTTTAAACATAAATCGTTTATGTCAAACTAAGAAAAAATAAATTTTAATATATAATTTTAAATTTAATAATATTAAAAATGTATTGAGCATGCACTTGATAGGATTCTGCAGTCTCACTATTAAAATTATTTAACATGCAAACCACTTTTGTTACCACACATTTTTCACAACCCATGTCAACTTTGTTAAGGCTAGGTTACACAATATGAGTTACTAATGACAGTAGACAGCTATAGCACTTATGTACTAACATGGCAGTAAAAACAAAAAAAAATGTAGTAACGCAGATGCAAGATACTGAATGACTCACACAAGACAGTAATTTGAATTATGCAGTCACACAATGTGAATAGCTGCACTTCAGTAACTGAATAGGCCAGTTCGGGTGTTATCTCACACTATGTAATCGGGTATTTATCCATGAAAACAAAAAAATTTGACATGGTCAAACAAATTTTTTTCACATAAATATGTTGTTGGAAATATTAATAGACTCAAAAAGGCTCCAGTTGCTTCTACATAAAGGCCCAACAAACTTAAGTTTGTTTTCACAAGAAAGCTCAATTTAATTTTCTATGCTATTTTTACTATTAGTATATCTACTATGTTTGTTCAATCCATTCATAATTTATACGATTATTTTTAGGAAAATACTCGTCAAATGATTTTTTAAAGGCTGTTAAATGTTCATATACTAACTCAGCAATGTCTTCATACTAGTATAATTTTAAACAGAAGACTTATTGCAATCCAGTTTTAAATCTTATGGACAAAAATTAGTTTGAAACCCACCAATTAAAGACCACTGGTTTAAATGATTAAATAAAATTTAACTTAATACTTATACTGTAACATAATAATATACTTAGTAATATTTTTATATCTTTTTAATAAATGAATAATGTTATTAAACAAGAAATTTATTTTTTGTTTTTGTTTATGTGCGCATAATTACTGTTAGAATAATATAGATGAATACATATATTCAAATTTTGATTCTACTTTCAGTACATTTTAATTTTATTGGCAGCATAACTTTTAAAACAGTCCCAGATACTTTAGAACCATAATGACCACTCCAATATTGTGTATCTACTCCAGCATGATAAATACTGATAGAAGATGCATTGCTTTGGTTTTTAAAGATATGTGAAATCTAAAATAAAATATAATGATAGAAAAATAATTAATTAGGAAAATACTAAAAATACAAACTTTAGTCCATTTATTTGCCTGCCCCTGTAGTAAATTATCATTATAATTGTGTTGTTCTAGTACTCTTTCAGTACTATCATGAACATTTGCCCTGAACGCATACTTACAACCACAATCAAAACGACCCGAATACCTGCAATTATTTCAATTTTGAAATTAATATGAAAAAAATACTTCTTATTAATAACAGTCTATTACCATTCACTAACTAAAATATCAGGTTTAAGTAATTTCATTAGAGTGCTGGTCAAACCATGATTTTTTAATGTAATTGTTTGACATTTAGAACATAGTCTATAAGTTGAAACAAAACAAGATGTATGGCCATCAAAATCTGGATCATCAGGCAATGGATCAGCACCAACTGGTATTTGTTCAATGATCCACAAAAAACGTGATAACGTGTTGTTTTTTAAAGCCCAATGGTTAAAGTTATCTATATTTAATACAAATTATTATGATTAAGATATAAATATAATGTACACATATACACAAAATTGTGAAATGAATATTGAAATTCAAAAACTTTATTTAAAATTATAATCTATAAATCCTGTATAACTTATTAATAAAATTTGAAATTTATTATAAAAATCTTTATTTTTCACAAAATATTTTAATGAATATTTACAGATGTTGGTTCTTAAATTTATTAGCTGAAATGCCATCAGGATTGTTTTTTTTTTTTTTTTAGAAATACTATCTATAAAATAATATGTTATAATAAGTATACTGAATGATTTTAATTAGTGTAATAGCTTGAGTGATGAAGGGAAGAACCAAACAATTTTTTTTTTAATCAGAAAATCTTAGATGACTATCACTCACAATATTCTGGAATCTTTGAAGATTATAGATTTACAGAAATATAAGTACCTACCTACAAGATGGATATACTTATAGTAAATACTGTAGTAATTACAATCACATTTTGATACAATGTTAAAACCATCCTTTATATATATTTATCTTGGGTACATGTATATTTAATATATCTTTGGATACAATGCATATATTTAAGTTGTTATAATAGATTATGGCATTTTTGAATTATAAACTAAATTATCAAACACAAATCAATACATAGAAAGATACAGGAAACACCTACCTTGAAACACACATAAAGTATATATGGAATTTGATTGATCTGGGGATAATGATTCATTATCAAAATCAATATAAAATGTTATATTTATATAAATTTAACACTAAAAAAAAAAAAACTATAAGAAAAATAACTACAACGAAGCCAAAAACAACTAGCCATTATTAAAAAGTATATATTAAAACAAAATTATTTTACTTGCCTTGTCCGCAATGATTTTGCACCAAGTTTCTGTTGAATGGATCATACTTACAAATTGCATAAAACACATACCATGGAAATTCTAACTTTCGCACAGTATTTGAATCAATTTGTGAGAAACTGTAATATCCTTTACCATTATTTACTATCTCATTACCTCGTGATGCTTTTTCATGAAACACATGTGCATCAATAAATGATCTCCATCTTTTACATACAATTCTACAATTAAGAAGTGAATCTACATCAACAAAACTCAATAAGCATATGATCATTTCGTCTGGCAGTAAATCAAAAGGTTTCTCTTTCTTCACTTTTACAGAACGGTTAAAAAATTTCATTTTCAATTTTATTTTATTCATTTTGAAACTATAGATTAATATAGCAGTATCGTAGATTAGTTTAAGTTTATGTTTGAAAAAAATAGGTACTACAATAAAATAAAAAAATTGTAACAAAGATACATAAAACATGGAAATATTGCTATCAATATTTAATGAGAGAGCCTAGTGGTTCTCAAAGTGCGTGAAAATTGAATTGAAATATAGAAAGGACTACATAGGCAATAAATGAGCAATAATGCACGATGTGATGCGCAAATAAATAATTTTTAATTAATAGCATAACGTCACAGTGACCAGTCGAAATAGTCTTCTTTATAGCTCGATTAATAATATACACAAATCGATTAAAAAATATTTTATTTCACCAAACGATAGGTTGTGAAGTCTACGTTCAAACAGTGTACTCCGCTAAGGATTTTTCCGGACGGAACATACCTTATAAACTGGTGATAAACGGTAGGTAGTAACGCACAGCATATACAGAATGTAACTGGACTATTTTATATTTTTACATATAAATACAATGTAATAACCTAACCTAACTACTATATCTATATACGATTTTAGCGAGGCTTTTTGAAAAGAAACACATATGTAACAAAGTGGCCAAAGTTGAAGTAAAAAATATCGAATATCCTAATCAAAAGGATTCTTTTAATTTCGGAGTTTATTGTTTATATAATACTGAATGCTTGATGAGAAGCCGAAAAAATATTATTTTTGATACTAATTTCGATCCAATGGTGTCTAGAATAAAACTGAAAAAAGATGCTTTTGGAAAGCTCTGATTTTATGAGAGATATTTGTTTATACTGTGGAAATTCAGATTCACTACTTAAATAAATTAAAGAAAAAAATTTCAATTGGATACAATGTGGTATTTGTACTAGATGAATAATAGAGGATTGTGTTAAAAAAATTGAAAACAAATTGGATTTCAGTGGTAATTTTGAATGCTTATTGTTTAAGTCTTATTGGAGAGGTATGTTTCATATTGTAATTCTATCTTCAATTATTTAAAATTGAATGATTTTAATATGTATTGATTTTCTCTTTTTTTAAACCCTGTTTTGTTTTTATTTATAATTGCACGGTTTTTAATATGGAAGATACTTATTAAATAAGCGGATTAGGCTTAACGGGGATACCACTTGGGAAAAAAACGCACCAATGCAGTTCCATAAAGTTTTGAAATTAAGGTGATGAGAAAATCTGCATGATGCTTGCATCTATGAATAAAATATTAACGACCTAATTATTTAATTAGTTGGTGAAATAATACAAAGAAAACTAAATGTATAATTATATCTGATGACAAATTTAATATTATCTTCACAACAAATAATAAAGTTAGGTAAAAAGACATTAGTATTTATTATTATATTGTAAAAGTAAAAAGTAAAATTTAAATTTTTCAGATGACAATCAAGCAATAATTTTATTAACCTATGCAAATTATTCATACAAACTTTATGAAGTATTTAAGATTGACAATTTGAACAGGTATTCCTAAAACAAATAAACTAATTATTAGATAATAGGTTTAGTTAAATCTATGTTTTACTTAAATAGTTTAATGTATTAAGAACAAACAACAATAAGTAATATCAATTTACCATCTGGTAAATTGGTAAAATGGTACTGGAAATTATAACTGGTTCAATTATTTTTGTAATGATTTTCAATACCTATTACATGTTGGCATGTTGTATGTAAATATAGGTATCTTATTATAGAATTAGTTTTTTGTTTAAGTAAAAAAACCTATCTTTTGTTGGTGGATTATCATTCAATGAACTTTAAAAAACCTGTTATTAAAAAAGTTTTAAGCAAAAAAAAACAGTTAAGTTGGTTTGTACAACATACATACATAAACATTGGTGTAGTAGTCCCTATAGATCATTAATTTTAATCAATGGGGAAGTTATACCAAATGAAGACTTCACCAGATACCTAGGAGTAAAGTTGGACAGAGCCCTTACTTTCAAACCTCACTTGGAAGGTCTAAAAAATAAATTAAAAACGCGGAATAACATAATATCAAAACTAGTAGGTACAACCTGGGGTTGTAAAGCAAATACTTTACGCACCTCAGCCATGGCGCTCGTGTATAGTGCAGCAGAGTACTGTGCGCCAGCTTGGACAAGGAGCACTCGCAGTAAAAAAATCGACATGCAGTTAAACCATACCATGAGAATTATCTCAGGAACGGTAAAAAGTACTCAAATACAATGGCTCCCTGCTCTTACAAACATTGCTCCTGCTGACCTGAGAAGAAAAGCAGCAACCCACTCCTTGTTAAATAAAATTAAAAAAAAGCCAAACCTCCCAGTATACGAGGACATTTATCAACACCCAGTAAAAAGACTTAAGTCTAGAAATCCAGTGTGGATCGATATTGAAACAGAAGTGAACACAAAAAACCAATGGANACAATAAATAGAATAAGAACTGCTAATGGTAGTTGCAATCATTTACTTCATAAATGGGGCATGAGTGAGTCACCTCTTTGTAGCTGTGGACATATCCAAACAACGAAGCATATAGTTGAAACATGCCCCTTAACTAAATGTTTGAGAGGTATACATGAAGGCAGTGCAAACGCGATTAAATGGCTGGAAAATCTGATTATTCGCCTATGAGACAACTTAACCCAATAGTTACCAAATTCTTAGTCTTTAGTTTCTAGTCACCGTTTTTGTTTATTTTCCTATTTACTTATTACTTATTTATTATTGCTATTATTATTTATTTATTTATCTATTTATTTATCCTGTTTTGTTTATTTATTTATTTAATTAAACCGAAGCCATATGCTTATATATATATTAATTTTAATAATTTTTAGAATCGTGGAGAATATTTTATAGTGGTTTAATAAGTATTATAGGTATTTATTTATTTATTTATAAAACCACCAAAAAATTTAGTATAAAATATATTATAATTGTGTAAACACACTTAATATACTAATATAATTATTAATATCAAATCCCTGTGTAGCTATGCTTGGTGAAACTAGGTGAGATTTAGGAGTCTAGTATAATATATATAATTAGTATTTAATTGACAAATTATGATGATAATAAATCTAATACTTAAAAATCGTACATATTTAACATAATATGTGATTTAGATACATATTATCACTAAAGAAAAAAAAAAATGTATCACTACTACCGCGATTTTTATTAAATAACTATTATGTATTCATTGTACTATCATTATTATTAATACTTTCTAGAATCAAAACCCTAAAATTATATTCATGTTGAAGTACCTCCAATGGGAGGCCCTCTTCCTTCAGTCTTTTCTGTCTGTTTTTTTTTTTTATTTATTATCACTTAAGCTTATTGTTCTAATAGAAACAGATAATTTTACATAATTTTTATTCTATAGATACTCTGTGGATAATATTGTTAAACCAGACAGAAATACTTGAAAATTTAACAGGAGGTTCATTATAAGACATTCTTTGTTGTAAGAAAAAAAAAAGAAAAACAAACTTTGTATGATAGGTGGGCACTATTGTTAGTATAAAATTAATAAGGTAGGATATAAAAAAGCACGTCACCAAGAGGGGGCTTCAGTGGACCGACCTCCTCAATTTTATTTTTTAATTATTTTAAATATTATGGTGTCTATTTTCTTGAATCAAGACTTGTACATCTAGACGGAACATTTATTGAAACTCATAAAATTCTATAAGTCATCGTAACCATTCTAGTTTTAAGTACTGGATGTAAAAGAACATTTCTTTGTTTAAGAAAGCTTAAAAATTGTATGAGATTTCTTATGATAAATGAAACGTTAGTAAATAGTAACACATTAATACTTAAATCTGTAATAAACTTAAACTGATAAACTCTAACAATGAAACAATTATCCACTTCTACAAAATGTGTGTTGTTCTATATTTTTAAAAATGGCAATATGTATAATACAATTGACAGATAAATTAAAACAAATAAAATAATGCATTCATATATTTAAAAAATATCCCATTAAAAAATAATAAATTTGGTAGTTTTTAAATCCTAAGACGAAGCTATTCGTTTTACTAAGATTTTTATTTTTTTTTTTCTAGTCTGGACACGTTTTTTCCTAGTAAACTTGCTCAGATTTTTACGTGTACCAACTTTTCTGAAACCTCAAGGTTATCTAGATTGTACTTTTAAAAAGGTCATTTTTTATTTTTGACCCCATTTTTTAAATAAAAGCACTGAAGTGGAAATAAACAGGAAAACGTACAATTTCACGATTTCATTATTTTATAAGAACACTAACTACGTTTTCTACCAGAAAAAATGATTTAATCGAAAAATTACAAGATACCTTTTTTGTTGCCTTTTTGATTTACTTTCTTATGGTATCATTTTCAAATTTTTGAGCTTTTAAGGAATTTTAATTTTTAAGAGTTTTTGCTGTAATTCGGTTATAAATACACATAGAGACTTGAAACTTTGTAATAATACTTATATTGGAGTTTTCTAGACGTGGTAAAATTTCCAAAATGATCGGACAATTGTTTTTTTAATTTTAATTAAAATTTAAACGAAAATCGCAAAAGAAATTACGGCACTTCAAATTATGTGTTAACAAACAACACTCGGAATTGTCTTTCATCAAGCAGTTATTTATCATTGATTACAGATATAATTGAAATAACCTCATGTATCCTACTTTCCCAACTTCCCACCTATAACAGTGGCTGCATTTGTCCCCAGTATCAGCTCTTTTTTTTTTTTTTTTTTTTAAATTATAAACATCTTAATTAGGTAGGTACCTAATTAAAATGAATAGCAAACCTACATACCTATGTAACAATAATTGTATTTATCTTATTTTATTAAAGGTTGAATAATTTGTCAATTGAAAAACATACTTCAAAACAATTATATTTATATTTTTTTGTTGAAAAATGTGAAGCAAATCATAAAAACAGATAACTTATCCTTATATATTTGTATAAGATGTAAGTACTTTTATCAATATATTATTAACCAATACATTATTCAAATTTAGTAATTTTGTATAAATATTAAAAATTGAATAATAAAAGTTAAATTAAAAATGTTTGCATGGGTATTTAGAAGTTTTGATACTTTTTTGACATATTTTAACATTTTAAGTTTATATTTATGTACTAATACACAATAGGAATAATAACAATATTGAACAAAAAGTGTTTTTTTCAATTAAGATTCTTTTTACCGACTTTTAGAATACCTACATTGAATATCATTTATTTGAATAAGAATATTTATTAATAGTAGTTACCAATAGTAAAACTTATAAGAAATATAAAAGGTTACCTACTGGTTATACTAATTTAATATAAATTGCTTTAATAAGTGTAGTTTAACATTATAATTAACTACCTATATGTAAGTGGATATTTTATTTAGTAATAGGTACAAGTCAGTTGATCTGAAGTGTAGTATAAACATTTTTGGATAACTGGAATACACTTGTAACAATTGGTGTACGGAATTTTTAAGTTGAAGTATAGAAAATCTAAGAATGAAAATAAAAATCTTAATGGTCAAGGTTTATCTTACACTATTAATAATAAATTTACTATTTCATTGAATTTGAAGAAGTTGCTTTTGGAATGCTAAGCTGCAACTGATTAACTTCACTGAGATCTGGAAAATTAATGAAAAATACAAAATTGGTAAATAAAATACATATAGGTAGCATATAATAGTAATTATAGATACATTTTATAAAATAATATTTATATTTAAATAAAAAATGTAAACCAATTTCTGATAATTTTGCATTTTCAAAAATGTATGTTTTTTTTTATTAGGAAATAATGATTTCCTATTTACTTTTTTATTTAGTTGTATCTTTCTTGTTCATACTAGCATGTTGAGTTATACACTAGCTTGTTGAGTTATTTCCCACCTACAAGTTCTACAAAAGTATGGTAAGATCGACTATATTGTATTGTTTAGAGTATTGGGAGGTAGATAGAAAAATAGAATAGAGAATGAATGTATCAGCAGATATAAAAATATTAAGATGATGAATAGAGTGGCAAGAAAAGAAAAAGAATTAGTATATAAGAGGAAGCTTAGTCAGGGCTTTAATAGTAGATAAAATGAGAGAAAATAGATTGAGAAGGTTTGGGCGTGTTATGCAAAGAGAAGGAATCTAAAGCAGCAACAATTTTTAAAAATAAATTTAAGAAGAAAAAGAAGGAGATGAAAACTGAAAAAAGTTAGTTAAAGGTAGAGAAGAAGTTTATATTAGAATTCTATCTGAAAAAAAAGATTATTGTTACCCAATGTCCATTCATAATCAGTATTTGTCAACTAACAAAATTATGGATAAAATATTATTGTGTAATCAAAATCATGGAAAAAAAAGGGGTCCAAGGATAATGGAGATGGGTGTAGCCACTGTTCTGGGTGGGAAGTTGGGAAGGTAGGATACAGAAAATAATTTAATGTATATTTGTAAGCAACGATAAACCATTTGTAACAAAAAAAATGGTTCTAAAGTGAGTTCAATTGATAATGATGCTTTGTCAACAATATATGTGTCCTGTTATGGTAAAATAATTAAATAGGTATTATATATTTTTATCAATAATATTTATTTAATATTTTACTGTATTTCCCGGTTTTTACATTGCCTTGGAAAATCAAAAAATGACCTCTCTAAATTACCTCCCCAATCAGATTTCCTTTTAGAAAAAGTGCTATGATTGTAAATCTGAGCAAATTCACTGATAAAAAAGTTGTTCATAAAAAATAAATATCATAATATTTTACTAATATATTTTGTATATTTTCTCGTTTTTCACATTTTATGAGAAAACTTCTGAAAAAATTGAAAAATGACTTACCTAAAAAAAGTACCAACCCAAGAATATTAGAAATGGGTCTACATTGGAACAAGATTTCTGGTATAAATGTTGTATACTGAAAAAAAAAGAAGAAAAGTAATAAACATATTTGTAAAATTAATACATTAATTGCTACATTCAGAATCTAAAATTCAATAAGTAAATGTAATTCATTCAAACATAAAATATACATACAACAAATAGGTATACAATTTTATAAAACACATAATAATATCTACCTAATATATAGATCAATGCATTTTAGTGAATAATAAATTGGCCCATTTTTGGTAAAAGCTTAACATTTACAATAAAAGTGATATTGATCAAATAAATGTTTATTGTGTCCTTCTCTATTTTATAACATAAAGTTGACACCATAATCAGCAAAAGCTCTATAAAATAAAATAATGTATAAATTAAATGCTTAATCGTATACAATTAATCAAGTAAAACAATTTAATTTATATAGATTCACTAATCACTTGAGATCCTTTAGAAATTGGTTGTATAGTTCGAACTACTTCTATTCTATCACTTGACTGAACAATCACATTTGAGTCCTATGAATGATTTATCAAACTGTATGCAGTGCACAGAATAAGTTTTACGGTATTTAAAGTATCAGGCTGACTATTGTCTGTAACATTATTACTTGAATCCCTCCTCATTATTCATTTATAAATAGGCCCATGGTCAACACAACACGTACTAGTGTGTTTCCGTTGCATAACTTTATACATTTAACTATATTTCGTTTAAAAAAATTAAGAAAATCTACCTTCATATTTTTTTGTAGGTATTAATATTTGTATACATTGTGTTAATTATTAAGGGAATAATTTGACCATTAAGGATTTATGTTAATACTATAATTTATAAATCTATTTGTGCCTATTAAGGGTCATCGACAATATCCTACCTTCCTAACTTCTCACCTACAGCAGTAGCACCCAAACAAATTTTTATGGTGTAGCAGAATTTGAAATTCAAAACCACCGTTCACCTCATAAACATATATTCACTTAAATATATATTTTTCAACCTTAAGAAATATAACTCTTGAATGTTTATACTTACCATTCTACTCGACTATCTCAAGTTCCAATTACTGGAAACACCCACCCACCCCAAAAATGATGTATAACAATTGTTACATTTGAAGTATTGTTTGGGTGCCACTGTCTATTGGCTACCTGCAAAAAAGGGGGACGAAATAAACCATATACTGTAATACCATTTTAAATTAAAATTATTATTTTTATTTATTTCTTCGAAAAGATAATGGACCTTACTGAATTTATAATAAGGAAAATAATATGTTTAAATAATAATTTACATTTAACTTTTTTTTAAATTTTAGACTTATTAAATGAAACTAACTTAAACATGTATAATGTAGGTAGCAATAATTAATACATAGAGACTTAATGTATAATACCGTTTGATAAAATATAATTGCAAGCCACTGAATTAAAGATATACAAATATTTAGTTCTAAATTTGGTTCATTCTGCAGCCAGTTAGTTATTTTTTTTAAAAAAAGTATTAAACAATAGAGTTGTTTTGAAGTCTAATGGTAGCATATTATATATTATTGGCCCTATATAAAGTAGATTGATTATCAATATAAATATGAAAATAAAATAAATATAATACAAATCTTTAAAATAAGACAAATAATGAGGATAATATTATCTTCTCTTGACCACGCAATTGTTGAATGATAAATTAAATACCTACTAATAATTGTATTATTTTATAAATCTTATAAATAATTGTTTTTAAGTAATATATGTGTATACATATATACATAGGTACATATTATTATATTAATACTATAGGTATATCAACACTATGAATACTATAGTATACTATACACTATAATATAATATAGTGTAGTATAGTATAGGCAGTAGTAATTATTACAAAATCAATAACCAATAACTTTAATATATGTATAACATTTTGTAAACTGTCAATTAAAATATTACATTCATACATACATCAAAAAGGTACCTACATAATTATATTTGCATGCCCAAATAAAACAATTTAACTAACACCAATAAGAACCAATTTCAATAAATTAAATTGCCATTTAAACAAAGCATAGGTATTGTTTAAGATACCATTAAAATTAATTTTGTATTAAAATAATCATCATTATTATGCATGGGCGTACTAATATGACCAAATGTAGCTAGTGATCTTATATGTTATTATATTATATAAGAGAGGTACCTACACTATGTGTTCTATGAAACTGACCTGACACTGGCTATTTTGGGCTATTTTTATTTGAATATTATTGACTCTTTTTCTCATTAAATTATTAGAAGAAGAAATACTAGAAACTTGAACAGAGAGTACATATGACCGATATGAACATTATGAAACATCGTTCATTTTTTTGAATTTTCACACAATCACACTACTGCGATGAAAGTTGAATCACGTCCATTACTACGCTACATACTTGGTGGCAAAACTTTATTCCACGTTTACTGTTTAGTTGTTATCAACGAAAACATGTTTCTGATGTTATCACAGTAAAAATAAATTGTTAAGTAGTTGGTTGTTCGACCTTTATTCATATTTTAATGTTTTCATATTTGAATTCCTCAGTTTTATGCGGTTTCACGTAATATCAACTAGTTTTGACTAAGGTACCTATTTTCCATATTTCTCATGATTTATCAAACTAGAGAAGGTCTAGCTATAGATATACCTAAATATGGGTTTATGATTCTGGCCCAGTAGTATATAGCGAAGAGGAGTATTGCAGGTATAGAAACACCCTCCGCCCTTGAGAGCTAACAGTGTTTATTTATTACAGATATATAATAAAATGAAAAATTAATTATTTTACGACGTGGTCATATAATATATAAAATTTAAACAGTTAGGTATAATATAACTATTAACTATTTATTTACTTGAAAAATAACGGGCTGGAGATCCATTAACAAAATTACATATTAAGAAAAATAACAACGTGATACACAGTTGGAGTGCAATTAAATTATTAAGAAACGACAAAAATATTAAATATTAGCTTAAGACAAAGTTACAAGTAAAAGGTTAAATTAATAAGTATCTAGTCTGACTATTAGTTTAGTGATTGATTAACTGTAAAAGATTATTGATCTCACTAACCGTGGTCTAAGGAGATAAGGCCCAAAATACTTTCCTGTTTAACAAATAACGTTAATCAATTCGGTCGCTTAGAGACACGGTTATGGATAGAATGTTTGTAAATGGCTCAAAAATGACTCAATGTTTTTAAAATTCTACCACGTCTATAAAAGACAATTATACCTACTTAACTAATATAAGTTTTCTGTCCAAATTTTAAGTCTCTACGAACGTTTTATTTACGAACTGAATAACAAAAATATAAAATTGAAAATAATAAAAGCATTATTTTCGTAAATTTTTCCGTTTTCCTAATTATAATGAAAACCCCATGGAAAATCAAAAAATGTAATTCTTAGAGTACCTTCTTAGAGCTTAATGTTACACTTGAAACATCAGAACAAGATTTCTGGTAGACATTTTGTACATTGTATAAAAAAAAGTAAACATCATTGTAAAACCTTCGCTCAAAATTTAAAAAAAAAACCCACATATCTTAGAAAACCAATACATAACTGACTTGTTATACGTTTAGAATCTAAAAATGCCAACACTGCACTGCAGTTGATGTGCGACTTGGGTTTTTCTTCGTCTTTCCCCGCTTTTGGCACTATAAAGTTAAAAGTTTTAACATCGTTTTAACTTAAAACAAACAAAAATAACCAACTAAAATAATAATATTATAATTTTATCATTCATTAGTTATAAAGGGGCCCATACACGGTCAGTTATGAATGTCAGTTTTTGTGACTGAATTTCAAACAAGTTTGTTTTTTGTTGTCAATCAGAATGATTGACAATCATGACTGACCATATGTGGTAATGATTTATACTCGTTATCATTCAAAACAATAACAAAAACATTATCACATTTGTACCACGTGCTTATACGCACAATACTTTTCACTTTCATATTAATTATTAAAATCATTATTCATTAATAAAATAAGTATATTTTAACTAAACATATTGTTATTTTAAGTATTAATATACTTATAAATATTAAGTTATAATATTTTTTTTGTGTGTACCTAGAATAATTATGGCTACTACTAAAAATATAGAATTCTGGCGTGAATTTATAAACCTATATTGCGACCTACCTGCAGTTTGGAAAATAAAAAGTGATGATTATAAAAACCGTGATTTAAAGTCTGAATGTTATGTAGAGTTAACAGACAAACTAAAAGAACTTCAACCAACTGCAGATATGAATTGTACAAAAAGAAAAATTAACACATTAAGGTCCAATTTTCGAAGAGAGTTGAAGAATCAAATCAATAGTAGAAAATCTGGAGCTTATGCTGACGATATGTATGAGCCCACTGTTTGGTATTTTAATGATCTGGAGTTTCTAAGAGATCAAGTATCTGTATCTGTAGCCAAAGCAACAATAATTACAATGCAAGCTTCTTCCATTTTTCAGGAAAATTTGGTTGTACAATTACAATAGGGCAATAGAGCATAGGCTACAATAGATTTAGTTGGTGGCATTTGTTTTTATCTTTAACCTAAAAGTGAAGAACTATCAAACGATCGTCATTCATGACTGACCATGTATGTTATTCATAAAAGTGACAATCATAAAAACTGACATTCATAACTCACCGTGTATGGGCCTCATAAAGGACCTTAATACGGTAAGTAGATACAACTATAGAAATCCTCAATTATTTCACGTTCCCACTCATTATATATCCATTATGGACATGGTAAGTACATACCTAACAACTCCTTCACAGAATATTATGTAATGCAAACAGCTCTAACATGGATACTGCCCTAGTTTAATTCTAAGGCTCAATTATTAATTTTCAATATCTAAATTAGTATATTTTTCTATTCTGTTATCTTTGCTGCCTTATGTATATTTCCGTCAGGCGTTAATTATTAAAAATAAAATAATATACGAAATACTAATTTAATTTATCCATATATAATTAATCCACCTACTTTAATTATTTACTTAAGTATAAAAAGTTCGATTTTTTCACTTCAATAGTTTTATTCAGATTATCAAATAAATTCATATTCCATTTATGAAAAAGTGAACTAAAGTTCTGTATAATGTAAAACAAACAACGTTCAATAAATTATACGTATGAAGTATAGAATACCTATATAGATAACAATATTGAGATATTGTCATGATAGCACATCGACTTGATAATCACAACTGAAGTCATTTTTTTGATTGTTCAAGTGGTTTCCATAATAATTGGAAAATTCCGGGATAAAACGTAAGAAAAACGGAAAAATTTACGAAAATAATGCTTTTATAATTTCCAATTTTGTTTTAGATTCTCAGTGGAGCGAAAAATGTATTTATTTTTTTTTTATCTGTGAATAACTTTCCTACCAGAAATCGTGCTCTGGTTTACAATTATAGTACTTTTTCTAAAAGAAATATAACTAGGAAAGTACTCTAGGGAGGTCATTTTTTGATTTTCCCAATAAATGAGGAAACCGGGAAAAAAGGCACAGTATATTAAACAAATATTATTAAAGAAAATATTTAATGCAAATGAATTATTTTACCATAATATGATACATAAAAATGTTAACAAAACAATATTATCAACCGAAGTCCGTTCAGAATCGTTTTTCATTAGCAATGGTTTATTGTTGATATATAATCGTATAAATAACAAATAGTTACATAAGAGTTAAATCGTAAAAGAATAAATTGTATTCACGCACAGCTACTACAGATATACATTAAATTACCTACAACAGTGGTAGAATCCGTCCCCATTATCCTAGAATAGGATTTTTTGTTGCAATTCAGTTAAAAATATTCGTATACTTGAAATTTGGATAGAATCGTCATATTTTCGATTTGACTTTTATAGAAATGGTAAAGGTTTCACACAATTTTAGTCATTTTTGAGTTATTTAATATTTATATATGTAGACATTTCAATTTTACGAGTCTTGTACGTAATTTGTATTCGATAAATACTTTGTAGATACAATTGTTAGACTGAAATTCTTGAAAATTTAACAGGAGTTTCATTATAAGTTGTACTTAGAGATCAAAAATAAAAAGTTGAGTTTAATGTAATATTTTTAATTTAATATCTATCAAATTTTGACGAAAATCGGTTAAGTATAAAAATTATGTGGAACAAATCTAGTTCCTAGTTCAAGCCTAGTTCAATTTTTCAATTTTTTAAATTCTGAGTAAAGCGAGGGATGTATTTGTTTTACAGTGATATTAATTTTTTTTTTTTTCTAGCAAAAATTTTGATCCGATTTACAATGAAAGCACTCTTTTTAAAAGGAAATTTGACTGGGGAGGTATTCTAGAGAGGTTATTATTTGATTTTCCCAATAAATGGGAAAAACCAATAAAATGTACGAAATTTATAGGTATACCTATTAGTAAAAAAATATTATGGCTTTTTTTCTCTGTGAATAACTTTTATGCCAGTAATTTTGTTCTGATTTACAATGATATCAATAATAACTGAAAGGACATTTTATTAATTGGGATGGTACTTTAAAGAGGTAATTTTTTGATTTTCCCAAGAATTTTCATAATAAATATGATAAAACGGGAATATAGATACAATATCAAATAAATATTATTAAAGAAAATATTTAATACTTATTTAATTATTTTACTATAATATGATTTATATATTGTTGACAAAGCATCACTATCAAGTATCAACTGATCTCCGCTTAGAATCGTTTGTTCGTTAGCAATAGTTTATCGTTGCTTGATAAACGACACAATAAAATAATCAGATCACAGTTGCACCACATAACTAAAATTCACCAGTCACATAATATCTCCTCAGTATGCTTCAGTAGTAGTGATGTATGCAATGCAATAAAGGATTTGAAAGTAGGCAAAACGCCCGTGAAGGATGAAATTCATCCAGAATTCCTACGAAACCTAGGCCCAAAAACCCATCTGTGGATCGCAGAAGTTTTCCACGCAATCTACAAAAGTGGTAGAGTCCCTAAAAGTTGGAAAACTGCTAATGTGATCGCATTATTAAAACCTGGCAAGGCAGCCGACAACCCAACCAGTTATCGGCCTATATCACTATTGAGCGTACTCTCAAAACTAATGGAGAGAATAATACTGAGAAGAATATCCCCACTTATCGAGCCAGAAATTCCACCGTATCAAGCAGGCTTTTGGCCAAATCCTGGCTGTTGCAACCGAGTACTATCTTTAACATCACACTTAGAAAAAGGTTTCAATGATAAACTAAAATCGGGAGCTGCCTTTATAGGCCTTTATGATACTGTTTGGAAAAAAGGACTGTTTGGAAAAAAGGACTGTTTGGAAAAAAGGACTGTTGTGGAAAACAGCTAAAATTATTCCATGCCCAGTTTTGCTGCGTTATATCGAGACGATACTTGGTAATCGGAACTTTCGAGTTTTCCTAGGAGGAAAAAAAAGCAAAAACACACGTGCTCAATAACGGCTTACCTCAGGGCTCAGTTTTAGCACCAATATTGTTCAACGTGTTCGTCCACGATATGCCAGATACCACATCCAAAAAGTTCGCATACGCTGATAATNCCTTACTCTACTCGAAAATTTTTTCAAAAAATGGAGACTCCGACCAAACCCTTCAAAAACAGTAGTAACAGCGTTCCATCTTAATAATAAAGAGGCCAATAGAGAATTAACAGTACATTTTTGTGGGGACACCATCCGTAATAGCAAGCTACCAGTATATCTTGGGATAACATTAGACCGAGCCTTCATATTCAAAGCACACCTACAAAAGGTGGCAGCAAAAATCAAGACAAGAAATTCACTTATCAATAAACTGGCCGGCACAATATGGGGTTCATCAACACATATATTGCGAACCTTAACTTTGGCGCTGACTTATTCTGTTGCAGAATATTGCGCACCCGTCTGGGAAGGTAGTCAGCATTGTAGTCTAATAGACGTACAACTGAGAAAGGCATTGCGCAAAATTACTGACACCGTTACGCGTACCAATAACCAATGGCTCCCAGTACTTGCTAACATTGAACCACCTCACTTACGAAGACAAAATTACGTACTCAGAGAAAAAGAGAGAATCAGCAAGTACCCAGACCTCCCGATCCATGAAGATGGACTAGAAAACCCAAAACTAAAGTCACGGAAGCCTTTTTTGATGAGAACCAACGAAATTGTCGACACAAAAAAACTCATACCAGATACATGGCAAGAAGAATGGGCAAGAAAAAAAACCTGGGGAAGGTGCACATCTCGAGAGCCCACATAACCTAATAGCCGGAATGAACCAATCGAGGAAAATATGGACCAGACTAAATCACACAAGAACTAGACAAGGGAGATGTAAGGATTTAATGCATAAATGGAAACTGAAAAACGACCCAAATTGTGATTACGGAGAAGGTGTACAGTCAATGAGACACATAATCGAAGAATGCTCGTTAAGGAAGTACGATGGAGACCTGAGACTTACAGTGACTCTGGAGGAGGTGGCCTGGTTGGAGAAATTGGACATTGATTTGTGAAGAAAAATCCCCATTACGTATTGTTATTCCATTCATATTTTTATTTATATTCTCATATTTATATTTGTTCTCACATATTTTTATTTTATTTTATTTACTTTAATCCAATTTATCTATACTCTCGTTAATGTTGTTGTACTGTGTTATGTATGTCATACGAATAAATAAATAATCGTTGCTTACAGATATACATTAAATTTCCCTTTTATTACTTTCCCAACTTCTCATCTAGAACATTGACCCACCCACGTACGAAGTATATCCGTATTTTTTGTTTTGAACGTATGTATACTGCAAATTTAAGAATGGAGTTAGAATTGAGCAATTAAGCAGACTGACTTAGTTTTGAAATTATAGCTTTAGCTTTTTTAAGTCCTGATACTGATATGTGGTATATTAAATAACTTAATATTTTCAATTTATTAATTAGGTATGGTACAAGTATAAATAAATGAACAAAACGTTGCATTATAATTTACACATTTTTCTGAGTTTTTTGTTAATACATGTTATTGTTTGGTGGCATTTTTTAAAACATTTAACATTTTGTTTAAAACACACTCGGACTAACATTACCGCTTTCTTATCATTTAACAAAACCTTAACCGTTAAAATTTGATGAGTTTGCTATAGTTTCATGTATGAATACCAATGTGTCTTTGGGTACTCTGTTATCTTTGAAACTATTATTTTAATTTAATTTATCCGGTGTTCATAAGATATCATACTTTTCAAAAGTAAACCTGTGGAAATTTTATTTTTATGTTGTTGGATTAAATAATATTAATAAGAAAATATAAGTAAACCAGAATTGTCCAAAAAATTATCAGACGGACTGTGATAATCCGGAAATTTTCAGTAATCATACGGACTGTGATATTCTGGAAAAAAATCATTAGCAACATTTATACGGACCGTAAAATTCCGGAATGTATAAATTTACAAATAAGAAAACCGCGGACTGTATAAATTCGAAACGGGAAATACTGTAAATGTCCGGATTGTAATCTACCGGAAAAATAAATGTTCTGGCCAGAATATTCCGAACTATAAAGATCTAGAAAGCATAAATGCCTATACATGAAAGTCTAAGGACTATAATAATCCAGAATACAAAAATACGCACAATGTTATGTCCTGGACAAGAACTTTCCAGAATCAAACAAAAAAACACTGATAGATAGCAATGGTTCGCATACACAGTACAAATAGAATAAACGAATTAATATTAAAAAAGGTTCATGGTTTTATGGCTGTTTTTAGAGATAGATATGCTCAGACCCGGTGTCACGATTCATATCAGTATTAATAGACAGCGTTTTAGAAATTCCGAATTATTATAGTCCGGGACTTTCTGGTTTTGGCATTTGTGCTTTTCGGAATTTTACAGTCTATACGATTATTTTTCTAGCCGTCCAAAATATAGTTTAGTTTTTAAAATAATAGAAAAAGTTTTATTTTTATTATTTGCCTGACTTGAAATAGACATTTAGTTAAACATCTAGGCATTTTATTATATCAGACTAGGTATATAGTCAAATCAGGCATTTTACTAAATGCCTACGACATATATCAGTGGTGGATTAAGCAATTTGCCGCCTACAAGCAGGACATGTGCCGCCGTTTCATTTTCAACTTTTTTTATTTTTTAAATAAAATACACAAAGAAATACATTTGTAGTTAAATTATTTTAAATTTAATACAATCATAGTCAATATGGTTACACAAATTAAATTGTTTTCGTTCGGTTTTTGAGGTTAGGAAATGTATCTATTATGTCTTGAAAGTCAATTGTCGACACTAATTCCGATTTAATGCACAGGAAAGCCAAATTATTTAACCGATTTTCGCCAATAGTAGATCTTAAATACGTTTTAGTTCTTTTGAGACACGAAAACGATAATGTTATGATAAAGAATGTATATAACATTCTTTGTAAGTAATAAAATCACGAAAATAAAATATAGTTAACAGAAACAATGTCTTATCGGCATCGCCATAATGTATACCTATGAATATATTTATAAGCCGTTTTCGGGAAAAACATAATTTCGCTAATAATAAAAATTTGAATTTATGGCGTTCATCAAAATCATTTCAGAGTATTCAGTGAGTTAATAACTTTATACCTAATATTTATAAATTATAATACAATTTTATAAATACATTTTTTTTCCTAAGTACGGCAAATTTGCTGTTCCAATCACCTGATTACTTTGCCTGTAGGGTAACCAACGCTGACATATCTGATATATGTATATAGTATAAATATACAAACGGATTATTGGTATAATAGATAATGTTCATATATTAATAATATTAATAACACGCTTTAATACTAATGTATTAAGGAAAAAATATAAATAATGTACTATAAATGTATTCACTTATAATTCATTATCTATTAACAATAATTATAATAAAAGAATATGCCTTTTTTTTGCTTAGCAAAGCGTATAATAATATTATCTATATATTAATATTTATGTCCCTATAGATATGAAGCAGTGCTAGCCCATTTAATCTTTCTTCGCTAGTTGATGACCTCAACCATGTCTTCAATCTAAATAAATAAAACTAATTACATGCATAGTAGCAATATATAGCATTGAAACATTTTAAATAAATAATATTAATCAAGCAATTATTTAAAAGCATTCAATAATGCAAAACTACCTAATACATATTTTTACATCATATTATGAGCCAAGTAGACTCAAAACGAGTTTATAGAATTTGGATTTTAAACTTAAGAAAATAAACAGCAATTGTTCTAAACTTAGTTTATTATTTACACAGATATGACACATACATAGGTACTTGTCTCACACTCGATGACTGGTTGACTAGTGTCCCTCGCGTTCTCTTTATATACTTTAAGAACCTTTAATTTAGGCATTAACTAGTCTAAGTACATATCTGTGCTACTTTTTCTTATTACGGTATATAATATTAATCAATTACTTACAACACAAAATAATAATTTAACAAAATACAATCGAGATCTTTCGGATACAATATCAATTAAATACTAATGACTACGTTTTAATACATCTATTATATTAGACCGGGTGGTCCTAACAATCACATAAACAAATAATATTTTTAATTTTATTTAAAATGAAGTAAATTATTTAATCATTTGTATTTTATGCTATTTAGTTAATATTAAGCTATCCGTTAAGTTAAGCGTGCGCAGCCGAGACAGTAATACTCTATGGACCGAGATGACAGCAGTCTCTACCACTTTTTTTTTTTTTTTTTTAACTATTAATATGAATTACACAATCTATACNTCGCCCATTAGCAACACTTAGCATGAATACAAGTTAAGTTAATCTATGACTTAGAGGAGATTATGAGTGAAGTGAGTAAGCGAGGAATAAGATCATTAGAGCTATTCGATTAGAAGGTCTCTGCACCATCTCCTTTTCAGACGACGTCGAGGAGCTTCGGGCAGAGTTAATGTATTTAGATTTCTGATTAGTGGATTTGTGTGATTGGCAAGACGTGAAAAGAATCGCTTGTAATAAATTACCGATTCTTCTTCAATAGTTTTCATGTGCAGATCATTGTGGAGGGTTAAATTGGATACATACGGTGGGGCATTTGCTATTTTGCGAAGTGTGATGTTCTGGAAAGTCTGAATTTTATTAACATTAGTTTTTTTGGCTGACCCCCACAACTGTAAACCGTAAGTCCAAATGGGTTTAAGTAGCGACTTATATAAGAGTAGTTTAGTTCTAAGTTTAGTGAATTTATTTTTTGATAAGAGGTGTTTGAGGGTGCGAGAGCGAGCGTTTAAAGTTAATCGTTTGGACCTTATATGCTGTTTCCAAGTTAACCTTTCGTCAAGGGTCAAGCCTAAGTATTTAATCGTGTCAGACGGCGGAATAGGTATGTTGTCTACAGATACAGGTGGACAGATTCCTTGTTTCAGCGTAAAGGTCGTGTGAGCCGACTTATTGTGATTTAGTTTTATTCTCCATTTGGAGTACCATTGCGAAATAAGGTCTAAATGTATTTGAAGATTGGCCGAGGCAATTAGATGATCTTCGTGTATTGCTATTATCGCTTTATCATCTGCGAAGTCAGCTACAAGAGTGTCCTGAGTTATGGGCTGATCTGAGACATAAATGTTAAATAGCAGAGGAGATAGGATACCACCTTGAGGTACTCCTGCTTGGATTAGAGCCATTTCTGAGATACTCGAGCCAAAGCGAATTTGAAATGTATCTATCTGTTAGGTAGGATTTAATTAACAGAAATAGAGGTAGGCAATTTCGAATTTTGAAGAGGAGACCATCATGCCAAACACGGTCGAATGCCTGAGAGATATCGAGGAACACACAGGAACAATATTGTTTGCGTTCGAGTGAAGTTGAAATGGCGTCAACTACTCTATGCACTTGGTGGATTGTGCAGTGTTTGGCTCTGAAGCCGAATTGAGATGAGGGGAGAGTATTATTGCTGTTGATGTGAGATGACATTCTTTGTAGAATTAGTCTTTCACAGATTTTAGAAAAAAAAGGTAAGACACTTATAGGTCTGTAAGAATCCGGTGAGTCCGCAGGTTTGTTAGGTTTAGCAAACATTACAATTTGAAAAAATTTCCATAAGGAAGGGAAATATGATAAACGTAGAATAGCGTTTATTATATATGTTAAGAGAACTATGGCTTTTGCTGGCAAGCATTTTGTAACTTCAGCGGTAATTAGATCGAAACCGGGAGATTTTTTATTAGGATATTTCAAAATAGTATTTTTCACTTCATTAGGGGTGACGAATTTGATTGGGGGCCCCAAAGGTAATGAAGAATCGAGGAATTTTTTAACATTGTCTAAATGTGGTTGGTCAAATATATTAGCGTGAGGTTGGAAGATATTTGATAAATGTGATTGAAACAAGATTGATTTTTCTGAGTCGGTAATAACTAAGGTGTTGTCGACTTTTTTTAGAGGGGTTGAGACGGATTTAAATTTTAGTAGTTGTTTGGTTTCACACCAGAGACTACCATTTGCAGCTGACAGCTGGAGAAGTTTTTTTTCAAGGTTATTAGCTTTATGTTTAGCAAGGATTTTTTTCAAAGAATTTGCAAGTTTGTTGTAAGCGCATTTGTGGGATGGAAGACGGGAGAGTTGATAACTTGCTCTTGCCCTACGTTTTTCAGTAATTAAAAATCGAATTTCTTCTGGAAGTAGAAAGTAATAAGAATTTGACTTATTTTTGATTGAGCTAAAGGTTTTATCAGACTTTGTAGAAGCCCACGCAGCCTGTTGAATGAGTGTTGTTAAATTGTTAACGGCTACGTCAATATCTGAGGTAGACTTTAATTTAATTTTAGGTTAATTTTTTCATTTATTATGTCATGGAATTTTCTATGATCAGTTTGGGTGGTGAACAGTTTAGGCAGATCGACACGTGTTAGGGGAGTGGCAGAGATAGTGAGAAGCACTGAAGAGTGGTCAGAGTTTAAATCGAGGATATTGTCAGTGGAACAATGTAAGTTGCTGGAGATTTTGGCAGCAAAGATGTCCAGGATGTCAGGGTACTTATTTGACGCTGTTGGCCAATATGTAGGACCCGGGGAGGCAAGAACATTGAAATGCCTTTCATTTGCAAGGTTGTAAAGCACAATACCGCGAGGGTTGTTGACACGGCAACCCCAACTCTGATGTTTGGCATTGTAGTCACCACCGATAATGAAATTAGTTTTTAATGTGTTGAAATAATCGTTAAAAATTGCCCTGGTAATTTTATGTCGAGGAGGGGAATAGAATGCCCCGATAGTGATTGGGATTTTATTCAATTTGATTAATATTGAGCAAGATTGGATATGGTCATAACAGTAATTAGGAAGAAGCTGAAAATATAAGGATGTTTTAATTAAGATGTCGACTCCACCATGTGAAGTGTTGTCGGGGTGGTTGGATTTTATTAGTTTATATCCGGGGATGAAAATATGTGAGTATTTAGTGAAATGGGTTTCAGTTATAATCGCTATATCTATTCGCCTGTTGTGGAGAACAGTTTGGAGTTCGTTGGAGTGGTTTTTGAGACCATTTGCGTTGAATTGTAAAATTAACAGTGAGTTATTTGTGGCGGAAGAGTTCATTTGGATTTGTCTAGTAGACTGGAAATTACTGTGGTGAGAAGTGAAATTAGCGGATTTATTAGAGTTTTGAAATCGTTTAGGAAACTTGAGATTTGTTTCTGCAGAAAGTGAGCTGTCCTGAGCTGGTTGAGTGGAATTAAGGTGTGCGGATTGGTTAGAGGCTACCTTAGCATACGTTAGGGGAGGAGCTGCAGGGAGGGCGGCGTTAGCGTGTTCTGATGGATGACTATCTTTTACAAGGTTAGGCTTAAAACTAGAATGTCTGTTATCAAAAATAAATTTGTTATTATTTGTGCTGGCTTTCTTACGGTGCTGTAGATCTTTATACACTGAGCAGCCTTTATAGTTCGCAGGATGGCTTCCTTGGCAGAGAGCACAGCATGGAGGTTCGTCCCGATTTTTTTGACACGAAGATGTGGGATGCCCATTGCCACAACGTACACAGCGTGACGAGTAGCCACAGTATGCCTTGGTGTGCCCGTAATTTTGGCAGTTTGCACACTGAGAGATAGTTTTGATTTTCTCTACCACTTGAGAGAAATATTGTGTATCACACTATCGTCACGGCCCACGGAAGTAGATAAGGTAGATACCTCCGTGTGTATTCATAGAACAGATGGCGTATTCACTATTTCTATATCAAGTTAGTAAAGAAGTCTGTACGCTTATCGCATATTCTAATCACAGTCCATAGACAACAGAAAAAAAAACTACGGATTAATATAATTTATTATCCGTGGTTAAAACGTAAAATATGTTCAAGGAAATTCTAAATATTTTGCTATAAAATCATAAAGTTCGAAAATTTACTGATAGGTTTTGAGGGTCCAGCGATATACTAAATTTAAAAAAGCAGATTCTAAGGCCGACCTATCGTTCTCCCTTATAACCATTAGTGGTCAACAGTTCTGCTCAGAATCATTTTTCGTAAATAATGATTAATCTTTGCTTAGGTACAGATATATTCATTAAATTCGTCTCTATATCCTACTTTCCTAAACTCTCATCTACATCAGTGGTCTAGCTATAGTGCAAAGTACCTATGTCAGTTTTTTTTATATGGTTATTTTATATTTTAAATACACCTAAAATAAATTTGTATGTATTTACTTATTTGTAAATACATGGACATATGGATATAGACTGTAAACCCAAAATATTATTCTATTAAATAAACAATTTTAAAAAAATGTATCCAATATATTTTAAATATTAACAAAATATTTACAAAGTGCTAGTAAAACAGGGGCACCAAACTTTTTACAACCTACAGGCACTGTAGATCTTAATATGGGCCTGAATCTACCTATGTCATCTCATCACATTGTAGAATCTCTTAATTTTGATTTTATATTTAGTCGCGTATTATTTGTTTGCCTATTCTGTTATATTACCTACTTGTGATTTTTTTAAAATTGAAACTAGTATTTTTTTACACCCTGGTTCGATGGCAAAAAAAAGGTATGTACTAAATGATTATGTTTTTATGTTTAATTAACATAATAACATGTAATTTAATACAAAAAATAATAAGTTGGTGTTTTACCTAATTTGTAAAATATTAATATAATTTGTTGGTACGCTAACTGTCTAAATTTAAAATAAACTAGTTATTCAAACATATTAATCATTGTTTATTATTTCATACCCATATTTCATTAACAAATAAAACACAAAATAATCATTTTCTAATTATTTTTTATAAACAAGATAACAAAATAAATTAATAGATAATCTTATTAGTTATAACAGCCAAATTGAACTATAAAATTCATTTAAAAAAAAAAAAAAATAGTAATAATTATAAATTAACTTCCCATTATGAATATATTCTACATTATTCTTTGGTGAACAAAATATACATTTTTATGATAATTATGTAGATATATTTAGTTTATAGTTGAAAAAAATAAACAATAAATATGTAATACAAATATTACATTTCATTCACATGAATGTATATAATACTTAAAGAAAACTGTATATCATTGCCAATTTGGATCATAATTGTGCCATTCTTTAATAGGTGCTAAATAGACTCTTCTATTATCATATGTAAAACTAATGATGCCTTTATAGGCTGTTCTAGGTACACCACTTTTAAAATCATCCATTAAACCAAATAGTTTAGCTAATGATTTCAAATTATTCTTAGTATAGTAGGTTATCCTCACAGGATCACTGTGACCAATTTGCTTATTTTTTAATTCGTTAAAACTAACAAGTGGTGTTTTATATACCATTTCAACAAAATTGTTGTCATATTCATCTTTTAATAAATAGGTTAAATTTAATTTGGTAAAATCAACTGGAACTTCATTTAAGTATATATACTTTAAATGTTTTTCGTAAAAGAGACCATTGCTTACACCAATTTTCCCAAACGTTTTTGTTCTAGAAAGTTCTGGTCGTATACATGATCTACCTTTTCGTTGATTTGGATGTCTCATCCAATCATCCCAATAACTATGGGGCCATTTGTGCATTAGTTCCGTCCACAATTTACGGGTTAACATCCAGCCAAGTCCAGGAAAAAAATCAGATCGATATAATAGTTTTGGATTATTTCTGTCTATCAATGCAAATTTTCCATTATCATTCCAAGCAGAAACACACCACAAAGTTTCATCTTTTTGAAGAATTGGTAATGTAGCTTTGAAATATTCATAAAAATCTGGAGCAACATCCAAATCATCTTCAACAATTATTGCAGTTCCATAGTTATATATGTTAAACACTTGATTAAGTGCCCATTTATAGTGTCTAGATATTTTAAAATATCCACTAAATTTTTTCTCCTTGGATGGTACATTTATTTCTTTTTGATCTGGTTGATGTATATGAATTAAATCTCTTCCAAAACTTTTTATTACCTGTGTTGTTCGTTCATGAATACAATCTTGAGACACAATAATAGGGAATTCATCTTTTGACTTTCGATATTTCAGTAATTTGTTTATGCACCTTGATATGGATGGGCGATTACAAGCAATTACTAAAACAGCGACACTTAATGACGAATTGGATGTATGTTTGTTAAATTGATAATTATCTTCATGGTTCGAATAATTTAATTGTTTAATATTTTCACGTATTAAATTATGTGTTTCAGCTTCAATTTTTAATCGCAATTCAAAATCGTCCAAATTTTCTTCAAGATAGTGGTTTGGTTTAGCAATAAAATTATCATTGAGTAAAAAATGATTGATACCAAGCCAAATAAACACACTGAACAAAACTAATGCTACAAAACGATTTTTTTTCATAGTAGCATAGAGTTACTGAATAATAGATTTTAATTTAATTGCTGAAAGTATTTGCATCATTCTGTTTAAATTCATGTTTCTATAATAATTCACTAGCTATTGAACTATAGTTTTTCTTTTGTTAGTACTTAACCTGAAAAATACCAATAAACATTTTTTAAAACTTAGTTAAATAAGTTATTATATATATATATATATATATATATGTCATTAAAACATAATTTAGAATTTTATTAATATACATTACTAGGAATTTAAAGCAATTCCAAAAAAAAAAAAAAACATTAGAGTAATGGTCAATGGATATTAATCCATTATATAGTACCTTCATTTTATTTAACAAGTTATTGCTATTCAATTTCTTTAATTATTTTTTTCAGTATTGAGACAAATAAAATTTTATTTCTCAAAATTAACGTAGGAAATTATCATAATATTACATCACTATACTGCCCTCTTAAGCAAAAACACTGTGTGACCAAACAAATTAAAAAATGAGTTATATATATCAAACAATTTGTAAAATTCAGACGTTTTAGGTTAATATGTTAGTCATAACATATTAATATCTTCAGACCTACGGCCATTTTAGGCTGTATGTCTGAAATATAATTCTATAAAACGACTATTAGTTTATTATTTGAAAAATTAATTTTTAATAGGCAAAAAATTGTCTAATAATGTGTGGCGTTTTTGCTTATGAGTGCAGTATAGCTCTATCATAATTTATATAAAACCCAAAAATACAACAATTCAATCTGAATTTAAAAGAAACTAACAAAGATATACTTATTTTATTATCTCCGTAGATAATAAAGATAATCAAATTCTGTATTTTTTGTTTTTTAAATATTATTAACAGGGATATATATAAATATATACAAAGAACAGAATTTGATTATCTTTATTATCTCAGAAGATATTTCGATAGGCATATCATCATGGGAAATCTTGCATAATTATGGAGGACCTCAAATAGACATGGTTTACTAAACTAAACTAATTAGATTTAACTTTACTAACATTTAATTACATACTATTGAGAAGAAGGGAGTCTAGACGCCTATAAAGATTCACATTAACCAGATTATCAAGATAAAACATCAAAAAGAAAGGAATATGAAAAAGGAGAGATGAGCGAATGAAGCAAGAATGGACTTTGGGGAAATTAATGATAGAAGATTAGATTAATCAATTTAATTTGCAAGGATATTGGATGTGAAAGAAACTATGTGCCTATCTGGGATCGGCCCACACATAATTTCAATATGTTTCACGGAAGAGAGGGTCAGAAGGAGGGTAAAACTAAGGTCATGTTATTGTAAGATTTTTATTGTTGACAAAAGTGTAAACCAAAACCATTATTAGAAGAGGACATATGTGTTATATTGTAATTTATAATTATGTTATAGCAAACTATTTATTTAATTAAATTTATTACTTAATAAGGAGAAATTATAGAATGAACCCTATAGTCACTTAAATACAATATTTTATTATAGATAGATTTTACTAACAGCTTACTTATTAAAAAATTTAAAATAATTTTTCTGCTAAATCCAATTAGGACAGATATTTAATAAGATTAAAAAAAAAATTAAACAACTGAAAATAATTTTAAGTACAAACAAATATCATATATTTATCATTTATGTATTAACCTATTAGGTAAAATACAAATATCTTTAATTGTTAATATTTTATTCTTAGCTAATTAAGTATTATAACTAGTTTATTAATATACACAAACAAATTGATTTTTTATCTGTGTTTAGCATATATAACATTTAAATAACAAAAAAAAATGTAATATTATAATATTGTATGGTAGGTAACTCATTCCTTATCAACAAATCAAATTAAAATGCTAAATAACTAGAAATCTACCTAAATTATAATAATATGTATTATGTAGTTTACTTATACAAAACTGAAGTCCAGTGTGACGTTAAACTTTAAAATAATAAATAGGTATATTCATGAAACTAATTAATGGTGTATTAAACCTATTAACAAATTAATTAATTTTTCGCTATTTAATAATGTTAATCCCCAGTAGTGATTAAAGACGATTAAAGTGATTAAAAACTGGAATAATAATTAATAATATAATATAATAAATAAAAAAAACATAGGTGCAGTCATTGTTATAGGTGGGAAGTTGGAAAGGTAAGATACAGAAACGAATTTAATGTATATCTGTAAGCAACAATAAACCATTGCCAATGAAAAACGATTCTGAGTGGATTTTAGTTGATAGTGATGCATTGTCAACTATATATATATGCCGTATTATGGTAAAATGATTGTATAGGCATTATATATTTTCTTAGATAACATTAATAATATAATATTTGTTTAATATTGTTAAGATTTTTCAAAAATTTCCTGGTTTTTCACATTTGTTGAGAAAACTCCTGGGAAAATCAAAAAAATGATCTCCCTAAACTACTTTCCCAGTCAGATTTCCTTTTAGAAAAAGCTCTATCATTATTAATGGGAACAAAATTGCCAAAAGAAAAATGGTCCACAGAAAACAAAAATTGTAATATACTACTAATATATTTCGAACATTTTCCTGTTTTTTCCTTTTATTGGTAAAATTGTCTGTCCATTAAAAAATGACCTTCTTAAAGTATCACCCCAAGAAAATTTCCTTTTAGAAAAAGGTCTACATATTATACATTCAAGTAAACTTTCTGGTAGAAAGTGTTCACATTTAAAAAATAATGATAATAATAATAAACATTTTTATAAAATCATAAGCTTCTCCGTTCCACTCAGAATCTAAAATACATTACTTATCTGAACAACTGAAATGTTGAAAAAATAATAATTTAATTACATAACTTGGTCAGATATTTATATTCACTAAAAAGTGCTCTAAAATATTGGGAAGTACTGATTATAAATATTGTCTGAAATTTTAAAATATGCCGTACAAATCTAATAACAATTTATGAAAAATATTATTTTACATATAGAGTTTTTTAGTTATAAATAGGCCACAGGTGATATAAAAGTAATACAATTGATTGCAATATTGTACTAAAAAATATATTTATGTATTTATGTATTTTTAAAAACTGGTTCAATTTTCAGTATATTTACAAAACAATAAAAGAACTAGTGTCTACACGCCACACAAAATTCACCGACTGACTGAAGAACAAATTTTCAAATGATCATGTTTCATAAATTATCAATGTGTTAAATATAATCTTATTCATATGCAATATGCATTGTAAATCCAATAATCCCAGTAGGACACAACAGACCCAGTTCTAAAAATAATCAAACTATCATTTTGACTAGACATTCAGTGATGTAATAAGTCATTTAAATAATATTGTATATAAAATAACATGAAAAAAATTATAGAAATTGTATAAAATTACACTTTTAATTTATAGATTTTAATTCATAATTACACGCAAGATATTTAACACTTACTTAGTAATAAATTGGATCAGTAGAAGAAAAGTTGCAAATCCAACAACATCTGGGGGGCCCTAGTCATGAAATATATTTTGGTATGGACTAGATAGTTTTTTAACCATTTAATAAAAACATGCAAATTCTTATAAAAAAAATCTGGCCTAACCTTCACTAGAGAATAGAGAACTTAGACAAATTGCTATTGTAATTAATCCTATTTAGTATGAATAAATAAATAATTATTATTTTTTTGTAATTATTAAATGTACTATAACATATATTTAATATTAGACATGTATTTTAAAAATAATGTAATACTTACATTGCATAAATGAATGTATATTAATGTAAATAAATATTTTAATTCTGTCATAATATAGATTTTAAAAGTTGATGTATCCGGTCTTCTTAAATTAAAATATTGAAATCTGCAAAAATAATTTAATATCAATTATATAATTATTATACATTAGCCATAATAGGAAAGAAACATAAAATTTAAAAGTTCATCTAGGATAATGGGGACAGGTGCAGCCACTGTAATAGGTGAGAAATTAGGAAGATAGTAGAGGGGAAATTTAATGTATACCTGTAAACAAGGATAAACCATTGCTAACAAAAAAAGATTCTGAGTGGAATTCAGTTGATAATGTTGTTTTGTCAACAATATATATTTATTATATATATTATTAATATTATTTAATATTGTACCTATATTCCCCATTTATTAGGAAAACTCTTGGGAAAATCAAAAAATGACCTTTCGAATTTAGTCCAATTTCCTTTCTGTAAAAGTGCCATCATTGTAAATTGGAACAAAATTCATGGTAGAGAAGTAATCCACAAAAAAAATAAACATCATTGTAAAACCATAAACTTCTTTATTTCACTCAGAATCTAAAATAAATATTATAATAATTTTTATAGAACTGAAATGCTATGAATCTGAATAATAAAAAACATTACCTCAAGAAATTTAATTTTTTTGTGTATAAACATAAAATAACTTGTTTATCTTTTTCTTATCCTTATATTCAAGTATCGTACAATGTTTTCCAAATGTTCATATATACATTTTTTTTTTTTAATTAGGTATTATATCAGAAGGATAAATGTAAAACAATATAACTTTATTTTTCACTTTTCAAAATTTTGTAAAAGATATTATTCTCAACATTTTAATATACCATACATGCATATCTGATATCTGATCAATTTTTTCTTAGCAATAGATAATTTAATTTCTGACACAATAAATAATATGTAATAGATAGAGAATAAAATCAAAACCAATTTATAGTAAAAATAGTTAACAGTTAACAGTTTTATATTCTATGATTCTTTATCGCGTAGCAGTATACAAATTCTTCATAATTTTTCTCTAGAAAATTAAGAAACTATTTATAAGATATTTATGTACGTTAGATTAAAATGTTTAGAACAATGTCTTTTAAGAAAATTTTAAAAATTCAATACTTAAAAGAGAGGGAGCTCACATTAGAGTATTATCCACTTTGAATTAGGATTGCCATCCAGTTAAGCCAGAAATTATTGATGATGACATGTTGCTGGTAACAACCCTCTACCATCGATACAAAAGCTGATAATTTCAAATTTAGTTGTTAGAAAAATAATAATATTACCTATAGTAAAATAAATGTATACAAATTAATTAATTTTTTAAGTGGTTAATGGTGTGTATGAAAATTAATTTAAAGAATATTGTGCTATGACGTCCTCAGTTATGACTTTAAATATGAATTTTCTCTGTTTATTTAAAAGATATAGATAAAAAATCAATACGCTAGATAGGTACCCAATAATAAATTTAATATGTCAGTATTAATAATCTGTATATGTATAACTATAATTATAAAGGGAAACATTTAGAACAAATTAAATTAAAAGTTGATGCTTAAGATACCTACATGGGTATTAAGTTAATACCACAACAAATAATAGTAGGTATGTACAGTAAAATAATAAGGTATGTATTATAAAATGTTTATATTTGTGACGATTGCCACAATCATTTGACTAATAGCCAACAAAATAACTTACGAAGATTTTAGACCAGAAAATTTCACGTATTCGCCTATTCTACGAAGTTCTTAACGTTGGATCATGTAGAAGAGCTCCGTATTGGCTTGGCGAACACGGAAAGGCAGTGTTATATCATGATGAAGATTAACTATATGCAAGCAATGGTCGTGTAATCGGGTTGTCAGAAAACCAAACAACAATAAATTAATTAGAGTACATAAATAATTATAATTTAGGTTAAAACAGATAAAAATAAAAATGTGTATCGTGTAATTCGTATATTGGTTGTGAACCATAGATAAAATATTTTCGGTTGTTATGATTAAAATATTATCATGATTGTTGTGCTAAGGTACGCCCCCACCACTATAAAATTATATGTGAAGATCATAGAGTAATATTACTTTATGATGAAGATAGGTATACCCACAGATTAATAATGGACTAGTTATACGGATTAAAGAAAAAATCTTGGTTTTGATCGACAAGATCTCTGGTCCGTAACTGCCAGCTGGTCACAACAGTTTAATATTTATCAGTATTCAGTGGCTTCAAAATATTGTATAAGAAACAAGTGCGGGAGATTGTGATGCAGACCAACAATTTACAACGCTATCTGTTGACTAAATTAACATTACAAACTGTTAAATCATTTTTTGATAGCTTCAGAAGTTTCGAGAATATTTTACAGTTACTAAGTCGTTTAGTAATTAGTAAATCACTTGCTACTTTACTACTTGACACTACACTTAGTATTCATTATTACAATTTATTTATTAATGATAAATCGATTAAATAATAAATGCCTCATAATATCAATATGAGAATATTAATTTTTTTGGCCGGTAATCTAATTAATACAACTGTGATTCCAATTGAAATTGGCCAATGAAGATTTATCTTTTTATTTTTGATTTTATGTTCATAATTTATATTTTTCTAGTTATTGCATATTTAGGTATATTATTTATTTCTTTAATGTACTTGTGCTTTTTACAATTGTTCATGTGTTATTTGGTATTTAGTGGGTCACGATTACATTTTGACTGTGATATTCCAGATGATACACTCATCATAATACTTACTACAGGTGACGTATTCATTCATTTATCTTTAGATTCCGAGCGTAGCGAGGGAGCTATTGGTTTTATTAAGATTTTTATTTTTTTCTAGTCTGTGGACACGTTTTTTCCTAGTAAACTTGCTCAGATTTTTACGTGTACCAATTTTTCTGAAAGCTCAAGGTTATCTAAATTATACTTTAAAAAAAGGTAATTTTCTTATTTTTGACCCCATTTTTTAAATAAAAGCACTGAAGTGGGAATAAACGTAGGAAAACGTACAATTTCACGATTTCATTATTTTATAAAAACATGAACGACGTTTTCTACCAGAAAAAATAATTTAATCGAAAAATCACAAGATACCTTTTATGTTGCCTTTTTGATTTACTTTCTTATGGTATCATTGTCAAAACTTTTGAACTTTTAAGGAATTTTAATTTTTGAGAGTTTTTGTTGTAATTCGGTTATAAATACATATAGAGACTTGAAACTTTGTAATAATACTTATATTGGATTTACCTAGACGTGGTAAAATTTCCAAAATGATCGGACAACTTTTTTTTTTTTTATAAGAGTATTGAAATAAAATTTAAACGAAAATCGCAAAAAAAATTATGGAAATTCAAATTATGTATTACCGAATTGTGCTCAAATTCGTATTTCATCAGCAATGGTTTATCGTTACTTGCAGGCATAAATGAAACAACCTTATGTATCCTACCTTCTCAACTTCTCACCTACAACAGTGGCTGCACTTGTCCCCAGAATCAGCAGTTTTTATTTTTATTCTATGTTAATTTTATAGGTGTTAATAACATTTTTATGTTATATCGGACATACTTCGCACGATGGTGGATTTTTGTTGTAGGTGAGAATTTGGAAAGATAGGATATAGAGGGAAATTTTATGATTAAATGTACGCAAGAAGTAACGCTTAATAACGAAAAACGATTTTGGACGGAGTTCGGTGATACATGTTTTAAAATAAAATAATATTTACGATTTTCGTCAAAATGTAATATTAAAAAAAAAATTCTATATTGTACGTTAAATTTCCCCTCTACCTTCCCAACGACTCACCTATAACAGTGGCACAAGTATCCAATCATCGTGCAAATTATATTCGTATCATTTTTAACTTTTGACAACAAAGTATGAATTATAATGAACTTCTTGTTAAATTCTCAAGCATTTACTTTTATTCTAAAAATGTTATCCACAGAGTATTTATCAAATACAAATTACGTAAAAAAAAGTCGCATAATTAAAATGTCTATAAATAGCTCAAAAATTGCTTAAATTTGTTGACAATTTTACCACGTCTAGAAAAGACAAATATAAATTTCCTTTTCAAATTTTATGTCGATAGAATTAATACGAATATTTTTAACTGAATTACAATAAATGACAAAATTAAACAAATAAAAGTATTATTTTAGTAATTTTCAAGTTTTTTATACGTTTTTTCCCACTGTTTTTCTTTTATTGGAAAAACTGCCAGAAAAATAAAAAAAAGACTTCCCTTAAGTACCACCCCAAGAAAATCGCCTTTCAGAAAAGGGTCTATATCGTATACATTGGAGCTAGATTTCTGATAGAATATTTGTACACAGGATAAAAAAAAATGTATACATCTTTTTAAAACGAATATATTCTTTGCTACACTCAGAATTAAAAAAACTATGTCAAATAATATATTGGTTATATCTACTTTTGGATCAATGGCTATGCCAAATAATAATATAAGTCCATTTCTCTCTGCTCTCACTCCCCTCTTCCCTCATCAGGGACGCGCCTGGTACAAGGTAGATAAAATTTCCCTTTAGAAAATGTGCTACATAGGAACAAGATTTTTGGTAGAAGTTATTGATAGAATAAAAAAATAAATATCATTGTTTAACCAATACATTCCTCACTTCAATCTAAAATTGTTCATTCATAGTCCCACAGGAAAAAAAAATTGGCTAGGACCAATTGTCCCTGTAAAAAATGATGATGGGTGCTGATTGTTTGCATACGGCGTTTTTTGAGGAACCGATTGTTCATTTACTACGTATATATGATCTATAGGTGAAACACAAACTAATAGTCCTATGATTCGTTCACGATGATACTGAATGATAACCGACATGATATGACTCAAGGTTTAAAGATAATACTAGGTATAATAGGTATTATTTATAAATCTTGGATGTGACTAACAGCAATTTTACAGATATATATATATAATAATAATAATAATAATAACTTATTGTACTTAATATCAATAATCGATTTTATTAAAAGCACATGATTCTCCTTGTCTCAACTCTCAAGTACATTACAGTAATCAGTATTTAGCTGATAGATTGCGCTGCCTGTCATGGAAGAAGTTTTTGAAGAACATCCACTGAACACTATCAACAATATCACTACTCGTTGCGTAAAGCGTAACCATTCTATCTATAACCGTGACCGGCAGGGAGACGAACGCACGAAACGGTTTGTGCACCTGTAATAAATAATCTGTCGCCCGTCGGATAAACGAACGAGGCGCCAACTTCGAATGTATTCCCGCTCACCAACAACCAGTTACCAGTTCAGTTCACACTTTCATGCGGTCGACGCGGTCGATTTCGTTAGTTGTCCAGATTGATTTGTGCCTTCGATGGATTTGTTTATAGTATATATTTTTTAAATCATGGACTATCGTTTTTTATTTTTCTTGGCATTTGTGTGTCCGTTAGTGAATATCGTACATTCAGACTTTCAAAATGATACCGTTCTTTCGGAGTGCAGAGAAAAATGCTATTTGCAGGTAAAAATCTATCTATAAACTAGTATAACCGTAACTTATTTAAATTCGTTCCTCCTCAATTTTTGATTTGAAACAGCATACATGTCTTTAATTTTCTATTTTTACTCCGGGAATTAAATTCCAGAATTTTTTTTCCTAATATGGGTATTAGGAAAAAAAATATAGGTGTATATACTGTACAATAACACTTTCATAATAATTATGTTAGAAGTTAATGATGTTTGAAAGTACCTATTCAACATTAGATTTGTTTTTGGTGGTTATGTTTGGAATTTCCCAATAAATGAAAATCAAGCACAAGTATTGAAAGTTTTATAAAAAACTTCACTATTTGGTCGTGATTTACCTAAGAATTTTCAATATTTATTAAATATAAAATAATAAAATATGTATAATTGTAGTTTTCCGTTAATACTTAAATTTTTTTCATTGATGATTATTATTCAAATAATTTTAAATACCTTGATATATTTTAAATTTAACTTGATATAGGTACCTATCTACCTTTTATAGTAAACATAAATTTATAATAAATGTAATTAGTTTTAATTATTTGTTTTACCCATTTAGTGGATATTTGATGTCTAATCTATAATTATTAATATACTATTTAATAATACAAAAATACCTGGCATTCCCATTTATACCTATTCACGCTATTTTTCTTAATGATATGACGCGCCATTTGGCTTCCAAAAAGATAAGACTGTATAGGCTAATAGGTACAAACGTTTATTTTTAAATGTTTATGTTTCTAATGCTATTGTTTGTTTTATTGCCAGAGTAGCGATAAAGTTTGTTGTTATTTCAACCCGTGGCCATACATTTTCAACATTTAATTATTATTTTCTTCTAACAATTATCATTACATATTTAATTTCCATGTCCATATACCATTATAATAAATCTTTTTCAATTAATATAAAAAGATATAGGTAGGTAACTAATATCGATTATATCATGTTATAAGATACCTTTGTACTTAAATTATTGATTTTTAATATTTTACTAAAGATGTATTACATATTTTAATTTTCAAGAATGTGTATCTAGATGAAATTTAGATAATGAGTATTAGGTTATATTACAAAATTGATGACACAGCACATGTATTAAAAATAATTTTATTGGGACGGATAAAATTAGACTGAAGTTGATTTTGAATAATAACAAATTATAATATTATAATGTAATCTAGAACAAAACAAACTACAAAGTGATAGGTTTATAATATTTTAAATGTGATAAATATTTTGTGATAAAAATGATTCATAAAATATGTATTAATTTTATATATATTAAATGATATATAACAATTTACTATCTATCTAAAAACTTGGATAATTAATTATTTGTTTTTGTTGAAAAGAGGTTCTTTTTTAATAATCGTTTTTTAATCGTTTAAAAATAAACACGGATTTTCTACATTTTTTAGGAATTGATCGACATATAAATAGGTAACCTAAACATTTATTAAAATAAAAAAATCGTTTTCGTAATTGGAAAGTTTACACTTCTTTTTCCATCAAATTTGTTTTCCCTGTTTCATATATTATAAACATTAATTATTGTATAATATTTTATACAAATATTGTAAATTTATATACCAGTGTATCCACCACATTAATATCTATATAGTAGAGTTGTTTTTTAGTTGATAGTAAATTTACTTAGAGCGTTATCAAATTTATCCATTATTTGTAAATTTTAAGTATCTAAGCAATTAGTTAAAACATATAGAATATTCTGAAGGATTAGTTGATTGTGTTATAAATAATAGATATTATATTTTATAGTAAAATTTTACTCTTAGACACTTGTAGGTAGTAATCACAACCTTGTGATTACTATTAATGCAATCCCTTAATTATATATATTACTTGTTAACAAATACCTAAGACATAGGTGAATCCAGAGGTGAATTTACCTTTTAATAACGTTGTTTAAAAAAAAAAAAACATTTTTTTAGTTTTTATATTAATTGATTATAATTCATATCTGGAAATAATTGAACCACATTAACTATTCCTGTACAAATAATTGAAAATATATGTAGGTATCTAAAATGTTAAAAATGAGATTTAAGGTCAGATACGCAACCAATAAGTATGTTTTTTCTTTAATATTTAGAAATATTAAGATAAGATTCTATATTTGTTCATATACCTATATTTTAACTAATAATTAATACCTACATTTTTAATGCATGTAAATAAAATTATTCTAGTTTTACTGTTACTTAATAAATCATTGATTAGCTACATGATAAGCAACACGAAACTTGGTACCTACCTATAATAATATTGATATTGAATCACGTTGAATAATATTTAGTAAAGATTTTATTTATGTTTCCTATATTGATTCTGTTCCGTTTTTGTTCTGAACTGAGTATTCGATGAAAATACTATTGAATTGATGAAGTTATGCATTTATTCTATATTCTATGTTCATTTATTTAAAAATAAAATATATTATAATTCCATTTCATTTAGTAAAAATATGTACATGTAGGTAATTATTATTTATTCAATATTACAAGAAGTTATTAATAAAATTATCTAATAATATTAAATTTTTGGGTCTAAGTACTACGTAATACGTACTTAGATAATTCAATTTCGTAAATTGTGTATAAATAATTTTTGTGAGTACCTATTTGTTGTCTAAATACTAAACAAAAAGATATTTCCTTAACTCCTTCTTAACCTTTACATATTTTTTTTTCGATAAAATGAAATACATGATGGCTCTTGTAATTAAAATTAATGGCTTGAACTTTACTAAAGGGTTATCAATACAAATGGAAGGCTTTTAAATGCTATTTAAAAATATGTTTGAATAGTTATTACTTATGTGTTAAACATAAATCAACTAGAGTTAATTTTTTTTTAAGTTAGGCAATAATAAGAACAATAGTTTTAAAATACGAGTAAAAATAGAACAACTGTAATACTGTCCCTACTGTTGGTACACATTTCCTGGACATTAAATTAACAAATTAATTAAGGCAATTTAGTGCGCTGACGTTATGATAACAATTTGGTTAAACTTTTTTTTTGTTGTCGCTCTTGTATCGGTATAAGTTGTATTCGCATGTATGCAACTATATGCGAATCCTTATATGAATAATGGCTATAACTTTCATCTAAATATTATATTTTAACAACTATTATAGTGCACACTTTAATCACAATGTTTATTATTAAGAAGAGTAATGTAAATTAATCACTTAACATAGTATTAAATAAAAAAAAAAAAAAACCTGAAAATATTTAGTATCTACAACCTACTCGTACCTTTAATGGAAATTCATGATTTTCAAATCGTGATTTATAATTTTAAATTCTCAAAAGATATTTTTCTTAAAATTATAATGTGGTACTTATCTTAGTAGGTTAACAAATCGTTAACGAACAAACACTTTACTCAGATGCTGTACACGCATTAATTACTGGCTCAATTTATATTCCATAGCATACCTAGAACAATATAAACAATATCAAAATTCAAAATTAATTTACTTAGAATATAAATTGTGGCATTTACGTTGAAATTGGAATTAATTTTAAGTTTATTTGAAATCACCAACAACTTTTATGTCTTGTTTTGCGTATGGCAATTTTTAAAAAATTTCTACGTACAAACTTCGAAAATATTCTCATTAAATATTTATATATATGTTTTTATTTGTTACATATTTTGATATGTTGATCGTTACTCGGTAATTGGACTGGGAGAATAAAATATGTGACTAGTGTCCTTTTTAATTAACCATGTTTTGCAAAAATATGTTAAAAATAAGATTTCGTATTTTAATTACAAATAATTCGGAACAAACTTTGATCAAATCTATTTTCTTATACGATGTAACAAACAAAAAAACATTTTAATGCATTAAATTCACAACCTTAATGTGAGTTTTCTACTATACATTTTTTTCAGTTTAGATTGAAACTTAGAAGATTAGATAAGAATATAAGTAAGAAATAATAAAAACAAAAAACCACAAAAATGTAATAAAATTACTATAAATACAAAATTGTATTTTCCTGTGATAAGACTTTTTAATTAATTATGAATTGTTTATGACAATGTGGTAATTATTATAAAAAGATTGAAGATATTATCTTTTTTAGAAAATAAATGCTTTAAAATAACTGGTTAAAAACATTTCTTCGTCGATAAAAATAAACTTTAGTAATAGTTTGTCATTTTTATATTTTTAAATATTGGATTATTTTAAATTAAATTTGTGAAATGTACATGTTGCATTTATTATTTTTCCTGGTTTTCGTTTGAAATTATCATTTAACTAAACGATTGTAATCTTGTTATTGCTACAAATCTTTTTAAATAAATGTAAATTAAAATGTACAATCAATAAGAGTGGAATACAGTACAGTTTTAATAGTACTCTTTACACTTTAGAATCAATTAACTAAATTACTAGTTAAAATACCTATGACCAATTATTAATTTGTATGGATAGTTCTTGGCTAATAGGTATGTACCTTTTTAAAATCAAATTATTAGTACCTATTTTTTCTTATTGGTTTTTATCAATAACTTTTGGTATATTCTTTACACTAATTTTCATGTTTAAATTAATTTATCTAATTTTAACAGAACAGCACCGTGTTGTTACTTGTATTGTTGTAAAATAATATCGCGTTTCTCGGTATTTATCGAGTGCTATTGGTCAAATTATTTTAATTAAATATAGTCATTTGTATAGTAATAGTTTATTGTAGGTATATATTATATATTTTTATATTTATATATATATATATATAAATCCATTGATACCTAATGATATTGATGCCCATTAAACAACCTATGTAGCGTTTGTAAAAGATAGGTAAATTGTAATAATCTAAATGTAGTAACCTGAATGTAGATCTTTACATAACGCAGTCAAATAATATACATTCTTTACGTTATAAATGGGGAACAACTAACATTGTTCGTCCAAAAACCCAGACGGTTACAACACTGACAGGATGTCCGCTATTTTACACGCAGGTAGATAATGAACATTTATTCAACCACCTGTTCAAAAATATGATTCTTTAATATTTCCTTTGATACTTATTTTGACGGAAAAAAATTCTCACACGTATTTCTTTCAGGTTAAATATTTTCTAAAACAACTACTCATTGTTGTTTCCTTTTATTTTTGGTTTTTAATAGTTTTACTAAATATAATATTTAATTTATCCATTGATTATTATTGTTATTATATATTTATAATTTGAGAAAATCCCTGTATATTTAAAATTGTATTTTAACATGATTATGTGCATTTTGTATAACTTGATGTTTATATATATTTATATACATATAGACATTGATTAAATATATAATACTAACTGCTTATTATTAAATATATTTAGTCAATGATACAGAGTTGTATAACAAAAACGACGGACATACTTCGCACGTAGATGGGCTATTGTTGTAGGAGTGAAGTTGGGAAAGTAAAGGGGAAATTTAATTAATATCTTGTACGCAACGATTAACTATTGCTAACGAAAAATGATCCTGAGCGGAATTCGGTTAATAGTATTATTTTATCAACAATATATGTCATATTGTGGTAAAATAATTGCTTATGCATTTATTTGATTAATATTGTACCTATTTTCCCCATCTATTTGGAAAACTTCTGGGAAACTCAAAAAAATGACCTCTTCAAAATATCACCCCAGGAAAATTCCTTTTCCGAAAAGGCGTTATACTTGATACTTTGGAGCAAGATTTCTGGTAGAAGTTTTGTATATAGTGTAAAAAAAAAAATCTTAAATAAATCTTCATTACACTCAAAATCTAAAATTTAATCAGTATGCCAATGTTAGTTACTTTTATTTTACAATAATATAGTTACTATCTAGATAAATTCCTATGTATTGTTCAATTTTATTTTTAATGCTTTGTTTCATACAATTTTTACAGGTAAAAATTAAAAACTATTCACTTATTAAATGATAATTATTATTATTTGTAAACTTAATCTTGAAATACAATAATGAAACAATTAGTTCAGATCATGGTAGAAAGGTAGGTAGGGAGCCAGGTAAATTGTTATTAATTAGTTATTTATGTTGTAATTGATTAATTAATTTTGCATTGGATAAATTTAATGATTCAGATATTCATGTTCTGTAAATGTAGAATCTAATTAAATTTTAATTAGATTTTGTATATAGACATATTATAGTATATTCTAACAGTATATACCAAACAAGATATGCAATATACACAGCTATTATTTATTATAAGTAATACAATTCTTTATTTCAGAATGAACCTAATAATCATGGAGAACTTTTATGCGATGCTGAATGCGTAGTAAATCAGGTAATATCTATAAATTATATTATTGTGATTAATAACAAATTTAATAATCTTTAATATTTCTTAAACTGATTTTTTTTTTTGAATATTTATTTGTTTTTTATTATATAATCGTTGATACTTTATCAAGGTATTATGTTTTATGCATTAACATTTTTAAAATAAAAAAAAAAATCTTCCTGTGTAAATATTTTTCCACATCCGGTGTTTACAGTTGATATGTTTATAAATACCTACTTTTATAGTAGTTTTTTTATTTCGTTTATGGCTTTAGTTACTATTAGGGGTAACGCATGTTACGTATGTGGTTAGGTATAAAATAATTTTTGTAGCATTATATATATGCTGAAACCTTAAAAATGATTAAATCATTAATATTATCAGTAATTTTAGTAGTTCAGTTTGTTTCTATTTACTTTTCTTTTAAAATTCTTACTTCGTGATACCTAATACCTATTATAATAATTAAATAAAGATTATTACTTTATTCAACAGTTTACTATTAGTAACGACTTTTTAAAAGAGAAATTACGCATTTTATTTCTAAGTTTGCCACATTATTTTATATTTATTTTAAAATAAAACTATTCCCCCGAGTATAGTATTACTTGTCGGAATTTAGTATAAATCTAAACGAAAACTGTCAGGTGGTGGTTTTATGGGATGTAAAGGGCCGCCTGCGGAAGTTCACTCGACCGCTCACAAACCACTGAACAATGGGATGAACTAGACTGTGTATTAATGCGTAAACCCTCTTTTATGATAATATTTGTATTACCTATTATTAATCCTGAAATCTATTTCCATTCTATTATTGAGGCAAAAATTAACAAATTATTAGTTATAATATTATTTTATTTACAAACAAAAAAATTGAGCACTATTGGTTTGTACATTTATATGTATACTTATTTTTGCATTGATACTATTGTTCTACTAAAACTGGTTAAATAGTTTAACCTACCTAATAACAAAACGAATTACAGCCGTTACAGGATGAGGATAAAAATGATTATTTTGTCACAGTTAATAGCTAGGAAAAGTACTAAACCATGAACAACGTTATTTATACTTATAGTATCCATCCGGTTTCCTCGCGCGTGACCGTTATAATATTATTAAATCTACCTTGAAAAAAACATTAAATATTGTTTGATATTTTTGACGAATTGTTTGTATTGTATTGCAAATAATATATTTTCAAAAACTAAGTTGTACCTGTGCTCAAATTAAACAAGTATAATTTGTTATATAAAACATATTTCACATAATTAGCAGCCATATTATTTTATAGCTTTCAATCAGCCGAACATGTTATAACAGTATATAATAAGTATTATGATTGTGGAGTAAAACACCTTAAAATAAATCAGATGAAATAATAACACTTGAAATCGGAACTTTATTTTTTTAATATTGGAAGAGACTGATGGATAATCCCCGATGGAATACAGACAATTTCTATTCCCGACTATATCTTTTGGTTTTACTATGTGTGATTTTTTTTTTTTTTTTTATATATATATAAATTTTTTTTGTCCGTGAGCAACTTTTCTACTAGAAATTTTGTTCCGATGTATCAAGTGTAGTACCTTTTCTGAAAGGAAATGTTATCTAGTTAATACTTAAGTCTGTCTTTTTTAGATTTTCCATGAGGGTTTTTTTATTATAATTGGGAAAACCAGAAAAAAAAACAAATATACGACAAGAAAAACCGATGAATATTTAAACCACGGTGTTACCAATTTTATTATTTTTAAATTTTACACGTTATGTTTCCAAAAAAACCTTGCTTTAATCAAAAAATTCTAGGGGACCTTTTTTCTTGCATTTTGGATCATGATTCTCACGAAGAAAGTTTTTTTTTTGATTTTCTTAGTTGTTTTCATAACAATTGAGAAAACCGGAAAAAGACGAAAAATAAAACTGATAAATTTACGGCGTTATGATTCCATTATTTCAAATTTTGTCGACTTATGTTTTCTACCGGAAATATTGCTCCAATAGAAAATCAACAAAAGACTTTTTTTGAATTTTTAATCTAATTGGTGAAAAAATAAGTCTTTTTTCGATTTTTTAAGTTCTTTTCATAACTATTAGGGAAAAACGTAAATTTAAATCTGACAAATTTACGGCGTTGCGATTTCATTATTTTACATTTTTATGCTTTATCTTTTCTATCAGAAATATTACTCCTATCGAAAAACTATAGAAGCTCTCTATGGTTCCATTCTATATCTAGTTTTTGAATATAAATTTTTTTTTAATTTTATGTATAGTTTTTTTAATAATTAAACAAAACCAAAAAAATAAAAAAAGAGTGGGAAAGTTCACAGAAATATGCTTTCATTATTTTCAATTTTGTTCTTTTGCTGCAATTCAGTTAAAAATATTTTTAAAAACTTGAAATTTTGATAGAGAATTAATATTTTATTTTTCTAGACTTAGTAGAATTTTGAAAATATTTAAAAAATATTTTTGACCTATTTATTCTAGACATTTTATATAATCGAGCTTCTTTTATGTAGTTTTTATTTGGTTCGTACTAGGTAGTATGTACTCTTTGAATGAGATTATTATAGATATAAATTAAATAACTTGATGTATCCTACCATGAAAACGTCCCACCTAACAGTGGTAAATCCATCCCCAGTATCAGCTAGTTTTTTTGGTTAGGGAAATGCTCCAAGTTTTTCACACAGTACCTCTTAAAGACGCAATTTCTTACCAGTGGTACTTGAAACATTTATCAACAATTTCATTAGTTCATCACCCAAGGTGCTGTTTTTGTTGTTTGAATATTGTTGATTTCTGGTTTACCTTTATATCTTTGTTTGCAATGATTTATTCATTTACAGGGATACAGGGATTTAAGTCAATTCTTGACATTTTTTAAAAAAAATTGTTTTGTTTAGATTTGGAACATAGCGAGGGATCTATTGGTTTTACTATGATGTACATTTTTTTTGTCTGTACACTACTATTTGAAAAGAAATCTTGCTCTGGTGTATTGAGTGTAACACCTTTTCTGAAACAAAATTTTCTCTAATTGGTGCATTAAAAAGGTCACTTTTTGATATTTTCAAAATGAAAAACGAAAAAAAAACATAGGAAAACCCGTTAAAACGTAGGACAAACAGTAAAATCAACACAATATTAAACAAATATTATTAAAGAAAATATATAATGCCTATTTAATTTTACCACAAAAGGACATGTAAATTTATTTATTTGAAATACACGCCCGAAGACATTCAGCACAGAAAATATATACCAATACAAATTGTAAAATGTACATAAAAAGTAAAAAAAAAAAAAACAATGTTCAGTAAATCTGTATGTGTTCTAGGTATATAACTAGTATACAGCAAAATAGTTAAAAAGAGAATATATTGATTTGTAGCGTACTTTGAGAGGAATGAAAAATATCAAAATTATTTTGAAAGTTATTACAGGAGACTAGTGCTCTATTGATAGGGGGAAATTATAACCGTAAAGTGTTTTGTGCCTAGTAATGTGAAAGGTTGGTCGGTTTCTAGAGTTAAAAGTGGGAACAGATAAATTAATTTGACTAAGATGAAAATTGTCCTCAATAGTGCAATTTAAGATTTTGTAAATAAAAATTAGAATATAAACGTCTAGAACTAAGAGAATAGACAAACATAGGTTTTCTAAGGGGTTTATAACAATGATTGACGACTATATAATAATTAGGAATATTATTGACAAATAATCACTATCAAATGAACTCCGCTCAGAATCATTTTTCGTTAGCAATGGTTAATCGTTGCTTACATTAAAGAATACATTAAATTTCCCCTTTACTTTCCTGACTTTCAACCTACAACAATGGCAGCACCCACGTACGAAGTATCTCTTTTTGATTTTCCATTGGGTTAGCAAAATAGTTGGGAAAAACCGGTAAGAAAATTATAGGTAAAACAACAAATATTTACTGCGCTCCAAGACGCGCCAATTTACTGATTTCTTTGTTTTCAATTTGATTGTTTTAGTGTTTTCTATCAGAAATATTACTCTAATAGAAAAATGACAAGAAAAGTTTTTTGTTTCATTTTGGATCTAGTTGTTTTCGATAAATGTCGTTTTTTTGATTTTCCTATTAGTTTTCATTATGATTTGGAAAACTGGAATAAGATGAAAAATTAACAAATTTACGGTTTACGATTTCATTATTTAAAATTTGTATGGCTTATGGTAGCTCATAAGCTACCATAAATATTGTTCAAATAGAAAAAAAACATTATATTGACCTTTTTTGTTGCTTTTTTAATCTAGTTGGCGATTAAGAAAACTCATTTTAATTTTATTTATAGCTTTTATATTCCTTAAATTTTCTTTTTTAATGTAATTAAGTTTAAAATATTCGTAAGGACTTGACATTTTGACAGAAAACTTATATTTGTTTTTTCTATACGTGGTTAAATGTTTAAAATATTTGAGCCATTTTTTAGCTATTCATAGGAATGTTTTGTTTGCGTGTTTTTTTTTATGTAAGTTGTACTTAGTAGGTACTCTGTGGATAAAATTGTGAAACCAAACAGAAATGGCTGAAAATTCAACACGAGGTTCATTTTAAGCCCTATTTATTGGTCTAACAAAAAAAAAATTGATTGTAATGTAGAATTTTTGTTTAAAATCATACGAGTATTTTGACGAAGATTATTACGACCTTTCAAAATATTTAAAACCGAACTTCCTTTCGTATCGTTTTCGTCTGCAATTATTTATCATTATTTACAGCCTGTAGGTATAAATTAATTAAATTTATGTATTCTTACGACTTTCCCTTATACTCGTACAATAGTAGTTTACTTGTCTTTTTTCGTATTCTTTAGGTAAAATTAAATAAGTGTGCATTTCAAAATTTAACTATTTTGTATTGAAAATTTGACCTATTGGACCTTCTCCTCTAGGACTAAACGAATAACCACGTATATCATATCTTCTAAACTACTCCCATAAAACATTGGTAACTTCTTAGTAGTAGATATTAACCTTTATTTAACAATATTGCATAAGTAGTTTGCAAAAATATTATTTTTATTTAGACTGTTATAGAATACATTTTATAGTTTTACATAATTTATGAAGTTTATAATATTTTTTGTTGTATTTTAAATGTACAAATTACGAAACATTATTTTTATGTGTAATTATTTTGCAGTACATAATAATTGAATCAAGTGGTCAAGGCACTTAAATTCATCTCACTACGAACATATATTTATTGAATGTTTCCTGTGTTGTTGAGGACAATAGAAATTAATTATTTTTAGTTTATAATTTATACATAAGTATAGCTTTAATCCATAGACAGTAGACATAAAGTGAAGAAAATGAAACTTAGTATTATTGATTACTGTTAATGATCATAATATGCTTGATTACTTATAAAAACTAATAAGCATTCAAACTAAAATCAACTTATTATTATTTCTATAATAGTAAATTGCTGATATAGTAATATTAGTAGGTAGGTTCTTATCTATTATTTAGGTACAATTTTCAGATTGTAATACTCAAATATTACAGAATTAGTGGGTTGTATAATGTAAGATGTTCAAAATTTGCAAATTCATTATAAGTATTATATTTTTAGAACTTTATTAAAATTAATAACTTTGGAATTTCTACAATCCAATTTTATATAATGTTGAATTTCTTATTTAAACGGTAATAAGTATTTTATTAAATTGTATCTATAAAGACCAATATGTTCTTTTTATCTGGAATCTATTTTAATGGGTATTTTAGTATTTTATTTTTCTTAAAAATATTTTTAACAGTTATTTTAAAATAATTGTCAAGATTCGGAGCGTTACGAGTGATCTATTAGATTTACTAAGATGTTTGTTTGTATATTTTACTTTTTTATATTTTTCTTACGTCAAATATGTACAGCACTCCGTGGCGTTGCCGATTTTATTGTTCTTATGAAACATTGCTACAATAGAAAAACAACATGGAAATTCGACACGAGGTTTATTATAAGTTGAACTTAGTGGTGAAAATAAAAATAGATTATTATGTAGAATTTTTTTTTTAACTTTTTAAAATCAAATTTCGACAAAAATTGAGAATATTACGGCATTTCAAAACATGTATGACCGAACTATTCTCCGAAATGTTTTTTGTTAATAATGGTTTATCTTTGCTTGGAGCTATAAATTAAATACCTCCATGTATCCTATACCTTCGAAACTTCCCATTCAGAACACTGGCTCACCCGTCCCCATTATGAGCTCATTTTTATCTTTTACTTAGTATGGTAAATTACATAGTAGAAAATGATCTTTCAGGTAGTTTTTCAAATATTATTACTGCATTCACGATATTTTTATCTATACCTGTAACTGGCCGTAACTGTTGCTTCAGCCGAGTGATTATTTTCTAAATAAAAATATCAAAAATTATTTAGGAAATACAATTTCTCAAAAAAGACTGAATAATATTCCAATTTTAAATATAGAAAGAGAGGGCACCGAAGAAATAAATATTGTTCATATAATTAACAAATTTTGCAAATAAGAAGGAAGAAAAAAAAATTACTATCTAACACTGGTTTTAAAATTACATAACTCAAATTAATACTACTTATTTATGACTTATGACAAATAGAATTTTCATTTTAATTATTTTATTATTATGTTTTTTTTTTACAAAGCAAAAATAAAATTTGACGTTTTATTTTTATCAAAATTTTAATGGTAGATATTTATCGATTTATTTTTTACATCAAATTGTATTTAAATTTAAAAAATATGTTGTAAGCATACAACTAGCATACAAGCTATTATCTATTATATACCATGTATATAAAATAGACAATTTTGTCTGTTTGTGTTTTATGCGCTGCCATACCGATTGTGATGGGGCTTTTGTTAAATGTTCAGGAATTTCCCGGGATGGTTATAGGCTATCGGAGAAATTTAATAATTATATCCTCTTCACCAGAAAAATTACCCTTTGTAGTGAAAAACGATAATATATTGCACATTTTACATTTTGTTTATTTACCTTGGAGATTGTATGAAGAGTCAAAACTAAAATTTTACGGGACTTTATAGTTACTAAGGAGCCTCCTTAATTGCATTTATGTTTATGGAGCACCTATACCAATATTTACCTAGGCACACAAATACCTAGCTACGTCACTGGACCTACTAATTGTTATATAAAAATAATATATATTCAATATAAATAATGAAAAAGTTATTTTTTGATTTTCTATCTAGTTGTTATAATAATTAGAAAAAAAACGATAAAAACGTCGAAAGAACGGAAAAATTTACCAAAATAATCCATTTATTATTTTCAATTTTGTTTTTTTGGTTGTAATTCAGTTGAAAATATTCGCTTAACTACAAAAGACAAAAACTTTCAGTACCCCACATGAATCCTATTAACATTTATCTTTCACGTAAAAAATTCCAGGTAACCCACACAGGTGCCTTAAAAGAAACTGATGTATAGGGAATACAAATTCTCAAATTATGTAAATTATATAAATTTGAGAATACCTATTCTCTCCCTAAAACTTTTTCTATGATGTACCGCCAATTAGTTACATCTCATTCAAAAATATTTAAGAATAACTTAAAAAGATATGTTGTGGATAAACTGTTTGACGAAATAGAAATGTTGAAAAATTTAATTGGGGGTTAGCTTATGTTAATTATAAGTCACACTTAAAAAAAAATTGTATGAATTTATTTTATATCAAATTTTGATAAAAATCGTAGATATAGATATTACTTCGATCCGAATCGGTTTATTATAGTTTACATATATAAATTAAATAACTTTATGTATCATACCTTCCCAACTCCCCACTTACGACATTGACACCACTATCAGCTTATTTTTAGATTCTGCAGAGTGGAGTGAGGAATATATTGGTTTTACCTAGATATTTATTATTAGGTTTTTTTTCATACTGTGTACAAAAATTCTACCAGAAATCTTGCTCCGAAATTTCAAGATACCACCATTTCTGAAAGGGGATTTTCCTGGGGTAGTATTTCAAGTAGGTCATTTTTTGATTTTCCCAGAAATTTTCATAATAAATTTGAAAATGGAAAAAAGTATAAAATGTTTTATTTTCAAATTGTAAATATTATTATGACCTTTCAAAACTCCGGTCAGAATCGTTTTTCATTAGCAATGATTAATATTCGCGTATAGATATACATTAAATTTCATCTTTACCTTCCTAACTTCTCACCGACAACAGTGGCCCACCCATCGTGCGAATTATGTTAGTTTTTTTTTTATATTGCATATTGCTTATGATTTTATTTAGTTTATTTTTTTTCCGTTTATCCAATACTTATGTTTGTTTAGTATAACGTTTAATAATTATTGCCACTAAACAAAGTCAAATTGATATAAAGGGGCATCCCGACCCGCATTTGTAGATTGGCTAATAAGTAACCCTGACTATTATTTTATCGAATTAATACATTGTTGGGGTCCCGTATGAACCGTGTGAATCATTGTGTTCGTGACATGGGTCCTGGTCAATTTTATTTAATAAATGTAATCAAATAATATATTATTATTATTTTTATTAATGAATAGTAAGTACTTATTCATTTTAAAATTGTATAATGTATAAATAATAACTTGTTTAAATAATGTCTGATTTGGCATGCTAAAAATACATAGGAAAAAGTAGAATATTTTATATAATATAGTTTTAGCTTAGATTTCTGAATATATAAATTAAATTAGATATTTTTGTTTTGTTATAAGTTGCAACACATTGTTAATGACATCTACCATAATGCTTTGTTATATATTCCAAATCTTTCCTTCCGTTTAACTATTTTTATTTTTAAACTCTTTAACCTAGCTTTAATTTAAATAAAATCTTAAAGATTTATTACACATATTACAAATTATATAATATTTTGTTATATAATTTTAGTTTAAAATAAATTTAAAATGCATTATAATTTACAATATTTTTGTTATCAAATATTCATAAAATGTAACTAACCCAAAATCCTAAAGTACAGTTGTCTAGTTTTAGCTATCTGTGCATTCAATTATTCAAGTGTTATTTTTCACCATTATACTATTTTGATGTTAGGTACACTAATAATCATATAATATTAATTTTAGTTGTATGACCACATTTAAGATTCTGAGTGGAACAAGGAATGTATTGGTTTTACAATGATGTTTTTTTTTTATCTGTGAATAAGTGTAGCACTTTTTCTGAAAGGAAATCTGACTGGGATGGTACTCTAGGGAGATATCTTTTGATTTTCCTAGCTGTTTTCATAACAAATGGAAAAATAGGAAAATGTACAAAATGTATTACTTTTTCAATCTTTTGTTTTTTGTTTCGTTTTGATTTAGTTACAAATATTTGTAGTTTGGACAGAAAATTTATATTTGCTTTTTCTAGACTTAAAACATTGTAGTCATTTTTAGGTAGTCCGCAAATAGAATTATTAAACCGAACAGAAATGCTGGAATATTTAACAGGAGGTTCATTATAAATTAATTTTGTAGTAAAAAAAAATAAATTGAGTGTAATGTTGATTTTTTTTATAAGAATTTTAATATCAAAGTTTGATTGAAAATCGTTTTAGTAAATAATTATGTAGATATTTTGTTATGTATGACTTATGTAATACATCCAAGTACAAGTGGCTATTATGCATATGTATTTATTTTACCATAATATAGCCCATATATTGTTGACAAAGCAACACTTAATCGAAATTCGCTGAGAATTTTTTGTTTGGTAACAATGGTTAATTGTTAAATACAGACATACATTAAATTTGCCCTCTACCTTCCCAACTTCTCACTTACAATAGTGGTTAACCCAAGTGCGAAGTATGTTTATCTTTTTTTCCTTCATATTCTTACTAATGCTAATATACAAATTATTATTTTTAGTAATTGTTAAATGGAATAATTCCGAACATAATTAGTGGAATAAAATAGGAATTAACTCATACTATATTTTGAAATCTCTAAAATATTGTTAAGTACTTATCTACTCATTTTATAGTGTATGTGTGACATACACAAATAATAAAAACGAATATAATAAATCATTAATTTGTTTCAGAGTTATATAAAACAATTATAATGTTGAATGTAATAAATATAATTTTCAGTTGATGCATATTACTTTGTAATATTATATGGTATCTAATCTTGTACCTAATACTACCCACTTTATTATTTATTTGGATAAATTTTAAATGTAATTGATTCTTTAATTTTTAGTGTAACAGAGGATGTGCCTTATGGAACGAAGCACTTTATAGTAATTGTTCAAATGTTTGTGTAAGTAAATGCTTTATTATAAAAATAAAGTTGTATATAACTATTTATTCAGTGATTTATAATTTAAAATATTTTACAGGATCAAGTTAATGTAAATCACATTTCTCAAACCAATTTATATTGTATAGCAGGGTGCAATGATGCAATCACTTTATATTTTCAAAATATCCAATGTATGTTTTTATAATATTTAATCATTTTAAATCAATCATAAAAAATATAAGTTATTTACAGCATATTGCTATTTTTTTTTTTTTAGCTGAAATTGGTCCTTTACCACCTCCAACATTAGTACCTGATTCTTTATCAGATAAATCTCTCAAGCTTCAATGGAAGGGTGTTAGAAGGAAAAACTTTATGTATAAAGTTCAATGGAAATTTGAGAATAATCCAGTAATTTGGCAGTATTGTCAAAAAGAAAAATGGACCAATTTGTCTATAATACAATTGGATCATTTAAGGCCGTATACAAATTATCAAGTACTATTTTATCTTATTTCCTCATTGTTACCATAGAGATTACCAAATTAAATTTTTGATAATTATTAATAATTGTTAAAAAATGTCTATAACCATTAATTATAACTTTTCTTTTTAAACATCTAAGGAAATGGTTTTTTTTATTTTGGTACAATTCTGTAATTCTGTACCTGTATTCATTTTTTCTCCAGAATTTTCATAGACAATTCAATCTATAGTGGCTAGTAGTTTATCATTTGTGTTATATGTTATATTTGTTTTTTTGATTGTAATGTTTTTAACTTTTTTTGTTATCCTAAGAAATGTATTCATTAAGATCTTAAAATTTGCATAGTTAAAATATCAAAGTCAAATATTTTATAGAGTTAATTCTTCTGAAAATTTTCGTTAAAATTGTGACTTAATCATTTTTCAAAGTTTAGAAAAAAGTACCTATAATAATTATGCAGTTCGCTGTTATCGCATTTGCTGATTGATTATTATTACCATACCTAATTGACTGTACACTTTTTAGATTCAGAGTGTAGCAAGGAATGTATTGGTTTACGATGATTTTTTTTTTTTTTATCTGCGAACAACTTTTCTACCAGAAATCTTGCTCTGATTTTCAATTGTAGTATTTTTCTGAAAAAAAATTTGAAAATATTATTTTTTGATTTTCCAAACGGTTTTCATAATAATTGGATAAACTGGAAAATGTACGTAAATGTATAATAGTAACTTTGCTCCGAATCATTTTTTTGTTAGTAATGATTTATCGTTGTATACAGATAGAAATTAAATTCCCCTGTATATCCTATCTTAATCTCTAAACTTCTCATCTACAACAGTAGTCCATCCATCAAGTACTTTTCTCTGAACTGTAAACAAATTATGAATTAAATGAAAATAAAAAGTTGATGTCTCAACATTTTCAGAAGACTAAATTGTATAATGGCTATCTTAAATTTTTCAAAAATACTAAATATTAATTGAAATATAAATATTTTTAATCCTTATCCCTGTGAATAATAATAGTAATAAAAAAAAAAAATAGAATTTGATTATCTTTTATTATCTCTGGAGATATTACAATGGTTAATTTTCATGGGATATCCTGTATATATATATTTATCAATTTGTGTAGTATAATATATAATTAACAAGATATTATATTATACTTTTAACAAGGTATTATATTATTTAAGATTTTATAAATACATTAAAATGTAATTATGTATTATTTTTGTTCTGTTTAGTTTCGTGTGGTCTTATTATTAGCATGGTCTGGAGTATTGCAGTTAATGGTTTCTGAGCCTAGTGTGGTGATCAGCACGTATCCCAGTAAAGAGCCACCTTCAATGACACCAGAAATTGTGAGAACAATTCCTGCAGATTCTAGTATATCAGTGACATGGACCAGTATTCCTTTTCCTTTAGCCCCAATCCTATCCTATCACTTGACCATCCAAGAGCCTACAAAAGGGTACACCGTCTTCAAGGTCAGAATTTAGTATACGTTTAAAATTTCAATTTTGTTTAATACTACTTCACCAGAATGCATGGTCTTCAGAGCACTTATTAATCTTATTTAAATAAAAATTCTATTAAAAAAGCTGTCCTAGGATAATGGGGACAGGTGCTGCAACTGTTGTAGGTGAGAAGGTAGGATACAGAATGGAATTTAATGTATATCTGTGAGCAGAGTTCAGTTATAGTGGTGATGCATTGTCATTAAATAGGCATTACATATTTTCTATAATAATATTTGTTTAATATTTTACCGATTTTTTCCTAAATTTGTCTCGGTTTTTCCATTAACATAATATTATTTTTTTCCATTTTTAATGAATTTTATAATAAATATTGTATTATTTAATAATTATCCAATCTAAATAATATTATGATGCTTAAGCTTGAAATTCATTCTTGTACCAGGTGTTTCATTTAAGTGGGTATGTTTATTATCTCAGAAAGTATTAACTTTTTTGGGAATTTTTTTTCTAGAAAATTTAATAAAAAAGCTGCTCTATAATTTTATATTTATGCTATTTTTTTATCATCCTTATTTTTGGAGGTAAATCACTACCTACTTTTGATTTTCAAATGGCATATTAAAATTTACTTAAACAGATGGAGTATTAGTTATAATACATTTGAGTGTTAAAATTTTTGACTTTTGTCAAGTCGTTGACGAGATATTTCACTTTTAAGTTTTGGTTAGAGGGGAGTAGTGGTGCATAATTAACACGCCGCGTGCCGTATTGCTGCACAAATGATACTCCACCAGTCTTCTCTAACCTAAACTTAAAAGTCGAATATCTCGTTAACGAATAAACGGAAATCAAAATTTTCAATACTGAAACTTATTTTAACTCCATATATTTATGGAATTTTTAATATAGGTTGCCATTTAAAAATCAAAAGTAGGTAGTAGTTTTACCCCCAAAAATATGGGTAGTGAAAAATAACATTAATATAAAATTGTAATGCAGCACGTTAGTTAAATATTCTAGAAAACAAATTCCGGAAAAAGTTAATACTTTCAGAGATAATAAGCGTACCCACTTAAATGAATCACTCGGTATACAATTTAAAGATATTCGTATTTTTGTTTACTATTCAATATCTATGAATTGAATATCCGAGTGTATAATATTAAATGTATATAGTACACATTGAGTTGATTGAATTGTATATATAGCATGTAATCTTTTACATTAACATCCACATAAACTTACACTGCATATTAAATTATAGTATCCTGTGATTTTAGGTCGAGCATAAAATGTTTCCTGCTGTGCGAACATCGTACACTGGAATAATTTTTTCACTAGTTTTGACTTAATGAAATTCCTTCTTGTTAAATTAAACTGAAAATAAGATAATTTTTTTGTTTAGGTATGGTTATGTGGTTAAATAATTTGGGATATTATAATTGTTTCTAGTTGATTATCTTAGTATATTATTTCTGTATATAATAAATTAATGTATATAATAGCCTATATGTATATTTATAATTATCAATCTAACTTCTAAAATTTAAAATTCTTCTTTAAAATATTTATTCTTTTTAACAAATGTCTTTGATATAACACTTTTCCTTACATGAATACTATTATCTATTAAGTGTGAAATTTATGATCATTATTGTTTAGGAAATATTGACTGGTAAAGAAAATATAACAGAACATTTTTATATGTTCCGTAATTTGGAATCTGCAAAAAATTATACTATTTCACTAGCTGCTAGAAATGAGTATGGTGTAGGACCATTAACCAATAGATTTGTTAAAACACTTCCAATATCAATAAGTAAATATATATTTAAATAGCACAATGTAACATGTTTAAATATTTGAAAAAATAATGTACCTATTTAATTTGTTATTGATTATTTTAGTAAAATACACACCTGAACCTGTTAACTTATTTCTTATATCTAATCATGATATATTTGTTAAAACTACAGAATTAATAGACACACCTATTAAAATTTATTCCACAAATCAAACAATCAATGGTATGATTATTTATAATATAACAGATAATTAAACATTTTTAGTCAAAGAAAATAATTATGAATTTCTTATTTTAGGTGTATCAATTAATATACATACAAATATTACATATATATCTGATTCTTCTGGTGCATTGCTATTCTTGTTAAATAATAAGATTCATTATTTATTTACTACTAAAAAAGATACATTATTGGACACCACTATAGATTGGCTTAATAATCATATTTATATTTTAATGTTATCAATTTCGAACAAAAATATTAAAGTGTACAGTATAAAGAGGTTTGATTTGGAAGAAAAAAATTTAGTTGAGATAATTTCTGGATTTGATCATAAACCACTTCAAATAAAAGTGGATCCTTGTAATGGGTACATTTTTGAGTTATTTGTATGGTATTTATTTGTTATAATTACTTATTTAATATCTCCTTAAAAACAGGTATTTGTTTTGGACTACAAAAATTGGTCTATATCGGTTAGACTTAAGTAAAAAAATTTATAATTTAGAAATGGAAATGTCAAACTTGCTAATATTACAAAACAAAGATATTGGTCCGTTTGTTATTGATTACTTAAACTTTTGTTTATTGGTGTTATTTCAAAAAGATAACACAATTATGTCAGTTTCTTTAGATGGGTAAGTTTTTTAATATTAACAAATATAATATTATCTTTAATAGTACAAGCATATTTTTTGTTTGTTTTATAGTCAAGAAGTAATAGATATTAGAAACAACACTGAAACTGCTTTATTTGATGATGCTTTAACTTTAACGTATGTGAATGGTTCATTTTATTGGACAAATGGTTCAGTATTGATCGGAGAAGAATATTCAGTTAATAATCAAAAATATTATCAACATATATATCCTGCCATGAAATATGCATACAATTTAATACTATCTAATTTTACTGACCAACAACCAATACCATTTCCTAAAAATCCACCACAGTCTCTGCAAGCAGTCACCACATCAGACAAATTGAAAGCTACATGGCAGATTCCTCACTTATTAGGCGGACAAGGTAATATAACAATTATACTGGTATTGAAAATATTTTAATTCTATTGTTTTGTTCCTATCACATATTTCTTTCTCACAATATATGTCATTTGGTACCTGACAGTATTTTGAACCATTGGTAAAATCCTTAATAATAAAACAAATTAAAGTTTCTACTTATATTCAGTATTAATTACTATTATGTTTGATAATTATCTTTTTAATTTAAAAGAATTTAGATTTCCAAAAATAATTTCAGTTCATTATTACTTGTGACTCCTCAATCCATAGTTATTTAAAATCACTAACTTAGTTATTTAATTATCTTAAAATAAATCTAACTGACTTAATTTTACATTTTTCAACTTTCTTATAACTACCGCTAAAGCAATTATTCAATTGCTTTTTATCATGAATACTGGGGAACGAAAACAAAATATTCTTTTATGTTAATGACTTCCAGGGACTAAATGTACCCACTCAGTGACAAAATGTCTTCCAACAATTTTTGTTGATGAAGACAATATATCTGGAATCAAATATCCTCAATTCATACAAATGATATAAAATTAGACATTCTTAAAAGTTAATATTGTACAACTATAAATATAACTCAAAATAACATTTTAGGACACAACTCATGGCAAGGGTGGTCTTACCGGTTCTCAATATCAATTGAAAATGAAACTAATTGGAAAAATATAGATATTAATAAAACAGAAATTGTAATTGATTCATTAATATCAAGTACAAATTATGTAATTAAAGTAGCTGCATATTCTTCTTCGGGTCAAGGACCTTGGTCCTCAGAATTTATAGTAAAAACATTAAATCATAATGTATCTGTACTTTGGGGAAATGCTCAACAGATATTGATTTCTGATATTATGGGCGATTCCATACAAACAATTTTGCTTTATGAAGATGAGGTAAATATTTTAATTATTTTACAGTTTTAATAACATAGAAATAATTATATAAAGATGAACACATTTTTTTTACTTATTTTGATGAAAAATAGATAGTATTTATTATTATACATTTTTAGAATACTTTCAAAAATACTTCATTAAATGATGTTGCTTGGTATGAAGATTGTGTTTATTATGTAGTAAATTCAAGTAAAATTAATTGGGTGAATTCAATAACTCTCCAAAACGGTACATTGGAAGGAATTAATAGTGTTCAAAGTATAGCAATTGACTGGTTGGGTCGGAAAATTTATTGGGCAGATCCATCAAAACAATCTGTAATCACTAATTGGTATTTATATTTTAAAATAATAATAATTAAAATTGAATTTTTATTTAGATATGGAGAGATGATTTATATGGAGGTCAACGAGAATTACTTATAGGAGCTAATATTGTTAAAGAATTAAAAGTAGAATCTGTGGGTGGTTACTTATATTGGTCGACAGGATTTTCAGTGATGTCTTCAAAACTCAATGGTGAAGATCAACAATTATACTATAATGCAGATTATTTTTCTGGAAAAAGAGGTATATTATGTGATACATATTTTTAAAAATCTACTTGTAAAATTAGTAAAAAATCTAATTTTAATTTATCAACATTTAAATTTTAGTTATGAGCTTAGCTGTTGATCCTGTTGATCATTGGGTGTATTGGATACTTCGCGAAAATGACAAATCAAAACTGTTCCGTGCACCAACTGCTGAAAAACTCAAAGATTTCATCACTCCAAGTCCTGTAAAAGAATTTGATCACTTATGTACTCAAGGTATAAACTATTAAAATAATGTGGATTAGAAGTAGATATCAAGTTATTTTGTTTTATATTCAGGACCTTTATTCTATGTAGACCATCATTTGCTGTGGCTTCACAATGGTAATGACATAATGATGAGTGATACAGATGGCCAATATCCAGCAATTATAAGAGCTATGAATTTGAATGGTATTCAGACATTTAGTGTATTTGATCGATATGCTCATCCAAAACCCAAAGGTATTTTAAGTATGAATAAAAACAAAAACATTTAGAAAATATATTTTCTATAATTGAAAATATACCTATTTGTTCACTATAGGATCATATGAGAAAACAATATTCTTTATATAAAAATTGTTTACACGGTGTTCAATATAAAGATATTCAATACTAATTTATCATAAAATATAAAATGTAATGATTCATCATTTCCTTAGGTTTAGAAACAAATGTAATTCCAGATGAAGTAGACCTTAAAACGATAAAAGTTAATTATAGAAATAATGAAAATATATATGATATCATTTGGCAGCCTGTACAAAATGTTAATCATGGATTGGTGTCTTATGCTGTTAAAGTTTTATACGAAGAAAATAAAAAAGTAGATTCTTTAGTTAGTATATTATTGAAAATATTATATATTAAATTTCTATTAATATTGTCTTGTACATAATACATTATGGATACTAATAATACCTTAATGTTGGTAATATTTATTGTAATAAAGAAAATTGCATGTTTTAACAGTTATTTAACACACCAAATACCAAAGTGAATGTTGAAAGTATACCATTAGAAATCAGTATTAAAGCTTCTACAGTTTGGGGTTCTTCACAAGTAGTAACAATTTATTCACCAATTCCCTCTGCGCCAACAGATATTAGAATTTTTACAAACTTTAGTGATGATAATCAAACTAGAGATATTATACTACAACATTCTACAATTGAAAATATTACCAACTATGAAATTAAGTGCTATAAACAGTTAATAGTAGTAAACAATTTTTGGGAACCGTGTTCAAAGAAAAGTATTGTATCAACTAAAACACAAACAATATGGTCAAAACTTATTCTTAATGCAGACTATTTATTCAAAGTAATAGTTTATTATAATTATTTGTGAAAATTATAATTAATAAAATATTATTGAAATTAGATAAGAGCTTGTTCTATGGCTGGTTGTGGTGGATGGAGTGAAGATTTAATACTCAATCAAACATCTAGAATTTTTCCATTTAAAACTGCTATGGTATGTGGTTCTAGAATTATGATTTTCCACTCAAATAAACCAAATAATCATCAAACAATGTTACAAACAAATAGTTTGGTTACTAGTTTTACTTTAAATTATGTAGAAGATATTGCATTTTGGACAGATAGTAAAACTATATATAGTTCACCAATAAATAAATCAATTAATATAAAAGTAATTCAATTATTTGACTACAATGTTTTCTATTATTACTATTATTATTGTTGTATTATTAAAACATTTTTTTTTTTTAGATTCACTCAATTGTATCAGATAACACAAACATAGAAAATCTTTCATTTGATTGGATATCAAAAACACTATTTTGGTGTGAAACTATTGAAAATCAATCAAAAATTGTAGCATTTGATTTCAGGGTTCAACAAATGAAAACAATTATGATAAGACAAAATAAAATATTCCCGTCTTCAGCTGTACTTTCTGAAGGGTAAGAATTAATTTATTATTATTTGTGGTTTGTACTTATTATTTGTAAAAAAAAAAAAAAAAAAATTATTTAATTTATAGTTTATTCATTTGGATTGAAAAAATACCAGATTCTATTGAGAAACATATTTTAAAAAGTAATATGAGTGGTACAGATATTGAAACATTTTTATACACTAGCAACAATAATTGCAATTGCTCTAACCTTCACCCATTTAGTAATGTATTGACATTGTATGTGTCAAATAGTGGTAAAATGAGACTTCTTTGGGTTGAAGGCAAAAGTCAAAATATTGTTGTATCTGATGTTAATGGATGCAAATGTTCAACTATATTTTCACTGAACTCTACTCTTTATTTAACATCATTAGCAATTGATAAACACAATATTTATTGGACAACAAATAATTCTATGTGTTCTATAAAGATAAAAGAATTAAATGATACACCATTAATTGAAAAAAATGTTTCATTGTATTGTGTAAATAATGTAACAGCTGTATATACAATTGATGGGTTATCTGATCCAAGTAAGTTACAAAAATCATTAATACATATTAATATTATATATCTGCTTATTGGTACTAGAAATACTTAACAAAATAGTGTGTGATTTCTAATTAAGTAGATTATGCTTCATTAAGCTTTTTTTCATAACATTATTTTCTCAATTTCGTTATTGGTAAAACTCCCTATTAAACACTTCTAATTTTATCTAATCAAATAACTTCAAATATCCATATGATTACATTCATTTTTATTCTAGTTTCTTTCATTCAACACCCAACTCCAGTTACATGCAACATTGTGAGTACCAGTTCTATACAAATAACAAAATAACTATATTTATAGATTTATCCAATTCCAATCTTAAAATATCTATTTTTAATTACATTAATGAATCCAAATCTCAATTAATTTTTGTTTCTAACATGGTTAAATATTACTCCAATTAAAAAATGATAAGAAAGCTTATTTGTAGTATATTTTGGATCTATATTGTGCATTAAGGAGATCATTTTTGGTTTTCCATGTAGTTTTCTTTATAATTTTGGAAAAATGTTTTAAACATGAAAAGGTTACAATATTGTTTCATTTTTTATTGTAGTTTTGTTATAAATAATTAACAGAATACTTATATCCTATTATACCCTTTTCAAAATGTTAAAAATATTTCCAGCAATTCTTAAGCTATTTAATATTTTCAAATTTTTTGACCTAACAGAAATTCTTGAAAATTTAACGCTAGGTTCATTATAAGATTTATTTAGTGGTAAAAATATTAAAACAAAATATTAACTGTAATGTAATTAAATTAAAGTTTAAATTTTTCAAAATCGTAAAAATTATGGCATTTTAAAATATCTGTAATTGAATTTGCCCAAAATCGTAATTTGTCATCAATGATTTATTATGCTGACAGATATAAATTAAATAAATGTTTGTATTCTAAATTCCTACCTACAACTGTGGCACACCAATTAGTAGTATCAACTTATTTAAATGTATACTCATAACATAATTAATTACTTTTTTAATTTATTTTAATTTTATGTTATTCTATAGTTAAAAAACCATGTCCACCAGGATTTCCTCAAGTTAATCGGACACTACCATCTGTTTATATGGTGTACTGGTATCCATCAGAATCGCGCGTTAAAGGTTATTCATTGGAAAGAATAATTATTAGTGAAGTGAGAAATAAAAGAAGTTTGAATCCAAATACTACTAATTGGATAACAGTATATAGTGGACCTGGTAATTAAATATTATTCAAATTAAAATTCCAAATTTATCTTTGGCAGTGTGTTAATTTAATTTTTTTTAGAGAATCATTGGTTCATGTCTGACGTAAAACCTGACATAGTATTTAAATTTCGTGTCAAGGCAGAGAATCATCATGGTTGGTGGAGTGAATATAGAACGTCTGATGAACCATTTAATCCTCAAATTCAAGTGGAAACATTAAGAAATGAAGATATTCCATGGAAAATATTAATAACAGGATTTATTCTAATATCTCTTTTCTTGACAATATTAATTAAATATTGTATGTATTTTAATTTTAAATTAAAACAATTTGTTTTAATTACTTATTAAATTTTGAATTTAGCTGGTTGGGATACCTTCAATACTAAAGGTCCTATGAGGCCTGATGTAGAATTAGGAAGACTCAGAGAAATGCCACAAAGATCAACATTTTTTCATGCTGTAAATGTGGGTTACCAAAGTGCTGTATTATTCCAAAAAAAATATAAAAATGAACTACCTAGTATTAAGCGCGAACACATAAAACTTACAAAACGATTAGGTTCGGGAGCTTTTGGAGAAGTTTTTGAAGGCAAAGTTAAAGAAGCGATAAGAGGAGATTCTGAAATACGTGTTGCTATTAAATCATTAAAAGAAGGGGCCACTCAATGTGAAATTATAGAATTTACAAAAGAAGCAAAATTAATGAACAATTTCCAACATAAACATATTTTGCAACTAATTGGAGTATGTTTAGATAATGACACTAATTTTATTGTTATGGAACTTATGGAAGAAGGCGATTTATTAAGTTACCTTAGAAAAAATAGACCAACTAATGTATGATTTAAATTGTAGTTTTCTGTAAATAAAAAAATTGCATGTAACCAATATGTTTGTTTACAGGTTACCAAATCAAGTTTAAATCTCATTGATTTAATAAGTATGTGTATTGATGTAGCTGAAGGATGTTCATATTTAGAACAAATGCACTTTATTCATCGAGATTTGGCTTGTCGCAATTGTTTAGTATCGTCATCTGATCCAAAAGAGCGAATAATTAAAATAGGAGATTTTGGATTAGCAAGAAATATTTATACACATGATTATTATCGAAAAGAAGGAGAAGCTTTACTGCCTGTTCGGTAATATTTTGTACGTAATTAATAATACATTTTGTAATTATATCACATTTTTCTTTTTTAGGTGGATGTCACCAGAATCTCTTGTAGATGGAGTATTTACAAGTCAATCTGATGTTTGGGCATTTGGTGTCTTACTATGGGAAATAATGTCATTGGGTCAACAACCCTACCCAGGACTATCTAATATAAATGTCATGTATCATGTTCAACATGGTGGAAGGCTTGAAAAACCAACCAATTGTCCTAAAACATTGTAAATATATATATATATATGTATATAAGTATACTGATTTTATTTATAGGTATGCTGTAAGAAGTAAAGTGACAGAATATGAAAAATTATAAAACTTAAAAAAGTGTTATGTGTTTTAAAAGATTTAAAATTATGGGGTGTGAAGAGAATTTGAGTAATCGAGGAAGACAAAGATATTATTTTAGTAATATTAATAATATTTTAAATGATTTCCATTAAAATGTTAAAAGAACATGCCAATATATTTTTTTTCTCATAATAAGATCTTTGATGAATTTAGGATAAGAGTTTAAATAAGGGGATGGAACATACTGCACCATTATATAAAAAATCATTGCATTCAAACAAATTGTGTGACAACTACAATTTGCAAAAAAAAAATGGAAAAAAAAATTAAATTAAATTAACTTTTTTTTTTTTTATTGCAGATATAATTTAATGCGAAAATGTTGGAATAGTGAACCTGAAAAACGTCCTAGATTTGAATTCTGTTTAAAAGTCCTTAAATCATATATGGCTATGCCATTGGATTATGTTAATATATCCCATGATTGTAAGTACATTTATATATTACAAAGTACTAGTATTGATTACTCTTAAGGATTAGCTTATTTACTTATTTACTGTAGATTAGTGGTATATACTATATAATAATTTTAAATTTAATGTACTATTTCAATTTATTATTTAGCGCAACTACAGAATGTTTCATTAGAGACATACACAATCAACCTTATTTCATGTTTAGATTCTCAAAAGAAATGTTCTCAACCCATAAGTAATGAAGGATATGAAATTCCAGTTAAAATTACTAACAATGAATACTTAGAGCTGTGTAATGATGTGTGCGAATACTTAGATTTATCTAGAATGCCAACAGGTAATATAGTTGATTCTAGAGATTCAGAATTAGAATCAATTCCTGAAGATATTAATTTATTATATTGTAACATGAGTCCAGAACAGTAATAGAATTATTTTTACCATTTATACTGTTAAATAATTATCATAAGGCAAAAGACTTAAAATTAGTTTTATATTTCGTTGATATTTAAAAATATTATATTAGAACAATATAATTATTAATATCATACTTTTAAAATTAGGAATTAATCAACTCTTGTATTATTAATTAAAAATTAATTAATTAATTGTTGAACTACTATTTAAGTGTATTTAATTAATGCTATTTATTAGCAGGCAATGTATTTGTATTATATAAAAATCACCCTCATAATTTGTCGTATACATTTATTGTCTAAGATGAAATATTTAAAAGTGCATCACTTTTACGTTTTTACATTATAAGTAGTTCAAAGTTCCTAAATAAAATGTTTTGTGTAAGTTACATTAAATTTAAGTATTTGTAAATTAATGTAATATATTATTATCTCAAGTAAAATATATTTAAAATAAAAGTTAATTTAATTGTTGAAAACAATTTTTTTTATAAGTTATAAAATTGTTAATATTTATATTAAATATTTTATTATTTTCCTCTAAATTCTATAATTATTCTTCATCAAATTTATAGTTCAATTACTAAAAATGGAGAATACTGAAAAAGAATTAATGAAAAAATCACCAGCTATTTCAAAAACCATATATAAAAGCATTTATCAAAAACTTATTAATAGAATTGGCAGGACACTTATGTAGAGTTAATGGTATCTGCAAACAAATTCTGATAAGTGAAATCAACGGTAAAAACCCCAGAGGCCGCCCTAGGTAATGATGGTTAGATACATTGAAAGCTGATTTGGTAAAGGTGGCACCAGAAATGAAACTAGATGAGATTAAAAATATGGTGAGGTAGTGGGTAATAGTGGAAGCAGTGAAGGCCCTAAATGGGATGTAAAAGCTAAAAAAAAAAAAAAAAATTCTGAGCAGAAATAATTGATATTGTTGCTTTTTCAACATTATTTATGTTATACTATGGTAAGAAAATTATACATACATTATATATTTTCTTTAATAATATTTCTACAATATTGTACTTATTTTCCTGGATTTTCTGTTTTTTTCCTATTTGCTAGGAAAATTGATAATTGACCTTTATAGTACTTTCCCAAAGAAATTTCCTTTCAGAAAAATTGCTATTATTTTAAATTTGAGCGAAATTGCTGGTAAAAAAGTTGTACACAGAAGGAAAAGGGCATATTATTTTTTTCGAATAATCCGATAATTTATACATACGTGTACAAATATGGTATAAATAAAATTTAAGTAGGTACATATGTCTGTAAATTTTTTTAATATTATTATTATTCATAGCATATGAGGTGTAGCTATTAAATAACGAGACATGTTACGAAAAAGTGTTTTATTATAAAAGTTATTCTACATTTAAATGATCCCCTTCAATATACTCCTCTCCCCTTGCCACACACCGTTTCATTCGTTTCTTCTATTGCTCGAGGCAGTGCTGGAAGTCTGTTTTCGTAAGACCATTCAGGAGTTTCGCCGATTTTTGTTTTACCTCTTCTATCGACTCAAACCGGATTCCTTTTAAGGCAGACTTTATCTTCGGAAACAAGTAAAAGTCGCAGGGTGCCAAGTCGGGTGAGTAAGACGCGTGTTCGAGTACTGGAGTGCCTTAAGCGGCCAAATAACGCTTCACGCTTTATCCTGGTGCAAGATCCACGACTTGTTTTTCCACAATATCGACCGTTTCTTACGAACTCATTCGCGCAATGTTGCCAAAACTGTCAAATAGTAATGTTGGTTAACAGTTTGACCCTCTGGAANAGAAAATAATTTATGCCACTCAAAAACGCGCCCGAGATAGAAAATCCTCACTATAGGTCTCTTTTAACAACTTATAGCATTCAGTTGTAGTTTTTTTTAGTTTAACGAGAAAATTTTACGTTTATCCGTTGCTCATGTTTTTCGTCACGAGAAAAAAACACGTTCGTTTCAAACCACTACTGCACAAATACTATAATAGTGACGATAACGTGTTTTGGTACGTGCATAGATAAGATATCTAGATACCCAACGCATTATTCACTTTTTTCACTACTCATCTAGAACGCCCTCTAGGCGAGCAGTCTCGTTATTTAATAGCCACACCTCGTAGTTGTTTTGAGGATTTATTTGCAAGGATGTTTTTTTAGATTACCATGGTGGAATAACACTAAACAGTTACCAACAAAAGAAAACATATATTTACTCAAGGTTTATAGATAATATTATATGTAAACACCAGACAGTAAAAAAAAAAAAATGACTTATATCACTAATAAAATAAACTGTCCTTACAGTACCTGCTTACCTGTAATAAAAGGATAAGGATTTTATTTTAGTATTTCAATATATAAAAAAGGGTATATTAATGTGAGGTTATAGATTTAATTACTAAAACTCTTAAATTTGATTTATTGAAAGAGGTACATTCAGCCTATATGGGGATGTCCAAGATGAAAACATTATGTAGTTCATACATGTGGTGGCCAGGATTACATGGTGATATTTAAGTGATTAAAAGGTTGTGATGCTTGTTTGCAAAGTAGATCAGAACCAATATTAACTGAACCAAAAAAGTGGGAGGAAGCGAGTGGTCCAATGGATAAGATTCTCATAGATTTTTGTGTATTTACAAGGGGAAAATGATTTGATTACACCAGATATTTTTACGAAATGGTCAGAGGTAATTCAAATGAAAATGACTAGTGGTGTTTTTATTGAAAAGTTAAAGAGATATTTGCTAGGTTTGGACTACCAAACAAAATAGTATCGGATAACGGACTGAAATTTTGGTCAGAAGAATTTATAAAATTTTGTAAAAATAATACGATACATTTTATAACATCTCTTCCTTATCATCCAGCGACAAATAGATCAGCTGAGAATGCTGTGAAATCTTTAAAGAATAATAAAATAAATAAAGATGTTTCATTAAATACATAAATCCAAAGATATTTGTTAGCGTATAGAAGTACACCACATTGGATAACTGACGAGTCGCTAAGTTATAGAATGTTTGGAAGGAAAATTAAGACTAGGCTAAATCTATTAAACCTTCCTGTAGAAAAAATTAAATATATAAAAAGGTTTAGGAATGTAATATTTAATGAAGGAGGGTTAGTGTATGCTAAGATACTCCAACCGAAATAAAAAAAAATGGAGAAAAGGGAAAATTAAAGAGGTTTTAGGTGTTAGACTATATATAATAAGATTGGAAATGTGGTTTGGAGAAGGCACATATTACCCATTTATTGAGATAGGTTAAATAAATAAAAATTATATTGTTACAGTTGAAAGGGAGAAAGGGGAAGAACAAGGATTTTTAAGGGAAAGGGAAACTATTAATTTGTGTGAAGATACAATTAATATAGAAAACAAGAATGAAAAGAAAGTAGAAGGTGAAATAGGAAAAGAAAATATTATTGAAGATGTTGAAGAAACAGCAGGGGTCTCTGAACCTAGGTCTAAAAAAAAATAGAAAATCAGATAAGTTAAATTTATAAGATGTATTAATTATACATGTTTTATAATGTTTATTATAAGTAACATATTTATTTATGTATCATTTTATAGCTACGGGGAAGGACTGTAATAAAGTGATAAGTGTAACTTAACCTAAGAGATATATACTTTGTTATTGTAAAGACACAAGATGTGTATACTTAATTCTGGTATTATGTTGTATTAATTAATTTATTATAAATAAAGAAATTGTGTTAACTAAGTATAGTTAGTTATTCAATGGACACCTCACCCAAGGTACCATAAAAAGATAAATCAAATTCTTATATTATCTATGCTAACAATACATTTATATCTTAACATTTGAGTGATTGTTCAAAAATATCATTGTTTATTATCTGTAGTATTTTAATTTAATAATTTAATTTAAATAAATATGAATAAGAAACATATAATAATAAAATATGATAATAGCTTATAGCTGTCATGACTACATATTAATATGTAAGCAGTACACTCATGACAGTAACAGTAATGAAATTGTATGGTAGATCTAATTATGGCAGTATTGAAACTGTTTAAAAATGTGCCTAATATGAGGCAATGATGCTACCAGTTTTTTAAAAAAAATAATAATTAAAAACTAAGTGTAAATAAAATAATTTGGGTTTATAATTTTATCTTTGGTTTTTGGAAAAATAATTTTCTTTGACTCATTCTTACATTAGTTATATCAACAAAATAATCTTGTATTTAATATGAATGACAAATATAAATAAAAATTTTATGTCTGAAAAAGATTTGATTATAATTAATATCTAAAATTGTTGATGAAATATTAGCATCATATATTAGTTGAGCTCTTTCCAGATATTGAAATGTTCTATCCAGTTGTGCTTATACCTAATTTAAAAGCAATTTCGATCATACTTTGAGGTATTCCTTCTTCATAACAAACATATACTTCACGATTATTTGGTTCTTTGTAAAGTTTTCTAAAAATATTGAAAATACATACACATATTTATTAGTAATAAAGAAATGTATAACAAATTATACTTATAAAATGGTTCAAACATAGAATAGTATACTGTGATTTAATCCCTTTGAAGAAATTAATTTAAATAACATTTTATATTAATCACTTGCATGTGATGTCTCTATCTTGCGTGGTAGAGCAAATTTTCATTCAGTAGGAATAATTGTGCTATTAGTTTAAATATTAAAGTGATTTGACTTATTGCCAAATTTTTTAAGTTTTTAAATCATAATATTTTATACACCCAAATCTTCTGCAAAACATTTAAATTTAATGATAGACTAATTCACTCTTAATTCATTCTAATGTTCAAACTAACCACACAAAGTTATTTTAGCTGAATGAAAAAATGTACTGTTACTTAGTGTTCACTTAAGAGAAATCTTTGTTATTTTGAAATATTAATACTGACTTAAGAGATAACTTACCCCACAACCCAAAATGTTAAAATAGTTGACTTCTTTGGAGAATCTGTATTTGTTGAAGGTATTTTAAATAAAATTCCAATCTCATTAATTTCATTTTCATCCTGTAATCAGTTTTAAAAAAAATTATACCGTAAAGCTATTATAATTAAGATTAATATATTTTTTTCCTTTTAATAATACCTGGTCTGATTCATCATATAAACTTCGTATAGTAGTTACAGCTGAATTAAATTTATCTTCAATCTTTAAAAAAATATCTTCGGTTTTTGAGTCATATTCATTATAGATTGATGGAGAACACATCATTACACCAGTGTGCCATTTTATATCAATATAACGAAACAGCATATTTAGTTTACTAAAACCAAATCTGAAATAAATAATTTTTATTTATAATGAATTATTAGCTAGGTTCAGAATTTAAAGCATTTGCTTATTTATTTATTTTCAGCTCGATGTTAAATCTAGTAGAGTGCTATGAGTTCAAATATGAAATTTGAAAATGCTCATTTGCTTATTCTCATTGAAAAAATGTTATTCACTATTCTGGTTTTCTGGATCACCTATGCGTTGCTTCCCAGCTAATTTATCTGACATTTCTAGTTTTAATTTCATTTTTGATTCTTTCAGCATGTTTCTTGAAGGTTAGAGACTTAGTAAGTTTGACTTCTAGGCGTTTCATTGTTAAGTACTGCAGAATCTTCAATATTTACATTCATTCTTCTCTTTCTATTCTTGTTATTTAGGTGAAAAACTGTACCCACTGACTTATTAAGGTTAAATTTTAAGTACCAATTAGTGAAATATTTGTTTAGGTTCATAAGGTCCTCATTTAGTGTGGCTTCTATTTGTGTGAAAGAGTAATTGTGTTTCTGCCCAAGCATTTTAACATAAGGATTAAATCTCCTTCAGATTCCACAATTAGAGCCATGTCCTCAGTGAAATGGATCAAATATATTTTTTGATTGTTAATAGAGATGCCATGTTTTTATTTTTATTTCATGTATAGCCTCTTCGGTGAAAAAATTAAATAAATAGGGCAAGAATGGACATCCTTGTCTTATTTCAGCCACTTTCTTGTGACCATTGACATCTTGGTTTTTGTATAAACTAAAAATGAATCTTCTCTTTTCAGTCTATACCAAGGTTTTGTAGGCTTATAAAAAGTAGCTTCTAGTTGACTTTGTCAAAAGCCTTCTCCATGTCTATGAAGGCCAAGTAAGTGTTTTTACCAATCAATATTCTCCTTTCCATAATCTTTTATAGGGACAAAATTACCTTTCTTGTGCCTTTTTCACTTCTAAAACTAAATGGGTCTTTGCTAATTCTTTAATCGATTCATTTCTTACTTCTGGTTTTTACTATATTCAAAAGTGTCTTGGATGGGTGTGATAGTAAGGCTATTGTTCTGTAATTTTAACACACAGCAGTTTTCTTTTTTTAGTAAAGTGATTGTTTTACTATGAGTAAAATCAACAGGGATTGCACAGTATTCGTATGATTTAATCAGAATATTGAATAGCGAGTTTTTTGTCTTCATCTATTTTTGTTTCTAATATCGCTGGGATTTTATCTATTTCGGTTACTTTTGAGCCATTTTAATTTTTCAAGGTTTTTACGTAATTTTTATTTGGTGGACAAAATTGTTTGACCAAACAGAAATGCTTGAAAATTTAACAGTAGATTACATTATAAGTTGTACTCAGTAGTAAAAAAAAAAAAATTTAGTGTTGTGTGGTATTTTTTTTATTAATATTAAATTTTCAATGAAGACCGTATTAGTCTTTTAAAACATGTTTAACTGAACTTTGCTCCGGATAGTTTTTTGTTAACAATGGTTTATTGATACTTACAGATATAAATAAAATAACTTTATATATTCTACCTTCCCAGCTTTCCATTTACAACAGTGGTACACACGTCCCTAGTATCAGCTGTTTTTTTATTTACCTCTTAATATACTTGAAGTGCTTATTTAAACTTCAGTATATCTTTCAAAATTTCTTTTGTTGATTTAAAGTGTCATAAGTTTCAATTACAGAATATTCATCAATAACTTTTACTTACTGATTAGGTAATACAGGTAATTTTTTTGTAATATCTGACATATCCATTGAACGTGAACCATCCTAAAATTTAAAGACACAATCAATTATATTTTTAAATAATATAAATAGTTTATATAATATTACTGAAACAGTATATTCGTCTTCAGAATTATCTGACCACTCTATTGATGAAGCTTTCATCATACGTTCAGCTCGACGGCCAAATACTGGACCTTGTACGTACATACTATCTTCAGTGCTTGGTGCTCCACTACTTGTTAAACTTGTTTCAGACAATGAATCTAACTGTCTAGAATCTATTTAAAACATTTTTTTTAATTTCTTGAACTTTTTACATTTTTTTTTTATAAATACCATTGTATAATTGTGAAGTTAATGTAGTATCATTTTTGTGTTTTAATATAGAAATTATTTCTGGTTTTTTTGTTGGTGAGCCTAAAATAGTTATAAATAGTTAATAACACTAGTTTGTATTAAGAATTTTAAAATTATCTTACCACTTAATTGTTTATTGTTTATCGAACAAATATTTAAAGATGAATTTTTTGAAGTATCTGTTTGGTTTATTCTTATTATATTATGTTCAATCCTACAAAAAAATCATGATCAATCAATAATAATAATATATTTTAATATTAAAAAAAAAAAAAGCCATTAAATACTGTTATACACTAAAAATTACCATTTTTCTGCAACTTCATCAACATTCATGTTGAGAACACTTTCTAATGTATCTTCAGCTTCTTCTACATATTCAACATTGGGTCCATAGAATATTTTATTTCTACAAATATTACAAAATATATGTTTAAAAAAAATAAATCAATATTTGATGTATTTTTACTTTAAACAACCGGGTCCGACTTCAAGGAGTGTAGCAATTAAGTTATTTCCTCGGCCTATTATTAATAAATACCATTTAGCTTTAGGTAATGTATAAACAGAACCAACAAACAAACCCCTTGAACCCACTGATGAAGGATATACTCTTCGAAATATTATTAAACGCTCCAAGAATTCTGAGTTAAGTAGATGGAATAAACCATTTTGTGTGCAGAACATGTGAATATCTAAATGATCTTCATGATTCAGATGAGATGTCAACAAGTATTCCTAATAAATAAAATATGACAGACAACTGAATTTAATTTGAATATCTCAATTTAAATTACCTTATAATAAAATGATGTTCCAATAATCAAATATGGCCGAGGTTCTCTAGTATCTTCACACTAAGTAAAATATAAATTATGAAAACATAAAAGTATTCAAAATGCAACAGCATAACAGACAAAATGGTATTTACACAATATACATACTACATAGTTTGCCTCAAATTCATTTAATATATCATCTAGTTCCATCTAATAATAAAACATGTTGTATTATGCATATATTATATCTAAATATGTTATGAAATTTACTTGAATAATTCTTGGCAATGGAATACTCTTAGAGACAGGTAAATATTTTTCAAACCCGTGAAAGTTTTCTATATTATGAAACATATTGATATCAAAAAGCTCTGAGAATATAATTGTAAAGTATTTATCCAATGAACAGTGATTTTCTTCATTTGAAAAGCAACTTAAATTGAAAAATTAAGTATATTAAATAAAACAAAATTGATAATAAATTATTAAAGTGCATTAATATATTACCTATTTAAATTTTCATAACAGAAACATAAATTTCTAATTATATTAGAAGTCATCCAATCAGCATAGTTTAAATTTAATCTAAAACATAATAAGTATATAAATATATACAAGTTAATAACAAATAATAATTACTTTGAATCGGGTACAATAAAAACAAATGTTCCTTGTCCTTCATAAAAAAATATTGAATGAACTAATTGATCATCACATATCATTGATGTACTACAATTAAAAATAAATAAATATAATATTAATACACATAATGAATAGTTGATAAACCAGTGGTGTATACATAACTTTTGTATGAGGGGGATCAGTTCAAACAAATTATTATGAAAAGAAAATATCTAAACCTAGGTACTCGCACATTAAAATAATAAATAATAAAACATATATTTAATACATTTTATTTCAAAATTCTATAAATAATTATAATACAATTTTTTTTTTTTTAAATTAATTATTTCTATTGCAGTGATATGAATGACTGTATCTAGTCGATCAATTTGTAATAATTATATTTTATATATATATGATTAGTGATTAGTAAATTAATTTTAATTCTTGCAATTTTTTTTTTTTATTTTTAAAGCAATTTTATTTACAATCTATACAACATTATGTACAATGTAGGAATTTTTAGGTCTTTGTGAAGATTATTGTTTGTGAAATACCAAGGAGAAGATGTTATTAATCGTAGGCAGATAGATTGAAAAGCTTGAAGCATGTTAATGTTAGAGAGCTTTGCGGAGCCTCATAACTGGATCCCATATGTCCAAGCTGGTCAAATTATTGATTTGTATATAGTAAGTTTATTGGAAAGGGAAAGTTTGGATTTTAAGAGTGATCTAAGGATATAAAGTCTTGAGTTAACAGTTTTACGCTTAAGTTTTATGTGTAGGCTCCAGGTTAAGCATTTGTCGAGAGTTAGCCCAAGGTATTTAACTTTGTTTGCCTTAGGAATTGTTATATTGTTTAACGTAACAGGTGGAGAATCGAGATTACATAGTGAAAAAGTTACTTGAACAGATTTAGTTTCATTTATTTTGATTTTCCATCTGTTTGCCCACAAGCTGATCATATTTAAATGGTTTTGTATCATTTCACTGGCTGTGACGTGGCTTTCGTGGGAGACGGTTATTAGCATGTCATCGGCGTATGTGCCTAAGGATATATAAAATGTTTTGGGTATGTCATGAGTGAAAATCGAGNTTGTATTTAGTTTAAAATAAAAACTTATTTATTCAGAGCAAATTGTGCATTACTTTTGGGACAACCCTCGTATTTAAATGGTTTTGGATCATTTCACTGGCTGTGACGTGGCTTTCGTGGGAGACGGTTATTAGCGTGTCATCGGCGTATGTGCCTAAGGATGTATAAAATGTTTTGGGTATGTCATGAGTAAAAATCGAGTAAAGGAATGGGGCGATGTCGCTTCCTTGTGGGACTCCAGCTCTAATAGTGTAACGGGTTGTGTAGGTGTTGTTTAGGCGAACAGTAAAGAAACGATTTGACAGATATGATTTTATCAAGAGGAAAAGAGGGACGGGTAAGAACTTTTTAAGTTTGTGCATTAGTCCATCATGCCAAACCCGATCAAAGACTTGGAAAATGTCAAGGAATACTGCTGTACAAAACTGTTTTTTTTCCAGGGAGCTGGCTATGATATCAACTGTTCTATGTAATTGGTGCAATGTAGAATGTTTTGATCTGAATCCGAATTGTGTGTGTGAAATTATGTTTTTTGAAGAAGCAAAATGAGTGAGTCTTTTTAAAAGAATTTTCTCAAAAATATTTTAGAAAAGGTTGGGAGAAAACTTATGGGTCTGTAAGAGGCAGGATCTTGTGGTGGTTTATTTGGCTTAGGTATTAGAATAACGACCGAGTATTTCCAAGTGTTTGGAAAGTACGATAGTTTAAAAATGGCGTTGAATATGTGTGTTAAAAAAACAATGACCTTTTTGGGAAGGTTCTTTGTAATAACATTACTAATTAGATCATGACCTGGTGATTTTTTTATAGGGAGTTGCTTGATAATGTGTTCAATTTCACCCGGAGAGGTGTTTTTAGCGGGAAGTGACATGGGAAGGGGTAAATTGAGAGAGCTATCCATTATTTCTAGTTGTGATGCACTAGGCTGTATATCATGAGGAGTAAAGCATTTCGATAGGTGCTCAGTGAATATGTTAACTTTTTCGAGAGTGATCTGCTTTGTGAAGAGCTTTGCTTTTGCTTTGAGAAGGTTGTTTAATTGTAGTAGGGATTTGGTTGCCTTCCATAAGGAGCAGTTGGTTGTTGAGAGAGCTTCAACATATGAATTATAAGAGTCATTTTTATGCTTCCAAATTACCTTTTTGAGTTGGTTACTTAATTGATTAAGTTTAATCTTGTCATTGGGGAATTTTAATTTTTGCCACTTGGCTCTAGCCTTGCGTTTCTCTTATAGTAAGATTTGGATGTGATGCGATGTTTTATTATACGAGTATTTGTTATTTTTTGTAATGGAGGCGCACAAAGCAGACTGTATTGATGACGTTAGAAAATCCAACGCGTCATTTACTTCGTCTGTTGTTTTTAAGGAAATGTTTAGTTTTATGTTATCATTTAAAGTTTTTTTAAAGATTGACCAATCCATTCGACCAGGAGTAAGCGTTTCTCTTTTTGGTATACTTGGGGTAAACCCAATTTCAAGTAGGGTTGGTGTGTGATCGGAGGATAGGTCGTAAAGGTTATTTATAGTGGAGTGAATGTTACTAGACAATTTGTAAACAAAAAAGTCTAGTATGTCGGGTAGTCTGTTATTATGGGAGCGCCAGTAAGTAGGATCAAGAGGGGCTAGTGCTGATAAGTTGTTATAGGTTATGCAGTTGAGTAATGCTCTACCTCTAGTGTTGGGAGAACGATTCCCCCACTTTGGATTTTTAGCATTATAATCTTCACCTGAAATAAATCGGTGACCTAGGGTTGAGAAATAATCTGAGAATTTTTTTTTACATTTTCATTTAAAACCCTAACAAAGAACACTATTTTAAACAATTTAAAAAAAAAAAAAAAAAATTTGTATGAGGGAGAAATTTGACCCCTACATCCTCTCCCTGTATACGCCACTGTGATAAACTAAAAATTGTATTGATTTGTTAAACCTTTTTATTCGATTTTTGACAATCTGTGGAACAATATGGATAATAGTTTGAAATGCTCCTTTAATTTGGTGGAATATACATGATGGGCCTGGATATACATAGATAGCATTTGAAGTTTCAGATAATAAATACATGACTGCTATGGGATATTTAGCGAGTTCAGAAATAAATTCATCGTTGACAGTCTTCAAAGATAAATAGCTTGACAGTTGTTGATTATTGTGTTTATCAACACCAACTAAACTAACTGCCACTCTTTGAACAACTAGTGTAATCTAAAAATTACATAAAAAAAATGATTTACATTCTGATATAATTTTAAATTATAATATAGTTTCAAAAAGTAATACAGTAGTTGGTGTAGTTATGCTTAATAAAATTTGATCCAATGTTTTTGCTGTTACTATCTCTCCATTTATCATTTTAAGCCAATCTCCTATATATTAGATATGCATCATTTAATATGTTTATTTTTACTATTCAGGAAAATGAAAAGTGACCGGTGCGAACAGTTTTAGTAGTGAATTTCTGTCATAGTATTCCAAAATTATAAAAATTAAAAATACACATTTATTTGAATAATTAAATATAAGTAATGCATATAATATTATTGAAGAAAAAAAAAAACAATCAATAAATAACATATTTTCCAAAGGCCACTTTTCATGTTCCCGACTATACACATAATATTATAGTTATTAGGTAGTTACCTATTTTTATAGATCTTTGGTTATCAACAGGAGTATTTGGAATAATTGATGCTACCATTATACGCAAACCATCCTCAAAAACTGTTGTTGATAAACCTAATAACTTTTCAGTCAATGTTGCTCTTCTTCCAAGGTTACTATAACCGTCATTTCCAACTTCTATTATGACTTCTCTCACTTCACCTTCCTGTGAAAAATTTAATAATTTTTTAAATTTTATCATATTTAAGTACCTGTAATGTATATTGTTACCATACCTGTGTATCCAAAAAAGTGACTTTATTAGTGTTGCCAGAATGTTTAGAACTGTCATTTCTATCTCTTCCTCTCTTTTTACGTTTCAAAAGCTTAACCAATTTGCCGGCCGTAGTTTTGATTTTTTTCGGTGCATCATTAGATTCAGTATTTCGTTTTGTGTGCTTGGTTTGTTTTCGTGGTGAACATTTAACATAAAACAGTTCTCCATTATCATTTATTTCATTTTCCCATTCATAATCTGAACTAATAATGTAAGATTTTAAAGTTAATAATCATTATTTTATGGATAGAAAAAAATTAATTTTTTTTTACACATTTGAATTCATATCATTGCATTCACAAGATGAATTACTTGAACAATCACTGCCACTAAGATCCGTTTTAAAAGAATTGCTATAGACATTATTTTCATTCATATTTAGAACTATGGAGACTTCAACAATAGTAAACTATGCTTATTATTAATAATTACCATAGACCATGTACTAGGGGGGTTACTGGTTAGTAGAAATACCGATATTTGTTGGTAACCTACTCATCTGATTACTTCATTTTTATCAAATGACTTTGGCAAAACCCGCCACATGACCATACCTGAATTATTTATTTATGATAATAAAATAATTATTTACATGGATTAAGATATAGATGTATATTTAATATAATTCATTCTATCACTGTTTTCCAAGGTGAAATAAAAGATCAATGACTCCATAGCCCGTAGGTTACAATATTTCAACCTTTATGTATTATAATTAGGATTAGGAATTTGTAGGAATCCAAGTGTGGATCACAATCTTGGGGTCAGGTGTTAATAGTCATATTAAGAAATGGACTGCGCATACCTTATTGAGTAAGAGAGACAGACTATAACTTACTCCGATTGTGGAAGAAATAATATAATAATATACTTTAGGGATGGGTACAGTCGTGTCCAAATAAACAGGTATGTCAGCAATATACTTGTATTGATACGCATAAAATGGCGGTCGGTTTGCACCTGTTATCAATTTTTCTCTCAATATATTGTAAACATGATAAAAAAAATATAGTGTTATATTTTTATTTTGTCACGATTGTAAATACTTCCTGATAAATAATTTAAAATTGCTCAAATCGATCATAAGGTATATCGTCATATTCTAATCTATATTTACTACGAAAAAAAACATGTAAAACATCAATTAACATATCAAAACGAAGGTGAAAAAGAAGATTAACGTCATTGGTATAGCATCTTCGTAAACATTCAGAGTATAATATATACAAGAGTATAATGCAACTTGATATGCATATGATTTTTCTGCATTACAGTGTGGAGAAAAATGTAGTAAACATACATTTAGAAATAAGGAAGTTTATAGTGGCAAACTGGAATACTTAGTGCTCGGATGTCTGCATAATATTTTAGGTGAATACAATTTGTTTCATCAAATTTAATGAACAATGCAATTTCAAGAATAGTATTAACATGTTTCACAATTTATATTGTTACCATCGTTTTTATTATTGTGTCTTACAATTTGTTTAACCAATATTTGTCTAAGTTCAGGGTCTTTTGGAAATTTATGCAGATAGATGTTCGGGTCCCAGAATTTTATCTTTTCTCTTACTTTCACTGAAACACCCCTCATAAAAGCAAACTGGTATGATTAATAATTAAAATTATAATTGGAAGAGAAGAATTACAAATTTTGACAATTTGAAATAATTATCATCGATATCTATAAGTTGATAAACACAAATTATCGTAATATTTTGTATTATGATAAGCGACGCAAGCTGGAACGCCATATTTGCGCAGTATCACGTAGATCTCGGAAGTTTCTGATATACCTGTTTATTTTGACACAGTAATAATGATGCGTGATAACGTTGAAAATAAAACCAAATTGTTTGATACTAATTTCTGGGCATCGGCAGTTGTGTCGAGTACCATGAAATTTTGAAGGTGGTGGTGATCATGTATACAATTCGTTGCTAGAGCAATTAGCATCCATTGTATATAATCTAAGTATTTTATAGTGGTTTATATTATAACCATACTGAGTTTGAGTTAAATGTTACATTGTTACAATTATATTATATACTAGCTGCCCGTTCATGTTAACATTGCCATGACTTATGAGAATAATTTACTGTTTTGTTTCAAGCATATGTAATTAAATCCTATAATATTTGAACATATAAAATATACAATTTAACTAAATACCTATCGGAATATAATAGTATGTAAGTAGTTACTTGAAAGTGTATATTTTACATTAAAAAACTATCCATAAAAATTTTCAACTGACAAATTTAACTTAAAAATGCATAGATTAAATTCTTTTACACCAATACATCGTTTATAAATTACAAATCCTGGGAAAGTCTTGTTTGTTTTTTCACTGAGTAGTGATCAAAATTGTTTATAATTATTTATTGTATATTAATATAATTAATGTAACTCATATAATGGAATGTTACACCATCTACTTTTAATACCTTGAAATAAACTAAATAAATAATTGTCTAAATAATAATAAATAACATGTTTTATAATTAGGTATAATATTTATATTAAGTAGGTATATATTATCAATACATTTTAATTAGCATTAATTTGATTAAAATTTAGTTAGATGCAAATAAAATTCTAAAAAGTGAAGGTCATTGGCCATAAACTTAATATACTAAATATAAAAATTTTATTATACAGTTACTATTTTACTTCAATACATATTTATTTTGTTCTTTTTTTTATGTTCATATATTTATGAAAACTTTTAAACATTAAAAATAAACATAATTATATCTTATTTTTTTAAATTTTTATTGTAAGTCATTTTTTGGAAATTTATTAAAACCACAACTTAAGCATATCACACATTCAGCTAATACACATAGTGAGTGTAAAGTGTTTATAAGGATAATGTTTATCTATCAATAAGTTTGTAAATACACAATTGCATAAAAGAAAAAAATTAATATTATAAATATAGTTTTGATTAAATGCAAGTTGATTTTCAATTATTAACACATTTGTATATTAAATTTTTTATTCATAAAAATAGTAATTTAATACAATTATATATACATTAGCTATTGTTTGTTCCTGTATACCTAAAAAAAAATATCTCAAATTATCATCCACTTGATATATAATGCATATACTGATATACTGAAGTACATAAATAATAACTTGTGGTTATCCATGTGGATTAGATAATATAAGATATTTCATGAATAACTTCAACAAATAACCAATGGTTATTAAAATAGCACATCCAAAAATGTCAAAAAAAGGACATTTGGATATCTTTTAAATGTCCATTGGAAATCATAAATATTTAATAATGAATATTATGAATATCTGATAATTACATCCACTGTATAACCACTGGATATATTAGTTGTGTGGGCATCAATATCCCATCAACCATCTTCTATGACAGTGTCTAATATAATCATTCAATTTTAAAATTTTTAGATTTTTAGTGTAGCGAAGAATGTATTGGTTTCACTAAGGTGTTTCTTTTTTTTTACCTATGTACAAAAATTCGACCATAAGTCTTGTTCAGACACAACTTTGTTAATTAAAACTATTTTATTATATATCTACCTAATTGATTAATGAATTTAAACAATAGAATTTGGTAACAAATAACTAGTACCAAGTAATAAAACTAAAAATTAAAAATTATTATTATTTTATATTAAAACCATGTATTCATATTTCATAACATTAAAACCGGCTTTCGGGCTAATTGTGGCGCTACCTGGCAGTGTCGTAAAAATTTGCGGCACAAATATATACAAGTGGTCACCTTATGTTCTCTACATTATGCGGTTAACATATTATTCGTTATCATAATAATTATGTTATCGCTTATCATTAATGCAGACCAAAGAAAGTCTTTCTTCTTAGTCCGTGATGCTGACTGCTGAGTGATATGTTATTATAGTATTAGATATACCATTGATATATAAATATATTATAATAATAATTAATATTTGTATGTCTATGATAGATACTTTATTTTTAAATTACTATACAAAGCTGTGAGGTCTTTTAGATTCAGCACATAGACAAGAATACCCAAAAGATCATAATGGAAGAAATTCAAAGTACAGCTGGAGCTATTCCTATACGCAATGAAAAAGGTAATAATTAAAACCTATTATTTTTGGTATTATCAATTAAATTTTTACTTATAATTTTTTTTCTAGGTGAAGTATCAATGCAAAAAGTCAAAGTTCACCGATATGTCCAAGGCAAACGTCCTGAATATGCTCCAGAGTCAACATCTGAAGAAGAATCGGATGATGATGATTTTATGGATTCCCGAAAAGTACGGGGATCTTCTCCTACCATTAATTTTGACAATGAACAAATGATACAGCTACCATCAGATGCATTAAATGATGCACGTCTTAAACGTTTAGGAGGTTTAACTGCTAGGCATGGTCAAAAAGATAGACGGCCCTTACATGAGCCACAAGTTATTAAGGATGATTCATCCAGTGATGAATCTGATATAGAACGCAATCGTCGGAGTCGTAGACAAGTATCTGGTGATGAAAAAGATAGTAATGATGATGATGGAGAACTTAGTGATAGTGAAATAGAAAGAAGAAGACAGCGACTAAGACAAAAAGTTTTGAATCAAACAAAAGAAAAGGTAATACAAAACTCAATAAAATTTAAAACTTTATATATACCTATATAAAATAATATATTGAATGATAGGAAATGAATGAAGTACTCGAGAAAGAAGATGAAGGACACAGTTCAGATGATGATAATAGTGATGAATCTTCAGAGTATGAAGACTATTCTGGTAAATAATTATTTTAAAATAATATATTATAATACTCCAGGAGATGATATATATTTATTTATTTATTTATTTATATATTTATTATAACGGCTAATCAATATTTTTACTTCAGCTTCTGATGAAGAAACGGGTCCTCGACTGAAACCAATTTTTGTTAGAAAGAAAGATCGTGTTACAATATTAGAAAAAGAAAATGAAGAATTAAAACAAAAACAATTGCAACACGAACAAAAGAAATTAGCAGAAGAGAGACGCAGAGCTACTCTAAGAGTAAAATTAGGAAGTAATAAATTTAGAGGTATTTGTTGGTTGTCTTGGCTCGAATTGCTAATTTCACTGGCTTAAACGTTTCCAAAATTCTTGAAATTATTTTTCAATACATTAGTTATTTTTGTAACAAAATTGGTTTTAGGGTTATGAGATTATTTATTTTTACTGATGTGGTTCTTGCTAAACTAGTATATTAATATCTTTAATGGCTTAACATTGAACATAGTTTATACAAAATATATGTATATCAATCACTTCAAAAGTGAGATATATAATATATTATTAACAAAAACTAAATAACATTAATAGGAATAACTTAAATGTTATCTACTTATTGCATACAAAATATATAAATTTTGCTAGTTGATAACATCTTTTAAAATATTTTCCACTAAAATATATCAATCTCAAAAAGTGGTATGGTGAACCATTTTATTCCATTGGATCAGTTTTTTTTTCATCGTCCTTATTTTATATCAAATAAATAATTTTAGATTTTGAGTAGAGCAAAGAAACTTATGGTTTTAAAATAATGTTCATTATTTTTTTTTAACCTTGTGAACAATTTTTCTATAAACAATTTTACTCCAATTTACAATGATAACAAATTTTCTCAATGGAAATCTGATTGAAGAGATACTTTAGGGAGGTCATATAAATGGTCCAATAAATGGGAAAAATGAAAAATAAGTACAATATTAAACAAAACTTAAAATAAAAAAAATACTAAATATTTTTAGAAAATTTTTAGTGATTCAAACTTTTTTATTTATGTACAGCCATTTATTTTCTACAATAATTTGAACTTGCTAAAAATTTAAATATTATTTTTGCTTACAAAATAAATGCAACAATTGATTTTTTTAATTTTTCAACTGTAGTGCTAAACCACATTAATTATTAAAAAAAAACTTGATAATAGGTGTTCTATTGTTGTAGGTGGGAAGGTAGGATTCATAAAGTTCTTTAGTTTATATCTGTATACAACAATAAAGCATTATTAAAGAAAATGGATTCAGAATGAAGTTCAGTTATGCATGTTTTGAAAGGCTGTAACATTTATGATTTTTGCCGAAATTTAAAATTAACTCTTTAAAAAAAAAACCACATTACACTTAACTTTGTTTTTTTACCACTAAGTATACACAACCCATAATGAGCCCATTGTTAAATTATAAAGTATTTTTACCAAATAAAAATTATGTAAAAAGCTTGCAAAATTAAAATGATTATAAAGTTCAAAAATTATTTAGATATTTTTAACATTTTAAAACTTCTAGAAAAGGAAAATTTAAGTTTTCTAACAAAATTTCATGTCTTTAAAAGTTTGAACTTAATTACAATAAAATTAGAAATAATAAAAATATTTTTATAAATTTTCCTGTTCTTTTTATAACTTTCATGTCAGCTTTCATTTAATGTACTTTTACCGGTTTTTCCTAATTATGAAAACTACTTGGTTAATCAAAATAGACCTTTTTAATACACTAACTAAATTAAATTTTCTTTCAGAAAAGGTACTACACTTGAAATATTAGAGCAAGTATTTTTTCCAAAAAGTTGTTAACAAACAGAATAAAAAAATACCGAGTATGAGAAAAGTTATTTTTGGGGTCAGATTTTTGTGTTACACCTTGTATATATAAATTTAATATCAATATTAAATATAGTTGTTGTGAAACACACCCGAGACAAAATATCCAACAAATACCAATATTTGTGTATTTTAAATGTATTGTTCATAATTAGATTGTTGAAGAAGAAATTCGTAAAGAGCAAGCCTTAGCTAAGGCAAACAATGCACTCTCTGAACCAAGTTTAAATGACGTTAATACTGATGATGAAAATGATGAAAGTGAATACGAGGCTTGGAAACTTAGAGAATTGAAACGTATAAAGAGAGATAGGGAAGAACATGAACAGTAAATTATAATAATGATTTATTTACACATTTTATTATCTTACTATTAATTGTCTCTTTTTTAGGCGAGAGTTTGAAAAAGCAGAAATAGAACGCCTGAGGAATTTAACAGAAGAAGAGAGAAGATTAGAAATAAGACTTAATCCAAAACAAGTTACAAATAAAGCAGCTAAAGGCAAATATAAATTTATGCAAAAATATTATCATCGTGGAGTATTTTATTTGGTAATTATTATTTACTTTAATAAACTTATTTTTGGAACATTTTATGTTTATATATACCTAGTTAGAATTAAATTTCTATTTATTATTTATTTGATAAAGGATGAAGAAAATGATATTTTCAAAAGAGATTATTCAACAGCTACTCTAGAAGATCACTTTGATAAGACAATTTTGCCTAAAGTTATGCAAGTAAGTTTTTTAAAATAGTATTTATATTATTTTTATCATTATATCTTATAATGTAATTTCTTTTTTCTCATTTTTAGGTTAAAAACTTTGGTCGTAGTGGACGTACTAAGTATACACATTTGGTTGATCAAGATACGACTAGTTTTGATTCACCTTGGGTATCTGAAACAGCGCAAAACTTAAAATTTCATACTAACCAAGCAGCTGGGATGAAACAAGTATTCCAAAAACCTACTCTAAAAAAGAAACGAAATTAATAATTGTAATTATAACAATTTGATATCCACCCCTGTTTAGTTGTACTATTTTTTATAAGATAGAAAATAGTCAATAAAAAAATAAAATCATTTATATAAATTTGATTAAATATTTTTTTCATGTAAAATATCATAGTTTGTTAATATGATTTTTTTTTTTTTAATAATCAAATTACCAAAACTGCACTGTAATTTAAGCCATTTTTAATCATTAAGTGAAGAAAAATATGATAATATTTTATACATTTATTTACAAGTATTAACCATTTTAATAATTTTATTTTTACTTCATTATTTTATTAGATAATATTTTATTATTCAATCCATATCTCTAGTAATCAGCAGGCGTATACTTTTAAAAACATTTATCAATGATTATAAAATCATATTAAATAATACATGATGGCTAATATATTCTTAGATTAATTGTTTGTTGACAACTTAACATTTAGTTAATAAGAAATCATTGTTTTCTTATTTATATAATGGATTAAACAATGCAACAATTAAGTTCTTTGTGAATCTTTTTCTCATTTTAAATAAGGATCTATTTTTTTAACTGTGATATGTGTGTATTTTATAGTTTTATTTTTTAGTTTTTTCTCTCTCTAATTAGTGGGTTAGTCATATTTTAATTTTCCAAGGGGTTTTAATTAAATAATTAGGTAAAACCCAAAAGATAAAACAGCCAATATTTTTGTATTTATATTTATCATTTTCATTGTTTTTATTATATTTGCACAATGTTTTCTACTAGAAATATTGTTCCAATCCAAACATGACAAAAGATCAATTTTGTTCTCTTTAATATTTCGTCACTGACAGAACAAGTCGTTTTTCATTATCCACAGAAGTATTTTTCATTATCGGGCAAAACCAAAAAAAACTAAATGTACAATTTTTTTCAAATTATGGCACAATTTAAATTTGTTCAGCTTAAATTTTCTACAAATAATATTACTCCAATAAAAGATCTTTTTGTTGAATATTTAATCTAGTTGGTGACTAAAAGATTTGTTTTTTGATTTACTTTGTAGTTTTTTTTTTTAATAATTGAGCAAAACCAACAAATCTGAAATTAGAACGAGACAATTTACGAAAATAGTTCTTTTATAAATTTAAATTTTGTTTTTAATGTAATTCAGTTTAAAATATTTGTTGAGACTTAAAATATTGATAGAAATCTTTTTTTTACTTTTTCTAGATGTGTTAAAACATTCAAAACATTTGATCAATATTTGAAAAATTTTTAGTTTGTGAGTTTTTCATATAAATTGAAAATAGATATTTTTTAACCAATCATAATGGTGTAATCATTATTTTCTAAACAATACATATTCAATATTTATTGAATGGTATAATAATTACTTCAAACAATGTATTATTTAACCAATAAATAGATAATAAAATATCAACAAATACCAAATTACTAGAGAATAATTATTTATAAAACAATTTTAATAATTTTAAATGTTCGAGACATATTATATGAAATATATTATTACCATATCAATGCATTTAAATTGTCGTATTTAGTTTGTACATTTAAAAACATGATTGATTAATAATTTTAAAATGAAATAATATTCAATATTTTTATTTTTACTACCTACACAATTCATAAATTAATGTATTGTAATACAATTTGCTTTTAAAAAATTGTTTAACTAAGCTTCGCTTTAAATTGTTTTTCGAATTCCGAAGCCAAACTGGTAGGTATCATTCCCGGGTTAACGCGTGACTGTTTTCGGACACACATTCGCATTCACCAACCAACAACGTTCAGTGAATTTCGGTGGATTGCAGCGTGCTGGAACCGGTAACGGAAATGCCTACCCCCGTCGCAGGGCGTTGGACATCCACCCAAACGCGGGGGGTAATAGAAGAAATGAATCTGAGCAGCGCGTGAGGGTACTACCCTGGCCGTGTTGGTACCATGGGAAGCAGCACTGGAATAGGGACTACCTCAACGGATCAACCACGCCGGGAAACGGAAAAGATGTTGGCCGGGAGTAATCCACCCTGCCAACTCACAGAATTCACGCGCTGCACTCTTCATGAACCCCGCCCAGCCGAATTACCTACGCTACCCCGTTACCGTCATCAACCACATAGGAAGTGGTAAACGACGAAGAAAAATGGTCCCCGGGGGCACCCAGGGTGCAGCGGGAAGCGTGTGGTCCACCATGGATACCATGGTCATGGCAGTTCTACCCGTCGGACCAGCGTCCAGCAAGACGGTTGAAAACCATTCAACCTAAACTACTGGTCCCCATTAATCTATTTCTGAGCCGCAAACACGCCGACATGAAATTCCACCTCCTGCGATTGAGCTGGAATTTCTGCCCGGTTTTGTGATAGCAGAATTAGACTCGCAGGCGCATAGGCCATATGTAAATTCTGCAATAAGCCGTTGTTACGTTGCAACAACAATATCGAGGCACGGTTACGTTCGATGTGAGGATAGGGGCATTGAGGGTATCGTTCGAAGCATATGTCTTAGACAACCCGTATACAGAAGTCTTGTTAGGTCTTGACTTCCACATGGTGTACGAATCTGAATGGGATTACGACGTGGGTACGATCTACTCAGGGTCGCAGATCAGGACATTAGCATGTTGGAAAGGGCACTCTCAACCTTCCCTAGCGGTCCCGGATCTGTCGTCGTTAGAAATAGGGGGCAACCACGAAGTACGCATGAATCTCGCAACGGAGTTAAACACGCGAATGTGTTCAGCTAGAAGGTGGGCTACACCAAACTAATCGAATACAACATTTTCTGAAGGATACGACTTCGATGGCGCTGAGACCGTACACCTACCCATACCAAAAACAGATAACCATAGACGAAATGGTACGTGATATGGAAATGCAGAGCCTTGTGGAACCAAGCAAATCTCCATGGTCCATCCCAGTAGTTTTGGCTAAAAAGAAGGACAGTTCCCATTGGCTATGTATCGACTATAGGCGATTAAGCGACGTAACCGAATCCGACACATAACCAATATCAAATTTGGGTAAAACCATTCGGTAAATGTGGGGTGCGAAAATCTTCAGCTTCCTTGATCTTAGGTTCGGTTATTGGCAAATACCACTTAACGAAAAGGCGTGAAAATTAACGACATTTCGGACTAAATTTCTTCCAGTTTCGTATACTTTCTTTTGGGTTGAAAAACAGTCCCATGACTTTTGTAATTCTAATGGACAAAGTCCCAAGAGGGTATTTGAATGATTTCGTACAAGTTTACTTGGAGGATATTGTGATATTTTAAAATAATAAGTACAAACACCAAAACCACTTAAATAGAGTTCTTGAACATCAAAAAAGATCGGGATTGATGTGCAATACATAAAAGTGTAAGATCGGTTTTGGTGAAATCCTTTTTGAGGCATATAATAGATGTGAACGAAATACAGCCGGAAAAATTGGTTTGTATTAACTATTTTCCTATTCCCAAAAAAGTTAAGGACGTATGGAAATTCTTGGGGGTGTGCAATTGATATAACCAGTTCGTAGACAACTACGCGGACACCATTGCACCCTTCACGAATCTGCTTAAAAAGGGTGAAGATTGGATACATTCACTTGCTTCTCAGCGACAACGGATCACAGTTCGTCTCGAACAACATGCTGGAAATATGGTAGCGTTGGGGAACAGAGGACTGGAAGACCCCGGTTTATTCCCGGTTAAGGACTGAGAGCTCAGCTAGTGGACGGTCAACTCTAAACTGCCTTCCATATTGTTTTCAACTAAGAATAGGCGCAACGATCAGACAGATTACTCGCTCGTGGTTCTTGTTTTTGGAAGGGAAAACAGGAGACCGAGGACTGTCTCCACTGGCACCGGTAGTAATGGAAAATATTAAGATATACTACAGGACACACTATTTGTCGAAAAAGCACCAGGGTTTCCACGTCGGTTTCGCCCCATATGGCAAGGACCAGTAAAACTCGCGGCAAGAACGGGAAAGGGAGTTTTCTTCATGGCTAAAACGCGCGGTCGTCCATCAGAATTCGCGTGATAACTCGAGGAAGGATCAAAACAATTTTTGTTGCAGGGACCGTTCAATGCCGATAGAGACCCGTAGCAACAACTTCGACGAGCGGCCGACCTAGTGAGTAGCTGAGCCAGGTGATAGGTGCGACCAGGATGACGATAGCCGGGGAGTAAATTCGGTGGATGTCGAACGAAGAATTTCGGTGGAACTCAGCACTCCCAGAGACGTTCCTGAGAGGGTGACAAGCTCGAAGGGTGGAACTGGAGCGTACGTTGTGGGCTTCAAGCTGCTTGCCGCCAAATTGGTTGAGGCGAAACCTGATACCAATCTGTTAGCAGCAGCCACCCTCAAGGCAAGTTCGACCACCACCACCAATACCGAGGCAGCAACGAGTGCCACCCACATTGCCGATCCACTAGCAGCGTTCACCTCCACCGGAGCAGTCACAACAATAACAGCTATCGGTCAGTCAACCCGGATCACCAGTAATGGACAGCAGTCACGAGCCGAAAATCTGTCATTCGCGAGGAGGCAGCATGGCGATGGTGGGCGAAGACAAACGCCAAATTCGCCAAGCTCAAGGCAAAGGTGGCAGCAAAGGCAACCACCGAAAGTTGACAGTACCGGATAGATAAACCTATGGATTAGACAGTCGGCCAAACTGTGGGCAATCATTCAGACTGCTGGCCACCAGACTTAACATATGGGGGTAAACCCCCCAGAGCCTGAGCGAAGGGCACCAGCCCAACTCCTGCAGGACGGCGAAGAGCGAGCTCTTCCAGAGCCGTCAGTCGTGATGGTGGAAACCACCGGATATAATGATGACGTACTCTTCGCCCTTCTTAACGGTGTACAGAGGGAGATCGAAAAGCCCCCGGGCGCTTTCGACAACTCATAGTTGTCACCTCCCCATGGGTAACCCGGTATGAGGCCGGCACACCCTTGGTCTGAAGGTGTGCGTAAGCCAGTCGCCAGTAGTTCTACAGACTCACTGGCAGCTATTTCAGCAGCTACTACCTAACTGATGTCTTAGAGGGGGGGCATGACACGAGCTCGGCAGCCACAAATACACATTAAAAGCGCAGCAGTCCGCAGTCCACGGTTAGTTTTCTTATCAGCTACTAAGTCGGGTATTGTAGTACCGCGTTCGTAACCCCGAGATCGTAACCCGATAGGAGAGGCAGAGGAAGAGGACAACCGCTCGCGTAGCAGGAGCAAAGGCCGGTGGTGAGTCAGTGTGTTTTTGGCCGTTATAAAATTACATATACATTGTTGACGAAAAATCACTATGAACTGAACTCCACTCAGAATCGTTTTTTCGTAACCAATAATTTATTGTGACTTACAGGTATACATTAAAGTATCTATAACAGTGACTGTATACGAGTACCCATTATCTTGGGACGTTCTTTTTTTATACTTGTAACACTTAATACCTACTCTAGAATTCGATGTCTTATCTAAATGACTACAATATAATAGTACAGGTTTTTCTAAGGTGGACCGCTCTATGTTTCCAAATACGTTTTAATAAATTGCCATAAGAAACGAGTACAGGTTTGAGAGAAGGTCCAATAATGTCTTGTTACCTTCAAAATAACTACAAATGCCTCGGTACTTTTTTCTGATATAAACTGCAAAATAAAAGTAAATAATATTAAAGAAAAACATTTGCTTTAGAACTTTAGAACATTTGCGTAGAACAATATTGTATAGTATTTTATTATAATATGGAAAGAATATAATTTTAGGTCTGCGTGGTATATTTGTGCTGATAGGGTATATCTATCAATATGGCTATTGTCACCCGGATATACTACAATTGTTAAATATAGGTAATGTAACGTCCCCTTCTATACAACTCCCCTCCGCTCTCCACAGGGTGTTTGGAGTGTTAGGTGTTTGTTTATTTTTATGAGGTTTCGGGACTCGACCTCGGTGTCTGATACTTAATACTACGAGGAAGGGTTACCTTTTATAAAAGTACACATACATAGATAATAAATACTAATTATGTATTTTACTTAACTGTGGAGTTAGAAATGGGTTAATGCGTAGGGGACAACCGTGAATTTGACTTCAGAAGAATTGTGGTTCCGTTGATGGTCTTTGGACACTGAACTTTACCCCGCTCCTCTGCTACTCCTTTTATATATATAACCACGCCGAAAAACACCCAGTTGGTATTCATTCGTCATTCACTTGCTGTTTCGCACACTTAACATATAAGCCGTGTCCTACTTAACGAGTAATGTACGACGTTGTTATATTGATAATCAACAATCGTTACAGAAATTAATTATTATATTAATATTTAAAATACGTATAAACATGAAAAAAAAAATTAAATTTAGGCTTATTGTAAAGTAACTGATTTTTAATTCTGTACATAGATAGCAGGTTGAAAACATTTTAGGTCTACTTATTTGACCTTCGTTTCCAGTCTGGTACATCTTAGTTCGTGGCTACTCCTATGGTCGGGCCTATGCAACTTCCTATCCTAAACCATGGTAAAATGTGTACATTTAATGTTCCCAGCCGTGAGGTCTGTTTTATTAGTGCGCTCTATTGGTGAAGTTTGAATCTCTGTAAATATTGGCAATTATACTACAGATAGTATAAATAAGACCGTGGTGCTAAGTATACTGCACGGTCTTAAGGCACGTCAATACTATATTTACATATTATATTACTGATATGTAAGGATTACAAAGATAAAAATTTAAAAAATTGTTTTAAATTTATTTTCTGTTATATTATAAATTTAACTAATTAATATTATAAAATTAAAATTTAAAACATTTGGATAATTTATTTTCCAACAATTTTCTTTAATTTTGTCTTGATTTGTTTGTCTTGTGTACAGTCACATTCGCATACTTATCTAATATTTAATTGAATAAGCGATGATATATAATCTGTATGTTCTACATATGGAAAAATGAATGATTCAAATTTAGTGACGATCCCTTTTACAATATCATCAAACACAGTTAAACTTTCACAATGCTTTTAAAATCCATCTTCTATAGCTCTCATCAAATTATACAAGCAAGTATTTCAATGTTCCTTTACTTTTTATGTTTTTTAAGTGAGCTTTTACTCTGTTATTTATGCTACACACGATTCAGGATTTACATTTTGGGCAATTTGAGGGCCAAAAAATGGATAAGTACGCTCTTAGATAATATTATATAGGATTATGTATGGGTAATTATTTAAAAAAAAAAAGGTCCTAAAAAGAGGGAAATTTGATTTTATGCATTAATATCATTTAATAATGATCTATAAGTTTTAAATATATAATCAATTGCAACTAGAGCGTGAAACACTAGTGGGACTTACAGCTATGGATTACACCACGGTCTTATTTGCACTGCTAGCAGAGATTCAAATTGCATCACTAGATAGCGCTACCTGAGTGACTCCGTCGAATGGGACATTAAGATTATCTCTCCCGACGTTGACTTGCAGTTGCCAAACCTTATAATCTAAGACTGTGCCTGTAACAATTATAGGGAAGGCGATTTATTATTCACCACTATATAGATAAAACGCCTCACTTTATGGAGCTTATAATCTAAGACTGTATATGGAACTGTATATAATTGTACCCGTTCCTTTTGAATCACTGACAAAGTATTTATAGCCTATCGATATACTTATCATCTATGAACCCAACAAGCACAAACTAACTAGAAACTATCTTTTACTTTTCCAATGAGATGAGTAGTAACAGATTTAAAAATAAATGAAAAAATATTTGTATCGAATATAATTGCAGAAGTACCAGACAAATATATTAATTGCAAAGGCAAAATTTTTAAATCAAGTAGAGAACAGTAGGAAAATATTGTTGTACAAACTAAATTTAAAATATTATTATCAGAATTATAGGTCATAAGCTAAAAGGTCATAAAATAGCAGGTGATAAGTATTCTAGCTTAAATAATTAATTACTCTCTTCCGCCGACAATTTTTTTGACTATGACACTAATACCTATAAAAAAAAAATATGTATTAGTACTGTAGCCTAATAGCTAATACACCTATTCTACTGACATTAATTTTTTTATTTAACTACCTATGATATAAAATAAGAAATGAAAAAAATTATCTTACATCACACAATTTTAAAGATGGTAACAGATTATATAACAAATCTGGGTTTATTTTGGATTAATTTCCTTCATTCTCTTCAAGGAATATTACAATTAAATATTTAGTGTTCAAATATTACAAATTTAAAATATTATACAGATTGATTTTTTTATCATGAACCAGCAATATTATCTTTGAGTTGCTTTTTTAGATGAATTTGATTTATGTTTTTTCTAATCATTATGGAATCGTTTAAGTTTTACTTTAAAACCATTTTTAATTTTTTTCTTCTACTTCAAATACTTTAATTAGTTACTTACTTTTGATTTTCAAATAAAAACCACAATTTGAACACAGATTTGAATAGGGAATATATTTTTAGTGTTATGCGTATCAAAATTTCTAGACAAATATTCTCTATTCAAATTTGTGTTCAAAAGAGGGGTTTCTATTTGAAAATCAAAAGTGTGTACTTATTAAAAGTATTTGGAGTAGGGATAAAAACGATTCCATAATGATTAAAAAAAATTCCGCGATATTTACTGGTTCACAATAAAACAAATCACCATGATAAATATACAAATTACGCTTTCAGTCTGTTATTATTTACCCTTATCATTTTCGAACAACAGCATTCTATCCCTGATGACTTTGAGACGGAGGGTCATGATTGATAGAGGGAGCCCCCCATACACCAATGAGGGTATTACTGACTGTGATATTGATCGATGTTGCTTTAAAAACATAGTCTTGTATTATCTTAATTTAAGGTGTATAAAATATAAATGTGTAATCAAAATTAGAAATATACAATCAGTTCGTATTCTAGTTTTATATTTCTTGCAGTTTAGATTGCATTTTAGTTTTTCTCGATTTTTTTTCCTACTCACAGTCACCTAACAGTGTGTTCTTAATATAAATTGTCAAGCAGAAATTTGTTAATTTCTTATATGAACTACAATATTTTTGTAAGTACAAAATAGTGATGTCAATTATATATATTTGAATAAAACCGGATAAATTAGGTATCTATATCCATTTATTCGAAATTTGAATTATTCAGATAATCCGAATAATTTAATAATAATATTATTAATTTTAAACAATGTAGGTATCTTTAAATGATTAATTCATTGTGTATTATTGATACTAATTACATTTTTGTTATGCCCCTTATCTATTTGCACCACTGCAAATGATCAAAGACATTCAAATTATCCAGATAATCCTAATAAAATGCATTTAAATATCCAGATTATATTAGAATCCGGATGTATCTGACATTACTAATACAAAATATATCCTTAAAATGTTAATATTAATAAAATGGTAATGCTTGTAACATTGATTATATAATATTCAGATAAGCTATTCTATTATTAAAATTGGAATAGGTTTACCTCAGTACTTATTTTAAAAGAGGTAAATATAGAAAGGTAGTAATAGGTACATCTTTTCAATATTTTATTATAAAATTCATACCCCCATATATACATTTGATATGGTATCCATTACTAATGTCGACCCATTTCTCACCTTTTAAATTTAATGATGGAATAAAAAGTAGTAGAGAATTAAGTAAAACAATAATAAATACCTTTATAGTTAATTTTAGTTGGTAGTGAATACAAATATATATTTATATATTTGTTATATACATACATTTATAAATAAATATATGTACACTGTAACTGTGTTAAAAGAGCTCAACCTGTTTAATTTTAATAAATAAAATTAATACTGGGTAATAGGCAATGGTGTTAAGGAGCCTATATGTGTGGGTATACTCCTTGGTTTTTTTGTCAACATATACTCACTATTTGGTTAGCATATTGATTTTTTATAGCTTCTTTAAAAGCTTATACTAACCAAAACAATGTATGACTAAGTATATTACTTTTAATGAATACAATCATTTAGTTAAAGTGGTTTAACTGTGATACAAAAAGTTTTATAAAATTTAACTTGAACTGGTGATTTCTCGTGAGATATTTAACTTTAAACTATGATGACCATTGTAATACAATGTTATGAAAATGCTTTATTTAAATACATTGTCAAAATTATTAGGATTATTATTATTTATATATTAGTAAAATTATTTTAAAACATTGTTAAAATTAAAAATTTTAAAAAAAGTCATTCTTGCTCTTTAAAGAGTAAAGTGCAAAATGGACTGCTTAAAAACCAATATGTGGGGAAAGTTACTAAAACTACATAGTTGTATCTATAATATGACATTTTTCAGAGCAGTATATGTACAAATAGTTTAAAAATAGCAGTTATATAAATTTCAATTTTTTTTAATACATTTTTGCTTTTAATTGTACGTACCTTAATAATGAATTAAAACTTTATATTTTTATATTTATTTATTTCATCTTGGTTGTCCAAGATAATGTGAAGATATGTTATTTCTATTTTATAAAAACACAACATAATATATTTCAAAATATTTTTATTTAACAAAACTTTAACAGTTCTAAAAAGTATTCTCTTTAAGTTATATCAAACTTTCAAAATGTAAATTACAATTGACTCTTTTTTTCTATATAAGTAAGTTAAAAATAAAAACTTAACAAATAGTAAAGTATGGAATTATTATAAGTAATAACAATATTAATTAAAATAAGTTCATGAATAATTAATTGTTTTCTTCAATTTTAATCTTTAAATTACCTTTTTTTTAGGTTGACCTGACCTATATCCAATCTCCAACATTATTTGTAGTGTGAAGAAGATAATTTTATAAGGAAAATGTTCTTGTTCTCTTTACAGTTGATTTAATAAATTACTTTTTTCACTACCTAATGTAAAATTAAGGACCAAGTCTTTACTGACTGAATACAAATTTTGTTCAATTTTCATCACCTTTTTTGATCTTATAAACATAATGCTCTACTATTTTCACCTAATGATAGTTAGATAGATAAACCATAGTTAATAGGTTAAAATATAAATATGATACATAGGTGGCACTATATTAAGTAAAAACAATTTAAAATTTAAGATATTACTTAAAATAACTAGAATAAATTTTAAAAAGGGAAAAGTGTGACATTTTATTTCATTTCATAAACGATTGTCACATTTATCCTGTTGGTCATATTACATGGTGTAAGAGTATGAACCAAATTAGCAAATATTGTTAATTACTTATATATCAACTAAAAATTACAAACTAGACATAATAGAATATATTTTATTTTAATCAAAATTAAATTTGACTGTGCAAAATGAATACTATAATACAAATACTGCTCTGGGAATGTTTGGAAAGTTAGGTTAGGTTAGTTTAGGAAAATAGGGAAATTTCTAAAACACTAGTGAGAATAGAATTTTTAATATTGACTGATAGCACAAAATGGAAACATGTACAGTGTGACAAATTACATATATGAATTCCCACTATGTTATAGAATCATTTTCAATATTGTTATGAGAGATAAGGTTAAGTTAGGTTAGGTTAGATAAACTGTATTTTTCCTATTAAAACATCTGGATTTCCACTCCCCCCCCGTTTAAGACACTTCACTAAAAATGTAATATTCAGGTATACCCAATCATTATGATAATAATTGAATATCATGGCATTGTGCATAAACATTTAATTTTTTTGGTTTTTATAGATATTTTGGTACATAATTAAATATTTAATCACGGTCGATCATATCTTACTGTAACTGTTGAAACTCATACTGTTCCAAGGTAAGTGTTCTAAGTTTAAATCTAAAAACTCGCTGTTGCATTAGATTTGGCAATGGTAAAATAAATAGGCATGATTATATTGGTACGTAGTCTCCTTCAATCTTGCGAACTGCATTTCGCAGGAAATCATTGGTTGTGTTATTTTACCACCAAAACATATATTATAAATTATCATAATAATAAATTGTAATTTTTTTATTATTTATATTTTATATCTTGACTAACTACCGTTTGTTTAATTTTATTTTTATTTCTTTGACCAACAAATTAATTTTGTTACGTTTTTAAAAATTAAACATAACATTTATCTTTTAGTTAAACTATAAAAAAAAAAAAAAAAAATATGATAGGTAATGAATAATACATAATAATAGTAGTAATATAAAAAGGAAATAATTATATTTATTTATATTTTATATTTAAGTCTAACTGAATGAGAATCAAAAAAGCATGCCATACATGTAGGAACTTTACAAATTGTACACATTGTAGTGACTTTGACACATTTATTTTGAGCTTTTTTCTGCTATATTCTGACTCAAGCTTTTGTAACAATTGACACATTTTTTACGAGGAGAATTTATTTTTTCTAAAATATGATTGTTTGAAATTTGTAGTGCTGAAGATTCAGGTTTTTTAATTAAACGAAGTATTATTTTTTCTTTGAATTCTGTATTTTAATTTTTTTATTATTGACTATACAAAATAGTGATAAGGTGACAGACAAGTACCAAGCAAAATATCAAAAGCCACTTTGTGATACCATTTCAAACTTCTTCTCAAAGGTGTAGAATATGATGTCATTTGGTCACTTCTGTCAATAATTAGGTACAACCTCCCTATAATTTATTTATTATTTATAAAAAATACAAATATTTAAATGCTAAATGGAGCATTTTGTTTTGTAGATAGCAGAAAATCTGATAGTGCGTTATTTTGATGGTCACTGAGGGGCTATTTGATTCCATGAGTCTATAAAGACAACATAGCCTTGAGGGACAAATTGACCCCTCATGGCCCACTTAAAAATTCTACTGAGGGACTAAAATGATCCTCATGACAGTCAATGTGTTAGAGTTTATAGATTTTCGACTATTAATTTCAAAATACCAGTCTGCAGTTTCGTAAATTGTTTTATTGGAATTAAAAAAAAAAACTATTATACACGTAATTAATACAAATTGTCCAATCTGAATTCCTACTATATGCATTAAATAATATAAACATAATAATACAACATTTTGTTTGCTACCTGTATATTGTTCCTTAAGCTGTTATCATGCATACAAAATATTTTTGTTCAGTGGTGTTTTTCTCCCTGTTATGCTATTTGTTTATAATTGTTACAAAAAAGTAATTATCCATTAATATAAAATAGTTTACATTATTAAACATTTAATTCAAGCAATAGAAAAAAAAAAAAAATGTAAAATAAAATTTACTTATAGGTCTCTAATTTATTATCTAATTCATAATATGATAATGGACTACAAATGAGAAGCGGCTAACTCAGCACTAGACGGTGTATTAATCATACTTATTTATTTATCATGGTTTTGGGGTTAATAATATTAACTTAACATCCTAGACTATATGACAAAATACATACTAATCAAATACTACTGCTTTAGTTATTTTAAATTGTGGTTGTCACATAAATATGCTACTTATTCGAGAAACGATTAATCAGGCGCACCAGAGGGTTTATAGGAAAGAATTTTTAGCCCATGCTGATTGAAAACTTGAACAAAAAACTTTCCAAATGGTGTTACAGTAAAACTTTCATACAATAATTACTAAAAGGACCAGAAATAATGACCGCCATATAAAGGTGATCTTCCTATAGAAGTACAGGACCAAAAAAAAAAAATACCGTTAAATAGAGGTAACAGTTAACGGAAGTTTTACTGTATTATAATATCTAATTTTTTAAACCAATACATAAAAAAGTATACTTCTTTTGAAAGTAAACAAGTACTTTTCAACAAAAAATATATCCTTTTGCTAACATTTATAATGCAGCAGTCTTTTTCTAAATGAAAAAGATCATTGATTTGTAATTAAATTATTTTGACTAATTTATTTTCGAATGTATAAGTTGGGTTATGGGTACTTGAATATACTGCTTTTACTATGAAAAAAATATATAAATTGGATTTTTAATAAATGCTTATTAATTATTAAATACTCGATTATATATAAACAAAATAAAATAAATATACATATAAATAATGAAATTATGATAATCCAATAGATAAGTTTCAAAACGATTAATGTTAAATACCTATATTACAGATATATATATATATATATATATATATATGTAAGTATGTATGTGATATATTTATTAGACAGTATAGTGCGGTGGTTCTTAACCTTTTTTAGTTCAGCGCCCCCTTTATCGTAATAACTAACTGCTAATGCCCCCTCATGTAAAATCAAATTTTCTTTTTATAAATATATATATATTTATTTATTCATCGGTATATATGTATATGTGTATATATAACATTATTAATTAAAGTAAAAACTCTTATTTTTAGATAGTAATGGTTATATTTTACACCACTTAACAAAATTATTTTACTTATTTTACTTTACTATAGAAAGCAATTTACTTAACTATGAAAAAAAAAATTATAAAATATAAAAATTATACCAATCAATGACTGCCCTGAGCCTGATGAGTAGCTGCTAATTTGGCGATGTCTGATTTGATATTGGTCAAAGCTAATCGTAGATCACTTTTGTTGCAAATGTCCAACCGATTTCTTTGTTTGGTCAAAAGCTGAACAACAANTTCAACTAGATAAGTTGACGGAAAAGAGAGAAGCAACAATTTAACTTGTTGCCATAGTTGTGGATAAGTGTCTTTAAGCTTGATCCAGGCAAGCTCGTAACCGACTTGCTTAAAAACAAGTTGTGCCTCACAGTCGTGTTTAAGATCGATAAACTCCATTTGTAAATGAGGTTCGAGATCTTCCACAGATTCAAACGAAAATGGATCTAAAATCCAATTACAGATTTATAACTCAAGTAGGTCTTGAAATCTTGATTTCATGTCTTTTGAGCTGCAAAATATGATCAGTGAAAATTAGAATTTTGTCATCTGGAATTAAACCATTTGCGTCTCAACACGACTTGAGATTCGGAAACTGACTCAGTTCTTGACGATTTGTGTGTGTTCTGTAAAGATCAAACTTAAAAATGAATGAGGAAATTATTCCTTCGGCTTTGATAAAGTTCATCTTATTCCCTTGAATCTTCAAATTGACTTCATTCATTTTTTCAAAAATATCTGTGAGGTACCCAATCTCAATTTTTCGTTGCTTCAAATTGTCTTTTAAGACAGGATCAATTTTATCGAGAAATTCAATGATAGAGTTAAATAATACAAAAAAACGACATAAACATTTTCCTTTGGAAAGCCACCTTACTGCAGTATGCAAAAGTAATCTTTCAAAATCTTCATCATTATCATGACAAAGTTCTCGAAACATACGGTCATTGAGTGAACTTGCTTTAATCTTGTTTACAGCTTTTATGACGAATTGAAGGGTTTCGTGCAGGACACCGCTTAAGTTTTTAGCAGCTAAATGTTGGCGATGTATAATACAATGAACACAAATAACACCTGGGACGGTTTTTTTTAGGTGGGCTATAAACCCAACATGACGGCCGGTCATTGAAGGATATTTTTTCTGGTCAAATATTCCTCCACCACTTGAAAAATCGACGATCCTTTGGTATCAGTGATCAAACTTGTAGAAAACAATACTTCCTCGACGATTTCTTTACGTTCATTAATAAACCTCAGGTAAGCTAGTAATATAGCTTTATTATCTGTCACAGTTGATTCGTCAATCTGTAGTGCAAAATTATTTTCTCTTAAATAATTTATAAGTTTGTATTCGATGTTATCAGCCATTTCATCAATACTCTTGGAGACAGTGTTATTGCCCAAAGGAATTGACTTATTCATCTTATTGCTAGTACCCTCTCCTTGCATAGTATCGATTATTTCCTTGAGAGCCGGTAAAATAAGAGTTTCACCGATTGAATAAGGTTTACTGTTTTTTGCTATCAATAAAGACACCTTGTACGAAGCGAGAAATCCTTTATCAAGATCAGACGTTTATTTTTTAAATAAACTATTCACAGTAGACCGTTTTTCAATTTTTGCTTTAAGAGCCTGAAAAAACGAAAGTGGTTTCTTCAGTTTATCGGAATGAATTTTTGATAAATGATCTTTCAATCTTGATGGCTTCATTGCTTCATTAGAAAATGTTTTTTCACATATAAGGCAAAACGGTAACTGTACATTAAGTGGTGACGCGATAAAACCAAACTTTAGGTACTCTACTAAATACTGACGGTACTTATTTTTTGCACTATGATCACTCATTGTAAAAATATTTATATCTCAAATTACTTAGTTAAAATTAAGTCTGTTAATTTTGTCAAACACACTCGTTTATTCGAAAACGCGACGTTCACCGTAGCGATATCAATCATGCACTGCAAGATACAGTATATAATAGTCTAGTAANTTCCCGATACGTAAAATGCGATTAGATATATACATGCGAGTACATATATATAAATAATTACAAAAAATACATACATTGTATCGCATAATATGAATTTATTTGGGTTATTCCTATATGAAATATCGAGAATTATTATATGTAGTGGTAGTCGGTATCGAGTCATTACCGTTTTATCGTCTATACACGTAGCATTATCGCCGTTAGCCGTTTCCCCATAATTTTTAAATTTAGATAATACTCCTATAAGTACAATTTATTAATGTAGTTATATACAAATAGGTGTCTGCCGAAAAATATATTTCCTTGATTGTCCAATTATTTGTAGTGTTGTTATGTAATATTAATAAATTGTATTATTTTTAATCTCCGAGTTTCAAAATCTCACCGCCCCCTCAACACCCCTTCAAAACTATCGCCCCCCCCAGAGAGACCGAAATGCCCCCAAGGGGGCGATATCGCCCCCGTTAAGAACCACTGGTATAGTGTTATCAAATTATGCATTATTGTAGATTATAATTTATTTATGTGATATATTTCATTAATAAAAAAGTTCTTATCCGTTGATTTATATGAATAAGTAAATAGTTTGTTTAATGTTTGATTAATCCCAAATAAAATATCAACAATTTAACTATTGAAAATCCCAGAAAACAATATAACAGGTACAATTTCTGAAAACATCTTGATTATATTATGTCTTGTTTACAAATGTAAGGTTATAATTGAATACATTTGTTTATTTAGTATGAATTGTATTTCAGGTATGCAATTATAGATCGGTAAATAATTTGAACCTATATATTTCAAATATGGAGGAAAAACTTGAGGTAATAATATTATTTTAAAGTAACCTTATACTATATAATGTGTATAACTTGAACCTCAAAATAAAAATCACTGAAGAAAAACATAAAAATAATTGCTTAAACTTAAAATTAATTTAAATGTTTTTGGTACTTGTATTTAATATTTTTATACTTTTACAAAAAAAAAACCTAATATACTGCCTGTAATTTTATAAAATGTTTAATATTGACCAAGTTTGATTTTATGTATTAAGTATTATAATATAACTAATAAATATAACAGCTGGGCTTATTTCCTGGCATTCATATTATTAATTTATATGGAAATTGACGTGGAGATTTATTATTGATTAAACATTTATTTTTAAGAAACCTTTTGTTCCATGTGAATATCAATCTGAGCTTTTAGAGGAAGTAAAAAAAGAGAATACAATCTTATTTTTGCCAACTGGTAGTGGAAAAACGTATATAGCTACAATGTTCATTAAAGAAATGGGAGAATGTTTAAATAAGTTAGTATATAAACATATTATAGGAAATAATAAATTTAAAATATTGGTGTTTTTAATAATTTATAACTATTTGCAGGCCTATAGGCAAAGGAAGAAAATGGACATTTTATATTGTGCAATCTGTGCCATTGGTAAACCAACAAGCAAGCAGTCTAAGACGACATTTACCTTGGAATATAGGCACATTTAGTGGTGATATGAATGTTGATTTTTGGACTCGAGATCAATGGAATAATATATTAGAAAAATGTCATGTAAGTATCTCGATAGTATTTAATATCTTCTATCTTTTTCTTTGCCTTCGTCCTAACTATTTGGGGCCGTTTTAAATCCCACCTTACATTTACTAGCTGTCTTTATATTATTTCCAATTACATCCAACTACCTCTAGTTTGATTTTCAAAATATGCAAAACAGGATTAAGTGTCAGGTGTATTAAGTGATAAGTGAATTCCAATTATACTTAAAGAAAAATTCTTCTTCAGTTAAGCAAGACCGACTTTTTTTTTTGGAGTCTTGGTTAGTAGACAGAAAAATAGAACAAAAAATGAGTGTAAAACAGATGAGACTGCTTAGGTGAATGAGTTGAATGACTAGACAATATAGGATAAGGAATGAGTTTGTAAGAGGAGGCGCGTGGATTTGGTAGTAGGCAAAATGAAAGAAATTAGACAGATGATTTGGTTATGTTATGAAGAGAGAGGAATCAGAAGCAGTAAGAATTGTAATGAAAATATATGTATGAGGAAAGAAAGGGATAAGAAGACCAAAAAAGAAGCGGTTAATTGCGAATAATATGAGGATGTCGGATATATGCAAGGGCAATGTGGGGATTGGGTTAGGTGGTCAAGGATAGCTGAACCCAGATAGTTGAGATGAAGGTGAATGAGAAGATTTTTTTGGAATATGAGTATAAAAATATATTTATGGTACTTATATTTATAGAATGAGGCAAAGTTTTTTTTAACCAGATTATTTTAATTTAAGAACTATTTAATAATAATAATAACAACTCAAAGGGGTAAATAGTACAATTTACAAAAAAGTATTACAATATAGAATATAATTAGTAGTACTTATACATACTTATATATACCTATACAGTATCCATTGTATGAATTTAATTGTTAAGCTATATATAATTAATAGCTTATTATTTTTTTTATTTGATAAATAAATCACAATCTATACAAGCATGTACATTCAGCAAATGAGATGAAAGAATATGATTAATGACATTGAGTATTTAGAAAAAGGAAAATTACCCAGTGGTAACACTCAGTAATAGCTTAATTTAAATTCACTAAAATTTATTTTTAATTTTGTAATAGACCCAACATAGGAATAGGACTTGGAGGAAGAATGTTTAAAATAATTCAAACTCCAATTTGAGTAAAAAAATAATTAATATTTTCCACACAAAAAACTCCAATAAATTCAATTCACAAACATAAAAATATTTCAAATCCAATTTAATTTCACACATAAAATTATTTTAAGTCCAAAAATATTTCATAAAACAGAGAGACGTGAAGTTGCTCGCATTTGATCGTAGTGGACTTGTCTGATTCGACAATGTTTCAGATGGCGATATATGTTCTGAGAGATCCCTGCGACTTGTCGTTCATAGGGCGGCTATCTACATTATTTAGTGAGTGGTATTATTTTATACTTCCTGGAATCTAAGTATTGTTCATCGGTTTGCGCGTTTTATTTTAAATATTACATGTTTATTTTACGATCGTATCTCCTCTCGCGTTGTTGTGCACACATTGACAAAAAAGGGTACATTTTACTATTGTTTTCGGTTTCCCTTTATTTTGGTTGTTGACTTTATCGTTTCATTATACATTTTTGTACTATCTTATATACCGTCGCCGACGCGTCGTGGCTATCTTTTTTATTTTATTCTTGGTATATTTCTGTATTATTTAAAATGTTCATATTATTTAGATTATACGTTTACTTTACGGCCGTTGTTTTATGCTTATCTGTGCCCTTGGTTTATAAAATGTACAATTGCATTTTATAGAAATCTTAGCTCTCGGTTTTGTTTGTGATCCCCCTTATGAATAATAATTAATTCGGATTCACGCGCGTATACTTATAGTAGCTTGTGGACACGCATATTAATATATGAATCAATGAAGAATTACTAATTTGGAATGGTGTTACATTCATCTAAACGACGGTATTTTGAACTGTATTTGATTATGTTAGATGAACATTGAAGTTCTAAAAAATGAGCAATTGTGCCTGAAGTTAAAATCTGAAATTTTATAGCCAATTCTCTTTAGGTGTTCAGTATATATGTTCATCGACAATCTAAATTATCAATCTGATAAATTTTGATAGTCCTCATCAAATTCGATTAATCTGATTACTAACAGAATGCCAGATACTTCTCAATGCATCGGACCATCAATCAACAAAATAGTCGGTTCGCTAGACTCTGGAAACGTGTTATCAAAATTATGTAGTGTTATCAGCATTTAGCCATAACGGTTTTTTTTGTCGTTTTATATTTTAATATATTTATTAAATTGAAATATAATATATTTATATTATCAGGTTAACATTTATTATCAAATAATTGTTTAGATTACGCGATAGAGTATTCTGCGTTTTAATATAAATCGGTGTTTTTTAACACTCAATTAGATGAATAATCAGGCGTTTCATCTGATTGATAATTGGGGTTATCGAAGACCACATGGATAGTATTTTGTTATTAATTAATTAATATACGAAAGCCATGCCATTAAGCAAACACTTGAGGCTAGCAGCTGGTTCTAGTCTTATTTTCGAGTCTATAGCCTCCAAAGAGGCGTCTACTCGATTGAGTTCATGTGCCATTATTTTTAGAAATCGTTAAATTTATTCTAACTTATCAATTCGATTATTTTGTTTATGGTTCCATATCACTGATGAAAATTCTAATATCGACCTTACAAGAGAGCAGTGTAAAACTTCAGACAGTTTATGTCTTTTCTTCTGATTACATTTTATAAAGTAGATTGTAAAAATGTTCTATAAATAGAATCAATATTAACATTAAATATCAAGTTAATGTAAATAACAGGAGAATACCTAGATGCTACATGATAGAAAATGTGTGAAGTTCAGAACCATTTATTTATGAATTAGTAGACTTAACCTGCTGCATTTTTCTCAGAACTTTTACTTCTAGTCTGTGGACACGTTTTTTCCTAGTAAACTTGTTCCGATTCTTACAACTTTTCTGAAAGGTCAAGTTGTCTAGATGATACTGAGAAGATAATGATTTTCGATGCTATTTTTTTTAAATAAAAGCAATCAAGTGGGAAAAAAAACGTACAATTTCATGATTTCATTATTTTATAAAAACATGGACGACGTTTTCCATCAGAAAAAATGATTTAATTGAAAAATCACAAGATACCTTTTTGATTTACTTTTTTACTGTATCATTGTCAAAACTTTTGAGCTTTTAAAGAATTTTAATTTTTGGGAGTTTTTTTGCTGTAATTTGGGTATAAATACACTTGAAGACTTGAAACTTGGGAATGATACTTATATTAGACTTACCTAGACATAGTAAAATTTCTGAAAAATCAGACAAATTTTTTTGTGTTGAAATCAAATTTAAATAAAAATCGTAAAAAAAATTACAGCACTTCAAATTATGTATTACCGAACTACACTTAGAATCGTGTTTTGTCAGCAATGATTTATCATTGTTTACAGGTATAAATGAAATAACCTTATATATCCTACCTTCCTAACTTCTCACCTACAACAGTGGCCACTCCCATCCCTAGTATAAGATTTTTTTTTTTGTTATCTTTTGTAATTGCTAATTTATGATAAAAGAATGATATAATGTATAATATATTATTAAGTATAAGGAATTCAATTTCTAATTTCAACATGCATCTTTCATATTACTTTTGTATCCTTGCTGTATATATTACATTTAGAAAAGAAAAGTCAAAATAGAATTTAATAACATAATTGTCAGTTAAAAAATTTCTTTCTAAAATTATATCTTTAATTTCCTCTTTGGCTTTATCCATTATAAAATGGGTAATTTGAATTTGTGTTTAACTAAGATTCTTGCCTTCCATGTCTTCATATCTATCACCATCTCTCCTCATCTATTTTAATTACATTCATACTCGTCTTATTAACTTCTAGACTCAAATATTGTGTTTAGGAAGCAATCATTTTAAAATTTAAAATTTAAAAATTAATTTGTATTTAAATATTCGATAACTAATTAGATCTAAATCCAATTTTCAGCATATTTCGTGAATAACCAATGAATATTCATGAATACTTTCAATTGAAGAGTAACTAAACTGATAACTGATAAGGGCATGTCCAAGTTTTGGACTGTTCAGTTCTTTATTTAGACGATCTATATTAAATGATTTTGGATAAAAAAAACTTGACATTTTATAATTTATAATCAAATTTACTTTTTAAATTTTAAATAATTTCTGTTTTGTCCCAATTTAAAATTAATGGTTAACTTCTATTTATAATTTTCAGGTTATAGTAATGACTGCTCAGATATATTTAAACCATCTACGTCATGGTTACATAAATATATGTAATGCAAATTTAATTATTATTGATGAGTGTCATCATGCTGTATCAAATCATCCATTTAAAAAGGTTTGTTAATTTATTTTTTTTAAAAATTTTTAGAACAATGTAGATAGTAATATTAGACAGTATTAATTTAAATGTTAGTATTAAGGCGGCTTTTAGTAACTATTTTTTAAAGGAAAAATTTAGTCAATTTATTATTTCATTGCTTCTACCAATGATCTTAGTTTTTAGTTTTTTTAAATTATCATTATTGTGAGTATAATTAAATGTGTGTACTGTTTTATATTTAATTATCTTTTAAGATGATGTGACATATTATATAACATATTTAATAACTTATATAATAACATATTATATTTAATAACTTATATATTAACATTATATATTAATAACTTATGTGATGCCTCGTGCTTATCACAATCTTATCATAGTCTTATCATTACAACATCTCCTTTAGGAATACAATATATAGAAACTTAATAAATATAGGTANCAATACTTAAATATGATGCTTACTAACTAAACAATACAAATACTAATTACTAGTTCTTAAGATTCTACAAATTAAGTTTATTTGGTTTTTTAATTTATCTACCAGCACTTGTTCTAATACACCCTGTCATTTCTGTTTTCTTACTATCCTCTAGTTGTTTCCTGTTATTATTGCTAGTGATTAACATCTGACTCCCAGAACCTTTATTCTCATTACTGTCATCTTTATCGTTATCTTTCTTACTATCATCATCCCCTTTTTTATTTCTATATTCATATCATCATTAATAAACTTGTCCTTAATCTTAAATTTCTTTTTTATATAACAATTATTTCTTCTCAATACTTTCCCTTTTGCATTTTTCACATAGTATGACCTGAGCCATTTTGTTTTCTTTACTATCTCTCCTTCATCCCATTCTTTTTTAAAATTATCATATATATAAACTTTTTCACCTTCTGTAAATTGTTTTTCCTCGGGCCCTGCAGTTTTATCATACCAATGTTTCTGATAATTTTCTTGTTTTTGCATTTCTTCAGCACAATTTACTAATTTTAGTTTAAAAATGTTTGGATTTAAAAAATTGGTAAGTGTTCTTAGCTCCTTTGCCATTAACAATTGTGCAGGCGAGTATTCCAAACCTGCCACTGGACTATTTCTATAATTGAGTAAAAATAAATTGAGATCTTTTTTCTCATATCTAGCTTTGGTAATCCAAAGGTCTTTCATGCTGTTTTAATGGTTCTATAATTTTTTTGATACTAAATTTTATGCAAGTTTCACATATACTTATTGCATTTGTTATATCTGATGCCATACCAGGCCAAAAAAAAATTTGTTTGATTTTTTCAAAGTTTTGTTTATACTTAAATGTGTTTCATGTAATTTTTTAATAATGTACTTACACATAACTCTAGGTACAACTAAACGACATCCATAATAAATTAAACCTTTTTCCAACGTTAACTCATATCTTATTTTATGATAGTGTCTTATATCCCCTACACTATTTATTTTTTTAGGTCATCCCTCTTTTAGATACTGTTCTAAATTCACCCTCTTTATTATTTTTAAATTTTAAGTTAACAACCTCCATAGTATGTACAATATCTTTAAGGGTATCATCTGTTTTCTCAATTTGTAGTTTATAATTTCTGCTAAGCAAATCAGCTACATATAAATATTTCCATGGACAGTACTCTACCTTTAAGTTATAAATCATCAAGTTTACCCTCATTCTTTTAATTCTGTTATTCGGTATTTTATTTAATTTTGTATTCATTATTTTAATCAACGGTTGATGATCCGTTACTATAATTACTTTCTGTCCATAAATCAACCCATGAAATTTTATGCATGAAAACTTATTGCTAACATTTCTTTTTCAATTTTTTTTCATCATACCCCTGTTCAGTTATACTTAAAACATTTTGATGCATAATACACAGGTTTATCTTTCTGAAATAGGCAACATCCAATAGCTTTTTGTGATGCATCACACTGAATTCTGAACTCATCTTTGGCATCATAATTGGCTAAAATGGGAATTTTTGATAAAATGCTTTTTAATGTATTAAATGACCTTTCACAATTATCACTCCTTAACCACCTACTGTCTTTCTTTAATAAAGCTCTCATTGACTCTACTATATCTGCCATATTTGGTATAAATGCCCTTAAATAGTTCACCATTCCTAATACGGATTGCAGTTCTTTCAAATTAGTACGATTTTTCAACTCTAATATGGCTTTTATTCTATCTTCATCTGGTTCTATTCCCTTTTCACTAAATTTCAAACCTAAATATTTCATTTCATATTTTTGGTAATGTATTTTATTTGGATTAAATTGTATATTTAATAACCTGGCCCTATCCATTACTTTTTGAAGAGCCTCACCGTGTTCTACCATAAACTAAAATGTCATCAATGTACACACACATATTTTGAATATCTCCAAAGTATGTATTTGTCAATTGCTGGAACAATTCAGGTGCACATGCTATGCCGAATGGTAGTATATTAAAATTGTGTGTACTATATGGTGTACTGAATACACAATATCTTTTTGAACCTTCTTTCAACTCACGTTGATAAAACCCATCTTTCAAGTCCACTAGTGTATACAATTTTTTATTCGTTAGTTTATTTTTAACTTCATCTAGGGTTGGAATTTCAACCATTTCTCTCACAATATTCTTATTCAAGTCCCTAGGGTCTAAACACATTCTAAGTGATTTATCCGGTTTTTCAATTACTACTAAACTGTTTTGCCATTCATTGGTTCTTTACTTTTCTCAATTATTTTCTTAGAACATAATATTTTTAAAAGTTCCTAAAAGTTAATTTTCCCATTAATTGTATAGGGACACGTCTGAGACTATTTATTATTGATTCAGTTCCATGTTTTACCTTTATCTTAACTTTATCTGGAAAACAACCAATACCTGTAAATACATCTACGTGTTTTTTTATAAACTTTTCTGTGCTAACTTCTTTTATCTCATTTAACTCACTAATATAGTTCAATTGTTTACAATCCTTTTACCCTAAAATTGGGTTTCCATCATATTCCACAACTTCAAATATTGTAATAATTTGTACTGACTGACCTACAACAGCTACCTGTACTTTACCTAATGACTTAATTATTGTCCCACCAAACACTTTGATTACCACCTTACTGTTTTTTATTTCTGTCTTTAATTTTTTATAAAACTTATTCGGAATTACATTTAATTACGCCCCTGATCAATCTTTACTTCAGTGTTTATGCCATTAATTTTAACCTTTTCTAACCAAATATTATTATTGTCTTTGTTATCTATTTCATCTAATGTCAAATACTCTATACTCATATTATCGCTTTCACATTCAACCATGTCAACTTGTCTATTGTTTTTACATTTGTAGGCAAAATGATTTAACTTTTTACATATACTATACTCTTTTTCATATGCTGGACATTCCCTAAATTTATGTTGCTTACCGCATTTATTACAATTAAATATCTTATCTTGATCATTCTTCCCGTTGTTGTGGGTTTGATTCTGTCTTCTCTCCTGGTTCTGCTCATTTCCTTGATTCCGTGTTCTTTTCTTGTATTGCTCCATTATATCAACTTCTTTAGTTTGATCTTCCAATAATTTGCTGTTTACCTCAGCTTGTTCCACTGCTTGACTCAATTGAATTTGCTATTATCCAATGTTAATTCTTCTCTCAGCATTCTGGTTTGTAACTCTTTGTTTGCTATTCCCAATACAATTTGTGTTCTTAGTAATCTGTCTTCAATTTCTCCAAAATTACATGTTTTAACCAATAATCTTAATTCAGCATAGTGTTTATCAAATTTCTTATCACACAATTGTTTTCTAGTAAAGAATTTAATATGTTTCATTATCTCATTGCACCTAGGTATACAATAATTTTCCAAGTGCTTCAAGATTGTCTCAACTGTTTCTTAATAGGTCTACTAGGTCTCTTAATTGACCTGTACAACTTCAGCCCATCCGTGCCGATTAAGTTAAGTAATCTTGCTACCTGTGTTGTTTGAGATTTTAGAATCGTCTNCGCCATGTTTTATATTTAATTATCTTTTAAGATGATGTGTCACCATTATATAACATATTTAATAACTTATATAATAACATAATATATTTAATAACTTATATATTAACATTACATATTTAATAACTTATGTGATGTCTCGTGCTTAACACAATCTTATGATAATCTTATCATAGTCTTATCATTATAACATGTACCACCACTTGTTTCGTTAGCACTGTAGCAGGTAGTAGATTGAAGTAAATCTCATAATTTATATTGTTATCGAAAATGTATTTTTCAGTTTTTTTTATTCATGGAGTACCTTGGTGAGGGATTAGGTAATTTAGGTTGTCGAAAATTTTTGTACATTTTGAAAGCAGTAAATTGAGTCCCGGTTATAAAACAATGTTATGAAAACCATTTGGAATATTAAAAATTAATGATTTGTTTCTAGGTTCGTTTCTTTGGATACAGCACATCATATTTCATCATTTTACATAACTAAAATATGTTCTTTCTCCAGTGTTAGACCTTCAATATTTATAGATATTATAGTCATGGTTGGCTCTGAAAAGGCATTTAGGTTTAATGGTAAGTAGGATTGATTGACGAATGCTGCATTGTGGTCACAGACATCAAAAATATATTTCGCATGCTTGCGATTTTGTCGTTTCAGTGACACCACGTGGAGGTTTCTACCATGCCCCTCCTCGATATATCAATACAGAATAAGGACTACTGGAAATATTTAGGATTCCAGGTGGGTCTTTCCGCCACTGCATGGCAGTAAATAATGCCAGAAGCGAAAGAAAATACATTTTTTTCTAAATTTTGTAAAAATGAGTTTTCAATATTTTCATTTAAATAACTATTTATAATGTTAAAATATTGATAAAATAAAACAATTTATAAATTGTATATATCGCAAACTGAGGAAAAATCGACGAGAACAAATAGATCCTAACTCACTTTTAACAAGGAAGGGAATTGAGGATTAAAATTATTTTACAAAATTAGTCTAAGACAATGGTTACTAACCTTTTTGAGAATATGGACCACTTAAAGTAAAAAAAAACTTTCGATGAGCGGCAGATCACCTCAATTGCTTTTAATACACATGACATTATGCAGGCCATTAACCTTGCATAGGTCGATAATTAAAAAAAAACACAAAGAAAGTTAATCAGCAATCTTATCTGGTAATGGCAACTAGATTGGGGGTTGGGAATCTCTGGTCTAACAGTACAAAAAATCCAATCCCTTAGAGCCAAATAATATACAACATTTGAATGAATTAATTGAAAAATAAATTTAATCATGAAATAGAACTAAATTAAAAACTGTTTACATTTTAGTATTTTATTTTCATATTTTATTATTAATCTTTTTCTTGTCTTATTTGTTTTTTATTAAAAAAAATTAGATAATGCAAGTAATTCATGATACTGATTTTCAACCAAATACTCATCCTCGTGTACTTGGACTCACTGCTACTTTAATTAATTCAAATACTAAAAATGTGAAGGATGAGTTAACTAAATTGCAACAAACTTTTAGTGCTGTTATAAAGACCAAATATGAAAAAAATATTAAAATGTAATAATAGAATAAAGAATTCAATAACAAGATATAAATAACAATGATGACAGTTTTTCAGCACCACCAGAAGAATCTATACATTTATTTGATGAGTATATAGTTGACAAAAAATTGTTACCTGTTATTGATAAAATAAGATCAACAGGCAACTATGTCAGAAAATGTCATTTGCCTTTTAATAATGAACCAATTATACAACAAAACAACTTTTTTTACTTCAACTGTCAAAGACAACCTTCTTGGAACTTGGAAAATTATTTTTTTGACATAGAGGTAAGAAGTTTCAGTTAAATGTTTAAAATGCAAATTATTAATGTATTTTGTTATTTAAGGCTAATTTGATTGAAAATGGTGTATATGCTGCGCGTTTAACAATTTGGCATTATATTACCGAAATTGGAAAAAAAATAAAAATTTGTACTCTTGCGGAGGAAACTTCAATGTTGCTTAATGTGATGTCAGAATTAACTTTAATTCAAAAAGCTTTTAATGATGTCATAAAACTCGACTCACTACATAATGAGTGTTCTTCAATTTTAATGAGAAATGCTTCACTAAAATTAAAACAATTAATACAAATCTTAAGCAATATACAACGCACAGATACTTGTTTAATATTTGTTGATCGTCAAACTACAGCAAAAGTTTTGTATCATTTTATCAAGGTATTTTTTTGAGAGTAATTTAACTAAATTACAGACCTAATTTATAAAACTATTCATATGATTTATTAATTCTTTATAGTGCTTAGTGCAGGACAATTATCTTCCAAATATTGAATGTGATTTTATAGTAGGAACAAAAATAATGTACAACCTTGATTCTAAAGAAATGATTTATAAGAAATATCAAAATAATGATATTATTAAACGGTATTTAAAATATTTTGTATTACATTTACTATACACAGTTAATATAATTATATTTGAAGAAAAAAACAAAATATTTATTTTTAGCTTTAATGAAAATACAATTAATGTGTTGATAACATCAGAGGAACTTGAGGAATGTGTTGACATTCAAACTTGTAATTATGTCATAAGATATGATTTTCCGAAAAACTTTCCATCTTATGTACAATCCAAAGGCAGAGCACGGTATTATGGGAGTAAATTTATTGTAATGGTGCCAAATATAATAAAATTTAAAAAAATACATAGTGAGTTTGCTAAAATGGAAGAAGATATAATTAAGGTATACTGCTAATTAAATTAATATATATTTATAATTTGTATGGATCAATTTTATTCGGGAAAACTTCTGAGAAAATCAAAAAATTACCTCTTTTAAGTACCTTAAGTCATCATTGTAGAACAGAGTAAAATTGCAAGCAGAAAAGTTGTGCACAGAAAAAAAAAAGTTGTAATGTTTTATTAATATTTCGTACATTTTCGGTTTTTTTTTTCGGTATTTCACATTTGATAAGAAAACTCTTGAGTAATCAAAAAATTATTTCCCTAAATTATCTCCACACACCGATTATCTTTGAGAAAAGGTGTTACACTTAAAATTTAGAGCAATATTTTGGTAGAAAAGTTGCAAACAGATTAAAAAATAAAATAATAGAAAATAAACATCTTTGTAAAACCATAGGCTTCTTCGCTCCACTTAGAATTGAAAATAATATATTTATTAAGCTTTTATGACTATGTTTGCAAACCAATGACCTTCACGGTAAATCTTATGAATTTGGTAGACACATTTTAAACACTTACCAATTACCGATGATCAAATTGGTTGTTGATATAAAATAATATATTATAATATTTAATTTTTCTAATCTTATATTGCTAATGGAATATTAATATATTTATCAATATTTTGAACAAATGATCTTCTAAATAAATTTCACGTTCATCAAAAATATATGCTTAATTCAAAATAAGTTCAATTCAACTGAACTTCATTTTTGTTCATAATTTTTGAACTAGTTTATTCCGAGGTCTGCAGTGTTGTAAGTTATAATTTTAAAGAAATAAAAAATAAAAAATTAGACAGTAAGTTGGATACTGAGTATAGCTTGGGAAAACAATATGTTATCCACTGGGTCCTGAGTATTGATTGAGAAATAATTTACACGCATAATGATTAACTGAAACATCTCAAATAATGTATTTGTCTAATTTTTTTTTTTTTTATAGTTATTAACACTGAATGAAATTGATAATGATAATATTGAAGAAAATGTAAAAGAAGTTTTTAAGACTAAATTTGCAATATTAACACATGAAATAGCTATTAGTATTATTAATAGGTATTTGATTTTTATCTTACTTTTAGTTTGTTTAGTTTTTATAAAAGAAATTTATCTAAATATTTAGATAACACTTAAATTTGTGTAACTGACAAAACTAGATTACTATGGGATTGTGTGGTAATTTGGAGATTTCAAAATACATAATGTTTAAATGTCAATAAATGTCTACAGTTCAATTAAAAGGGCGTTATATCTACATTTGCTGTTTCCGTCTTATAAACGTAAATTATCATTTAACAGGGACAACTTTGTACTGTGAGTTTTAATATTAGAATGAAATGATCTATAGTTATTAAATCTAAAGATGAGAATATTATCTGTGGAATGTTGGTGTTATTTGTTTTTTATGACTATTTTACATTTTGGGAATAAAAAAAAGTCACAGAGTGTAAAATTTCCAGTCAATGCAGCACTCTCTTCGCCTCAACTTTTGGTCCGGTGTCAGAAGCTTTGGGACAATTTTCGCACACAATTTTTTCAGTTCTAAATTTTCCGTCAAAATTATGTACACGAATGATTTTCCGATATTCAGCATATCAGCCAACATCCAGACAGTCATTCTTCGATCGGAAAGCACAAGAGACTGCACACGTTCGATGTTATGGTCGTCACAAGTGGTTAAAGGACGTCCTGGCCTCATATCGTCTTTGCAGTCTTCACGGCCCTCTAGGAAATCCTTAATCCACTTAAAAAGAGCGGTTTTCTTCAAAGCATTATCTCCATAAACAGTACTTAACATTCCATGAATTTGTACCGAGGTTTTTCCAAATTTCACCAAAATTTGATGATCACTCTTTGTTCAGTTAATTCGTCCATTTCCATTTCGACAAAAGAAAAAAACTAAACACTAAAACTACACGTGTGCTGTTTGTAGAATGATGTCTCGACGATCGGCCGGTAACTGTCGCATTATCAGTAGTTGTAAAGTATGCCCAGAATAGTACGATGCCGTACTTAGACCCACCGACTGCTGTAGATAATCAGTTCGCGTATTTATCGGACATACTACATGTATCTAGTACCACGGAAAGGCTTGTGCCTTCTAGACGCAGGTTAACCACCCTACCTAGGAAACTGTCGGACAACAGACATTGGTAAAATACTTTTAAAAAGTATTAAGAATATATATTCGAATACTATCTAAAAATGTAAAGTTAAATTCAGATGATAGGAAACTAGATATTATATAATGATAGTTAACATAATTATGTTTATGTAGTATATTATGTTGTGCAATAAGAAGTTCTGGGTTTTTCTACGAATGATTCTAAAATTGTTCTGAAGTTAAGCTATGCAGCTAAGTTACGTTCTCAAGATTGTCTAGGTGTATTTCAGTACCTATATTTTATCAAACATTCAGTACCTACCTTCATGCATAATATAATGTTTAGTCACGTCATTGGAACAAGTCGTGTGAACGTGGCTTTATATTGTTAATATATAGAACTGTTCACAGGATTGATTACGTCCAATTCCGCAGCTCTGCAATGAGAAAAAAACAATTTCAAAATAACTCAAAATAGTCGACATTTCTATTTAACAAATTTTGTTTGTTAACGATTTGCGCTGTCAAATAACACTATTATAATATGCAATTGTTTCACAATTTTCCTGTAAAATATATTGTAAAATGAGTGACAAAAAGTATTTTTTTTAAGGAATAAAATACTTTCTAAAAATATTCAGAATACAGTATTGAATATTGGCGCAGCCACTGTTATAGATAATTTAATGAATACCTATATGCAACAATAAACCATTTCTAACGAAAAAACGATTTTGAGAGGAGTTCAGTTGATAGAGATGCTTTGTCAACAATATATATGTAAAATAATTAAATAGACTTTATTTATTTCTTTGATAATATTTGTTTAATGTTGTACCGATTTTCCCAATTTGTCTACATTTTTCCCGATTTCTCACATTTGCTGGGAAAACTCCTGTGAAAATCAAAAAATGACATCTTTAAAGTACCTCTTTAGTAAAATTTCTTTTTAAAAACATTGTTATATTTGAGTAATATATTTCATAAATTTTCGTGTTTTTTTAAATTTTATAAGAAAACTTTTGAGAAAATCGAAAAATTGCATCCTTTAGTACCTCCCCACATCAATTTTCTTTCAGTAAACGTGCTACACTCCGAGCAAGTCTTCTGGTAAAAAATTTGTTAACAAATAGAAAAAAAAAAGCATCATTGTAAAATCATAAGCTTCTTCGCTCCATTGAAAATCTAAAATACAGTAATAGTTTTATTAAAACTTACTACTTTGTTCTAATTTTAGTACTAAACTAATTTTATTATGTATACAATATTTGGTTACATAAAACAATACATAAATTATTTTAAATTGATAATATATATTTTATAATTAACTCAGAGCCGGCCCTAGTGAATTTTTATACGTAGGCAAAACTTAATTTTGCACCCCTGTAATTTAATCATTTTTCTTCCAAATAAATAGTCTACAAGTTTTTGTTTTTTTGTTTTGAACTTAAGTAAAACTTGTATAGTGTACATACTACATAATAATATATAGGTTAGATTTATTGACATTTATTTTTAAAATAAATTCAAAATTGGATTTTTGAATAGTGGTTTTAATTAATTAATTATTGTTTATTATCAAAATATTTAAAACATTTGTATTTTGTATTATAATTAGAATAATAATTATAATATAATTTCTATTCCTATAAAAAAAAACATATTTGTTAAAATAATAATCATATTTAAAATATTTAAAATAAAATGTTTATAATTTAACCTTAATTTAAAAAATTTAATTTTCTTGCTTTTAAAGATTTAAAATTTTGACGAGATCATCAATGTCTAATTTTTTAGCGATTTCATGTTCAACAACATTGATGTCAGAACTTAATGAATCAAAAAAATAAATATTTATATATATTATAAATATAATATCATTAAAATTTGTATATCTTCTGTTTATCTCCAAAATACCCATTAAATCTGAAGTTAACTTGCAAAAGATTTAGTATTACCTAGTTAAATGTTAATTTTAATTATGTAGTTTCTTATTTTTTTGGGGTTTTGTAGGTATTGTTTTTTTTTGCCACAAGATCGTTTTACCAATTTGACTCCAGAATGGTATGTCGCTGAAAATGATAGTAATTGTAAAAAATACAAACTCAAACTACCAATTAACGGTGCCATTCAAACTACTATTGAAGTATTAGCATACATTTATTTTATTTTTTGAGTATTAAGATATGTCATAACCTGCATATATACTGTCTCAGTCTAACAAGCAGACAAAATATCAAATAGAATTTGATAGACCCAGCAATATCAAGAACTGTGACCCTTGACTTTTGCTTTGTCTTTTTACTATGGTATCACCCATGCCTGATTGCAGTGCTGACACTATTAATTGTTTGAATATTATTGCCCACTTCCACTAAGAGGTATTCAGCATTGGTAATACTCATGTTTAATGCTTTCAGCAACCTTATAGGATCTGAAAATAACAAGGTTCCTACCTTAATCATGATAGCTGGTATTTCATTAGTTTAGGCTTTGTATAAAAATACGCTACAGCTTGTATATCATCCACCTTATTAATAATATATAATAATAATAATAATAATATTAATATTAATACCTTAGAATTTCTTGTCTTCTCTACATTTGTCAAATCTGTGGGTGACCTGTATTTTCGGAAATTCCATATATAATTTAACTGTTTGTTTTTCTTTCTTAAGACTTTATTTTTAATTTTGCTTCATCCAATGAAGTCAGCACTCTGATATTAGTTTTCATGATCTCATTATGCAGATCCTTTGAATCATTATCAAATAAAGACGGGCCCTGTTCCTTCTTAATGTTGTCATTACCTTATCAATGAATGCTTGACCATTTAATTAGACTGTGACAGTAAATGTTGATATTGCGTCTTTCATACTACTAAAACAAACTTATTATTCATTTATTTTTATAATTAATGCATTATTTGTGTACTTTAATTTTGAATTCTTTTTTTTTTTGCGAAGGGATCATTTTGTAAAAGTAAAAAAAATGCTAAAAAAAGTGCAGCATTTAATGCATGTGTTGAATTGTATCAATGTGGAGCATTAGATGATCACTTGTTACCTATAAAAGTTAATAATGAACCTATATTTAAAGATGTAAATTGGTTTCCACATTGGGACGAAAAAGATATTGAAGCGGCCTCATATAATTTAAAACCAGGAACTAATAAAATGAAAAGAATGGTTAATATTAAAGTAAGTTATTACACTCTCTTATTGTCTATGTAGTATAACAATTNCATATTTACATGTAATCCATTGCACTCCTACATATGACCATTTGAGTGATATAAAATATGAAACATTTGATAAACTATTAAGATCAAATAAAGAATTTGGAATTTTAACATCAGCAAAATTACCACATGTAAGTTAATCGATCAGATATTTTTATTTGTATGTTAATGAATCATAACTAAATAATTTAAAATTGTTGGTGACGTTTTCTGATATTATCTATTTAGTTCAAATCAATGTAGTTTTAGACCGTTAGTCTACCAAAACTAATCTACTATGCTTTTACTTTGATATACTTAAACCTGTTGTAAAAGGTCTTCAAGTTAATGTCATTTTTACTGACTTTCATAAAGCGTTTGATTCAGTAAACCATCAGATTCTTATTAATAAGTTAAAGCTAATTGGCTTTTTTGGCCACTTATTAAATTGGTTTAAATCTTATTTAATTGATCGTCATCAGCAAATAATAATGAATGGTTATTTATCTAATTATAAAGTATTATCCAGTATCCCACAAGGACATTTATCTCTGTTGCTGTTTTAATTTTTTTATTTGTTATTGGTTCATGTTTTAATTCTTGTCAATTTAAGCTATTTGCTGACAACCTTAAACTCTATTATACTATTATTGGTGAAAATGATTGCTTTACTCTTCAAAAAGATCTTAACAGACTTCAAGATTGGTGTATTGAAAATAAAATAAATTTCAACTATACAATTAGTAATATTCTACTACCCTATGTTACCATGATCAATGATCTTAAAATTACATTTCAATCTGGCCTCTTATTTTTTACTCACATTGACTAAATATGTTTAAAAGCCATAAAAAAACTAGGATTCTTAATTAGATCTACTTTATCTTTTACTGATATTTATTGTTTAAATACCCATATACTGTTCTCAAGTTTGCTCTATATTAAAATACGGGTCTATTGTATGGTTTCCATTCTCGTCTTGTCATATTAATAAAATTGAAAGGGTACAAAGATTTTTCATTGGTTTTAAATTAAAGTACCATACAACACAAAAATCATTTTTTTTTTTTTATATTACGTATTATTATTATTACAAATTTGTAAATACAAAAAATGTAAACAAAAATTTTCATCGATGATTCGTTTTGTAGTTAGTTTTAAAATTTACGCGTGACGTCATAAGATCCAACTCTACAGCGCGCGGTGCGGCGGCTGTGTACGTATGTTATTATCGGGAAAAACAGATGCATTATCGGTTATTTTTTAAACGACTGTTATTATTTTATTATCAGTAAAAATAATTGTATCTGTATCTAGCATAGAGTAATACTCTGCCATAGAGTGTTACTTTTGAGAATTTGTCACCAAACATTATTCCAACTGTATCTTTTATTACTGGCAATACTAAATTCTCTCCGATAGTATGTGGTTTGCCAGCTTTTGCGATTCGTAAACTTATCAGGTACGAAGCATGCATAGCTTTTTCATTGACCTTGGTGAACTGTGTAATTTTTGTTTTGGACGTGTTCAGTTCTTTCAACTTTGTTTCGAAATAAGAGAGTGGTTGATCTATCAGGTTAGGATGCTTAGTCTCAATATTCAGACGTAATTTATTCGGACGCATACTCTCGTTTGCAAGTACTTTAAAATAAATTACACACTGTGGTCGTTGTTTATCATTATCTTCTTTCCAAGAAAAACCAATTTCTAGGTACTCTGAATCATACTTTCTTGTCTTTTTTTTCGTTTTAAAACTGAAGTTGAAGGTTCGTTTTCATGAGTTTCAATTTTTCGCTTATTTACCAACTATTTATCCATCATACAATTTTTGTAAATAATCTGTCTCAGAAATAGCGCGCACAATCACACCAAGTAATCGATCGCACCAAAACGAACGCACGCGATACAACACACTAATACACGTGCACGACACATTAACTAAAATTACAAGTCGGCGATGATACAGCGTAACGACTAACTGAAATTTTACAGACAACTAGTTGCTGAGTACCGACTTTATTATCATATTTAATCGAAATATTTTTGCGATAACGGCGTACCAAAAATACCCATCGTAATAATTCCAATAATAATTCTTATATTACTTTATACTTCTATTATAGTTCTATAGTCTTTACAATTTAAAAAACATAAATTTCTTACAATCTATATAATTAAAAAAATTCGCGATCCGCAGTTTTAGAAACGCTGCTCTTTGGCATGAATTAAGATTATAGTTATCTTTAGAGTTGAACGAGTATCGTTTTTGAATGTCGAGTCGAGTTTCAATTATTTCGAGTCGAGTCGAGCTCAAATGTCGAGTATTTGAAAAAATTCGAGTACTAAATCTTTCATAAAAATCTTGCCCTAACAATTATAAACACAACAAAAAAAACAGCCACATCGGCCATTCTCAAGCGATGATCTTTCATATACATGCTGCAAGTAATTTTTATACTACCATATTAGTTTATTATTTATTATTTACTATTTAGTAGGTTATAGCTAATAGGTATAGAAAAAAATGCAATAATTATTTAAATTAAACAAGAATTGCCTTTATTTATTAATTAATTATCTAATATCTTTATCATCATAAACTAGTAACTACAAAGTAAAAAATATTTAAAAGTTTAAGCATAGACTACATAAAAAAATAAATACTTAAGTCAAGTCACTCAAGTACCTATAACAAAATAAAAATTAAACCCNAAATAGTAAATACTAAATACAAATGAAAAAAATTAGGTTAACATATTGAAAAACTTATTACTACTGAGTACTAACTAAAAATAACAGTCCATTGTTATTAAATTAAACCTCACTGGATAGTGGATTCTTATCGGACATATTTGGGTATTGGGTTATTTCAGTTATTTATAGTTTTAACTTTTAACATTTATTTTCCAATAAAATAGTGAAACGAGTACTCGTTGAAGTCGTCGAGTACTCGTATGTATGAGTACAAAAAAAAATTGTGTCGAGTCGAGTCGAGTACTCGAACTCGACTCGAAAATTTTTCCAATTTCGAATACTCGCCCAACTCTAGTTATCTTTGTATGTGATGGTCGTGATATCCAGTGAGTAATACCTAATTAATATTTTTTTATTTTAATTGCTAGGTTCATTGTATGTCTTTTGCTATAACAAATGTATGCGTAAAATTAAACATACATTTTTTTGTTAATAAGTTTTAAATTTTCATACAATTTTAGATTGTTAAAATGACGTTGTGCTTTGTTATATTGAAACTGTAATGAAAGAAGTAAAAAGCAGTCTTCATCTGGAGTTAATTGTCATGTGTTTCCATGTCAATCAAAATCACTTACTAGGTTTCGAAGTTTGATCAATTATTGTAAACAAAAAAACTTTAACCCTGGTAATGGCGCGAGAATTTGTTCAAAGCATTTTAAGTCTGAAGACTATAACTAGTCAGATTTATTAACAAAACAATTAATGCCTAATATAAAAGTCAAAGTAAAACTTAATGCGGTTCCTTAAAATATTCCCTCTACTTGAAATTCATCAAATTTATCTGAACGAGAAAAAAGGCAGGTCAAAAAAAAAAACTAATTATATTTTCTTTAATGACAAGTACACCAAAAAATTCAAAGCCCTCATTTAGATCTTTTGAAAATAATGAATGTGAATCGAGTGATGTTGATGATGTAGAAGACGGTAATTTAGTGGAGATTACAAATGAATCATTTGTGACTGGTAACCAAAACGAGATCGGTATACAATGTGAATTAGGTAGTGAAGTATTAAAACGTCACCATGATTTATCATAAATTTATCTTTTGATGTGATTTTAACTTCGGAAGATGAAAGTTTTGAAATTTATGATGAGGTCATCGAAATAAATCAAACTGGAAAAAATTTCACGAATAAATGTAAATCTAAAGAAATAGAAAATGATCCGTGTTACATTGTTTTCTGAGAGCGTGTCGATTTTATTTATACGTTGTTATTACTGTAATGCTTAAATGGAAAATATTAATAATTATACCAATGTAGCAATGTTAGTTGTACAAACTGTATGTGAAAATGAGCATATTTTAAAATAGACATCTCAACCATCTGGTAAACGACTTGTAGGAAATATTTTAATGGAAGCTGCTTTTACGTTATTCGGTATATTATTTAATCAAATGAAAACTTTTTGTTCGTCTTTAAAATTTGCATTTTTTTCAAAAACAGTTTATGATAAAATCATTACAGCACCTGTAGTTAAACTAATTTGGGATCGACATAGACAAAATAATATAAACGAACTAAAAATGGGTAGAAGTATTTGGTTAGCCAAAGCTGGGACTCCCCGGTTTTTGTGCCAAGTAATTCACGTACTCAGTCATGCATGTTCAAAGATCCAAAGTAATAGATTTTAAAATTACTCAAAAAGGTATGGTTTAGGATGACTTAAAAAAATGCCTATGAATCGCTACTTCAAGAACTTGAAGAAAAAGACGAATGTAACATTAATGTATTTTTGACAAATTGATATAAGAGAATTCGTTGTTATATTCGAACACCTATATTCGGACATCGAACAAAGGAATGTATATTCGATCAATAATTGCTATTTTAGATCATAACAATAATACCGACAAAAAAATAATTGGAGATAAAATGGTTTATTCCAAAACAATAAAAAATACTTATGAAAACACTGAAGGAAATTGAAGAATAGACATTATAAATAAAGTGCATTTGATGGAGATAGAAGGCCCTTCGAGGCCACTGAAACTACCAGGAAGAAATTGAATACCAAAAACTATTGTACAGACACCAAAGCCAGATATTGAAAAATTAAAATCAAAAAAGTATTCTAGGTTTAAGTAGTGTAAATTATTACATAATGTACAAAGATTATATAGTTAAATAATGTTTTCAAATATTCGAAAATATATTTCTATGTTTTTTATTACTTGATTAGTAACAGACACGTGTATAGATACGTCGCTGCCGTGAGTAGGATTTTATGATGTCACACGTGAATTTAAAAACGCCGTAACTCGAAAACTATTTAACGTAAAAAAATATTATTAGTGTCATTTTTTTGTTTAGATTTTTTGTGATTTTTAAAGAAAAGTCTAATTTGAGAGTATAATCCTTTAATATCAAATAATGAAAACTACTTTAGTAGTTATACATTATAGTTAGTATAAATGATTTTCAAAAAGATTCTTAATTTTAATCTGTTATCTACTCGTCGTACAAAAGCTGATACATCCTTCCTCACTAAATTAATTAATGGAAAAATTATTTGTTCACCTCTTTTGGAACGTATTTCTTTAAATGTTCCTCAATATTACTCATGATCATGTTTTACTTTCTATACCAAAATCAATCCTACTAATTATGGGTATAATAATCCCTTTGAAAGAATATTGAGGCTGGGAAATAAATCTGGATTTGACTACTTTAATCTTTAAGTTTTTATTAAATATTTTGAGTTAACTGGATATTTAATTTTTATATGTATAATATTTTTAATTACATTTAGCTAATGTTATTTTTTTTATTTAATGCTGTTATAGTCTATGTTACTTGTTAATTTTTACTTATTATGTTATTATTTTGATGTATATTATTCTCTACTTAAATCAACTTTGGCGTTTATTTAAAGAAATAAGTAAATACATAAATAGTTAGATTATTAGTTTAATCATATTTCTAGAAAGATTATCTGTAAAAATGAAAAATGTAGTGAACACAAAAACTAAATAGAAACTTAATGATAGTAAATTGTGATAATCAACCATAAATTAAATGTGGTATAATTTTTGACAGAATTAATTTTGAAAACTTTTTTTTTCTTCTTTAATATTCATATATTGTTTGTATTGTGTTAGTTCATGATTATTTATTTTGTGAAATTTAATCATGAAAGTGAAATATTAATATATATATATATATTACGTTTTAGTCTCAATTGTCCCATGTGTAATTTTTATGAGTTTGTTAATAAATAAATTATGCCAGTGTAATCAATTAATAATTTTATAAACATTATAACCTACAATCTTCTACTAAAATCTAGTTTGGGATTAGAGTTTAATGGTAAAATACATATACTTAATATATTATAGTTAAAGTGGTTAATTACTACCTTTTTTTTTACAGGTATCAAACTTTCCTATTTTTTTAGATTTTGGTGATGTTAATATTCAAATAAAGGTAAATGTTGATGAAATATTTCTTGACAGTGAAGAACAAGAAAAAATAGAACATTTCCATAATAAATTGTTTGTGGATGTACTGGGTGTGAAAGATTTTATTTGTAGATGTTACAGTAATGAGGATAATGCATACTTAATTGTGCCTATTTATTCTAACGGTTTGATATATTTTTTATGTTTGTACATATGTGTTCTGTTTTTTTATATTTAAATTATTTAAGGTGGCAAATTTAATTTGGATTGGAGTGTCATGAATATTCATGAATTTGTTGAACTAGAATTTCCTACAATCGAACAAAGAGAATCTAAATTTTATGAAGAATATCTAAAAACACCTCATGTTATTTCACCATGGTACAGAAATATTGAACCAATTCAAGTAATAATACAAATTAGTTTAATACATTAAAAACAAATTCATTACGGTTGGTTTATTTTAATTGAATTGATTGTTAATTTTTAAATTTCAATAGTCACATTACTTATTAATGTTTTTGGTGCAATAATTGTTTATAAAATAAATTTGCCGTATGAAAATATTAAATGATTATTTTAGGGGGGANTTAGAGATACGTTGTCACTGATGTTCATTATGATATGACACCTGAAAGTGCTTTCCCAACTAATGAGTTTGATACATATGAATCATACTTCCTTGATAAATATAGCATCAATGTGATGAATAAAACACAGCCGATGATAAAAGTAAAATCATTGAGAGTGTCAAAAATAAATTATTTAACTCCTAAGTAATTATATTATATTATTTAATTTAAAGCATATAATTTATTTTCAAAACTTATTTTATAGAATTTCCACTGGTAAAATTGATAAACGTAATGAATACATTGAGATACTTGTACCAGAATTTTGTATTTGGCATAAGTTTCCATCAGATTATTGGTTAAAAGCATTAATGTTACCAACTATATTATTTCGATTAAATTCATTATTACTTGCAGAAAATCTTCTAGTAAAAATAAATACTATGTGCAATATTATTGTAGAAAAAAATGATCAAGGTAAATCAAATTTAGTAGGTGATTTGCTTTATAGCATAAGTGTTTAATCTTTTGTTTCATTTTTAGAGGATAAGGTGGAGATGGATAGTTTTTGTGGATTTAATGAGGGTAAAAAGAAAGCTATAATTTTACCAATTGGTGAAACTTTAAAATCCATAAGCAATTTACACGATACTATTGGTACTACTTGGAACTCAAAATGTATGCCCTTTGATATAGATAGACAAATAAATACTACAATGCTTGATGTTTTAAATTACCATACATTTATGAATGATATGAAAGAACCCAAAACTAGGGAAAATACAGTGAGTAAAAATATAAAATTGTACGCAATTTAGTTATGTTGTATTAATTTAATAGTTTAATGTAAAAATTTTTAAAGTATGGACATTTATTTAAATTAAAATAATGTTTATCTTGATTTAGTTATTTTTTATATATTTATTTATTTTCAAAAACTAATTATGTTTCAAAGTTCCCATTAATTAAACTAATTTTAAAAAGCACCATTACGTGTTAAAAAAATCAAAAATGTTACAAAATTATTTTTGCATTAAATAAGTGATGGGTAAATTAAAACTTATACGTATAAATTATAATATTTTTTTTTTTTATTGAGAAAATATTGTTATTTGTGAATTAATGTATCATAAAATACAAAATGACAAAATAACATAAATTATCATTTTACACTTTATTTTTTAAAATTTATAACTAAAAAAATTGCTTTTAGCAGACCTTGAGTCACTTGAATCTATAATTTTATTTCTAAAGAAAATGTGGAATTTGGGATCTTTCTCTGTTATAAAGGTTTGAAAATTGAAAACCTTAAAAGACTCATCATTGTCATTACAGTTATGTTATTCAAAATGACATCCCCGCTGCTTTATTTAAGAGGCAAATAAGTTACAAAGAGTGTCTAAGAGAAGTGCAAAGGACAAATACGATAATATATTTATATATATATTTCATGTTACAGTAAAATTTTCCCTTGCTTATATTTTGGCAGTGAATTAAGGATCCGTTGTGTACTAACATAATAAATGCGATAGTAATTTAAGTAGAAACTCGTATCAGGTTTGTCACTTGAGGTCATCAACAGCGGACCACAGCCCCTTAAAAATTACGAAGTTCGATTACTGGCAACACTTAGCAGATATGCAGATCGGCACAGGATTTCTTACAGACGGGAGAGACTTTATCAGTGATGTCCTCCTGAGACACAAATTCTTGGTGAAGCAACGAGCCTTGTCTACGGTGGGTGCCTAATTCAATTAGTAAGAGAGACGGGTATTGATTAGTTCGACGAATCTGCTACCAAAGGATACCCATGAAATAGTCCAATATGATGCTAGGTTGCTTATAGGGAAGTATGGCAAGCAGGTTAAACAGGCCATTATAGAGCATCGGAATCGTCTTAAGGATACGGAACTGCCTCTGAATATGCGTATTCTCGATAGAAGAACAAGTTAATTACGAGAATGATGCGGGGCATGAAGAAACAAGAGTTTATGAAATTAAATATATCTCCATGGGTGGCACCCGTGGTGTGGTTTGAAAAAACCCAAAAGAACTATGTATTGGAAGCATAGATTAACGATTAAAACTTCTTCACGATGCTTGAAAATCAAGTTAAGAAATTGTATCGAACAAGAACAAACAGATTTCCAAGATTGTCCCAGAAGATGTGTTTATTGTTTAACAAAAGAGAATCGTAAGACTAACACTCTTTTTGAATCATTTTGAATATTTGTATAGATATATTTAAGTGAATCAGGAAAAATATATTGATTGATATATTGATGTACACAATTTAGAAAATATGTTTTTAATTATCTGGTTCAACTAATATTTTGTTATAAATAAAAAGAATATAGAATTCACTAAAATAGAATCCTTCAACACATTGAATTCTTATTATTTACTTTATTTTTGTGTTTATGATACATTAATTTGAAGTTTTTTTATTATTATGACACCTTCAAAATAGCAAAATTGGTGACATCATTTTAGGGGTAAAAGTTTTAAATCTATACTTAAAATATAAATTTAATAACATAATAATTTTCGCGAAATTCTATTATAAAATTGTGTGATACTATTTTTGACCAATTTTAGGAAAAAAACAAATTCCTACTTTTATTTTATGAACTTAATACTAATATCACGAATGTGGGTTTATTTTATTCCCATTGTAAAAATAATTTATTATAAGATTTATAATAGTTAATTTTGTTTAAAAATATAATTTAGATTCAGAGCATAGTTACAGGGGCTAGTCAGGGGGCTATGTAAAGTTAGCCTCCTAAATAGTTTTAAATTATTACTTTTTAATAACTTGTTTGGAAAATCTAAAAATTAATTTGCAAAATATTGACAAACTTAAAATTGATCTGACATTATGGGGGGTAATTTCACAAAAATGTAATATTCTTATATTATAAAGCTTTTATATTACAAATATTTAATTAATTGTATATATTTTTTATTTTAGATTGAAATAGATACAATACTAACAAATGTATTAAGTGAATTAAACATTTTAAGATTTTCTGATAGCTTGCCACCTGTATTGGAGCCATTACTAAAAAAACTCTCAGATATAAAAACGAGACCTACTCAAAGTGACATTTTAAAAGTAATTAAAGTTATTTTTTTCAAATTTAAATGCATATAATAAAATATATATATACTAGAAGTTTACAAATCGCAAGTTTTTGTAAAGTTTCAATGTAGTTTAATAAGTCACTTACTTTTTCTAAATCACATCTTGTAAAAATGAAATAGTAATTACTAGGACAGAAGACTTTTAGCATTTAAATATTTATTTTGTGTATTCATAAAAAATGTTTGTTAAAACAAATTTATTTCACGATACCACAAAGCTAAAAATATAGTTTATATGTTTGGGCAAATTTTGATCTTTTTGATTTTTGAAGTGTTTGTAGTTTTATTATGAGTTTTTAGGTCATTTTTTTTAAGGTTTCGTAAAAATAACATTTATCAAAACAATAATCATTAATTTTTTTATTAAAAATTTGATATTTGAGTGTTAGAAAAAGAAATGTCAAATTAAATATATTTAAAAATCAACCAATGTATCTAGTGTACTAATTTACTTAATTTATTTAATAAAAAATAAAAGTAAGACAAAAGTTTTTTTTTATTATTGGATCATGGTATGGCATATTATTAATCAAGTAGGAAAATGTTTTTTAAATCGCTATATAAAATGTGTAGAATCTATTTTTAGTGCATAATTATTTGGAGTTCTCAAGTGTATAAGTGTTTACATATTTTGTTTTTTTTTTTTAGAACTACATGTCTTCTGCCCTAGTAATAACTAACAAATTTACTTAGTTATCAGTTATTAAACAATGATAAACATAATATAATATGGAGAATTAAAAACATAATCTATTTTTATTTATAATGTACTATGAGTAGAATTAGGATTTGAGAAGGTAAACAATTCAACTAGTTATGTACAGTTTTAACTGTATACATTTTAAAGTTCATTAAATATTAAAAAATTTATGGAATAATTAAATGATGGACTTCTTCTTGTTTTTCTTCTTTGCCTTCATCAAATTGGTCTATACCGACCTATTCTATACTTACATTTGACCAGATCTCACATTTTGCCTACATCAGCTGTTTTCATATCACCCTCAATTGCAATCCAGTCATCTTTTTTTTTTTAGTTTTTCTCCTACTATTTTTTTGTGTATTTATTTTTATTACAATGCTTATTTATTTATTCAGATTCTTCTCTCCTCATAACATGCTCAAACTATCTCAATCTATTTTATCTCATTTGATCTAGCTAGTTGAAAGCTACCTCTTATGTATTCATTGCTTATCCTATTTTCTCTTGTCACGTAAGCATGTTATTTATGCTACATTCATTTTCTTTTCTATTTTTTTGACAACTGCCAAATACTCCTAACCATATGGTTATTGTTCATTAGCTTTCTAGTTCTGTTCCTTCAAACTCATAATCTGTTTATTTCTACTTATTCTTAGCTCCTTTCCTTCAAGTACTACTCTCCATTTTTCAAGCCTATTATTAACTTAATCCAGATTTTCTCCTATTGAAGCAATATCATCTGTAAAATATTATGTACTGTGATACCTCCTCTTACTTGTTATCCCTGCGCACATTTAAAATATATCAAAATCTTGTTTAGAACTCTGCATACTGTTTGACAGAATTTTACTGACCTGACACAACTCCATTTGTTGCCACTTATAATAGGTAGAGGTACCATATTCTGATACCCTTCCACATGGAGAATTAAAGTGATATACAAAGTGTATAATAAAGCATTTTAACATTTTGATCCTAAAATTTTTATTTAATTTAATAATCATAAATATTAAATTTGTTTATTTTAATAAATCAACTAAATTTCAAAATGATTTGAGAAATACTCTTGAAATTATGATTAAACAAAAAAAGAAAAAGATAACCCATTAAATCCCCTGTATCCAAACATTATTTTTGTTGTCATTTATTAAAATGTATAGGTTTTGACAACATCTTTGGCAAGAGACATGTTTAACTATGAGCGCATGAAAACTTATGGCAATAGCTTTCTAAAATTTGCTATTTCATTAGCATTATTTGATGCATTTCCAGCCAAAAATGAAGGATTTCTTACTGATTTAAAAATGAAAATAGTTGGTAATCGAAACTTAACTTATGTTGGAAAGAATATAGATATTGGATCCTATTTAAAGGTATTTAAACAGTTAATAGAAGCTTCAAAAAAAAAAATCAAATGTATTTTAATATTTATTATATTGTAGGTTAATGTTTTCAACCCAGTGGATTGGATACCCCCGTGTTTTTCTGTTTCTACAAAAATAAAGGAAATCATTGAAAAAGATAGTCTGAAATCAAATGTACTTCAACAAATATCCATTCCAAGAGACGAAAAATTTTCAGGTAAATTTAATCAATATTTTAAACTATTTAAGATATTCTGAGTGTAATGAAGAAGCTTATGGTTTTACAAAGATGTTTATATTTTTTTTTAATCTTTGCACAACTTTTTTACTAGAAATATTGCTCCTACTTTTAAGTGGAGCACCTTTTCTGAAAGGTAATAAGTGTGGGAAGCTTCTTTAATAGGCCATTTTTAAATTTCCTCAAGAGTTTTCCCAAAAAATGAGAAAATCCGGGAAAAAACTTAGGAAATCCGGAAAAACGTAAGAAAACCGGGAAAATTGGTACAATATTAAACAGATATTATTAAAGAAAATTTATAAATTCTATTTTATTATTTTACTATAATATGACATATATATTGTCGAAAAAGCATCACCATCAACTGAACTCTGCTCTTAATCGTTTTTCATTAACAATGGTTTATTGTTGGCTCCCCATAATCCTATAACGTCTTTTTAATTTAAAATACAAAAATAATATTTAGTTTATAAAATGTATTTTATTAGTATTCAGACAAACCATATTAAAAAATAAAAATAAATTAGATGATAACAATTGTTTTTATATGTAATGTTTTAACTTTAAATATATTTTTATATATTAGGTATTAAATTTTAAATTAATTTAAGAACCAGTTAAGAATCCATAGTTTATAAGTCCAACATAGGGCGAAGTCACCTATGACTAGTGTCCCTGCTATGGACACTAATTTTTATTTTATCCATAAATAGTGTAATTTTTTAATTTGAAAATGGTTATTTTTGTATTCAGCTACATTAATTAATTGAGTGGTTGATAATGTACAGAAATATTACTCCGATTTATAATGACAGCACTTTTTTTAAAAAGAAATCTGACCGAGAAGGTACTTTTGACAAGTCATTTTTTGATTTTCTCAGAATATTTGCCAATAATTAGGAAAGAACATGGGAAAATTAGGAAAACAGGAAAATAGGTGTAATATTAAAATAAATATTATTAAAGAAAATATTTTATGCATATGTAATTATTTTACCATAATATGACCAGTGCAGTAATAAGATACATTAAATTTGTATCTAGATACAGATACAAGTATTTTAAATTACATTTAATAAAATAGATACATTTTTTAATAAATATTTAATTCATTAAAAATATATGATTATAAAATTATAAAAAACAAATAATGGGTACATAATTTATAATTTTATGTCAGTTTTTGAATATCATTTCATTCTTATAAAGTTATAAGTTATAATACATAATATATAACAAAATTAAAGTATTGGTTTATTATTGGTAGGTAAATATAAAATAAATAATGGGTATTATTCACTTGTTAATATACAATAGTCATACACTCATTCATAATAATTTATAATAATATAGAAATCAAAAAATATTAAACAATAAGTAAATATCACAATAAATTGTTGATATTTTTATTTAAACAAAATTAGATTTTAAAATTTTACATTTTATTTGTGTATTTTGTTGAACCAAAAAAGTAAGAATTCCATCTTAAAAAGTATCTTAGAAACTTTTGTTAAGATATACAATATTTTGTATCTAAGATTTAGATACAGATACATATTTTTAGAAAGTATAAATACATGTATTTAGATATATTACAGCACTTAATATGACATATATATTATTGACAAAGCAATACTATCTACTGAACTACACTCATATTCATTTTTTCGTAATCAGTGGTTAATCATTGCTTACAGATGTACATTAAATTCCCGTCTGTATTCTACTTTCCCAACTTCCCACCTACAACAGTAGCTACACCCGTCTTCATTATACTAGGACAGCTTTTTTAATTTGATAAGACATATGGTTATTTTTGTATTCGTCTACATTAATGAATTTTATGGTCGATGTCAATTATGACAAAAACGTAGATAGTGTAGGATGGCCATAAAATGTGAAGATGCAATAGGTATTAAATTATTAATACTAATTTTACATTCCATTAGATTCTTGAGATTTTGGAATTCAAATTATATATTATATTACTTAACTTATAATGTATTTATAGTTTAGATTTGTATTCTTTTTCAATTATTGTAGATACATCAAATATTAATTTTAAAAACTTCTATGCCACCCTATAATGATTAATTTAATATATTTTTTAGGAAAATTGTCAGGGAACACTTGGATTGACATAGTAACTGTGATCCTGAAGTGTGAAGAAATATTTGGTACACCAATTTCTTATAATGATGATGGAAATTCAGATTTAGATAATTCACAATCTGATTTATTTATACACAAAAAAACAGTTTCAGATAAAATGGTAGCTCATTGTGTAGAATCACTAATTGGAACTTATGTAAAAGTAAGTTGGTTGAACAAAAATATACCTAATACTGAAAATATATTTTTTTTTAAATTCGAAATTTTAGAGCTGTGGAGTTGAAGTAGGCTTCAAGGTTCTTCATGGTCTTGGTATCTTACCAGAAAGATGTTTTGACAAACCAAAAGAAAAACAATCAAATTATAAATTTCTAAATTGTTCAACAATTTTACCTGGATATGAAATACTAGAAGGTCGAATTGGTTATTCATTTAAGAATAAGAGCTTATTATATCAAGCTCTTACCCATCCATCTTACCAACTTGGAATTACTGAATGTTACCAAAGACTTAAATTTCTTGGTGATGCTATACTAGGTTAGTTAAAGGTATTTTGTTAAAATAATCATTTCATAAAAAAATTAAAATAGGTAAACACTCCAATATTAAAACTAACAAAACAAGATCATTTCTTCTGAACAATGAGTGTTTTTTCGTTTACGACGTGCTTTGTAAATTATTTACCATACGAGAGATGACTTCGGTTGGCTCTGACAGCATTCCTCAACATTTTATCTATTAGATTATGCGAATTATCACTTTGTCACTATAGTTGTTTTTTGACACTCCCTTGATGAAGGTGTTTTCCCCGGAATTTATAAAATCAACCACATAACTTCAATTTTCAAGTCTAGTATTATGCCAGACATAAAGAACTACCAACCAATATCAATTCTTTCTCATTTGTCAAACGTGTTTGAATCTCTAGTTTTGGATAGTATTATGCCCTTTTCAAATTCAATCTTAATCGATGAGCACTATCATTTTCATCAGGGACGTTCAATTGAAACTTGTAATAATACATTTTGTAAATATATTTATGATCCATTTAAATATGGATCCCATGTGGACGTTATCTATACAGATTTTACTAATACATTCAACTCCTTGAACCATGAAGCATTTGTACCTGTAGTGGTAGTGCTTGGGTTCAGTTATCCTCTATTAGACTAGATACGTTCCTATATTCTAAATAAGCCTCAATGAGTTAAGCTTTTCAGCTTCGTCTTGTATATTTATAACCACGTCTGGAGTTCCACAAGGTATATATTAAATTACCTATAACAGTGACTGTACCTGTCCTCATTATCCTAGGACAGTTTTTTTTTAGCATTAATTGTTTAAATTATTATAGAAATTTTATAATATTTCAGATTTCATTATTACAACATATATAACTGAGCATTGCAGTAATAAAACTACTGAAGAAATAACAGATATTAGATCATCACTAGTAAATAACATTACATTTGCATCATTAAGTATTCGCATTGGGTTGCATAGATTTCTTCTGTCTAATTCAATAAAATTAACTGAAGCAATTGATCGTTTTTATGAATATCAACAAAGAATTGACCATAAAATTAGCCAAGAAGTAAGACTAAAATAAATTAACTTTCATACTGTCATATAGTTGATTATTATTTATTTCTTTAGGTTCTATACCTTATAGAAGAAAGAGATTATTGTGTTGCTGAATCTATTGATGTACCAAAAGTATTGGGAGACTTGTTTGAATCACTAATAGCTGCAATTTATTTAGATTGTGGCCGAGATTTAAATTTTGTCTGGTCTATTTGCTATAAATTTTTGGAACATGAAATTAGTAAGTTAAAATATATGTGATAATATTCATGGTTTGATAATTTATGTCAAAAATAATGCATTTTATATAAATCACGCATTCAAATTATGCGTGAATATTTTAATGTAATATCTCTTAAAATTACTTTTTTATACTACCTATTTATATTTAGTTTACTACTTTAATTTTGAAAACATGTTGATAATATAATATACCAATTAGGAAATTTAAAAATAACATTATAAATTGGTTAATAATTTTTTGATTGCAGAGGAATTTTCTACAAATGTTCCCAAAAATCCTATATGTGTTTTAAACCAAATTAAAGTATGGCCAATTTTCAGGTTTGTACTATTCTAATATAAATTTCAATTACTTACACATATACTAAAATTGATAAATTTAATATGTATTTAAATACTGCATTCACTAAATTAGTTTTCGTATTTCATTATCGGAAAAACCATTTTTAAAACATGAATATATTTTACTATACAATATATTTATATTTTACATAAGAGGTAATTTAGGTGTGAATTTGATAGTGGACAAAATGAGAGAAAATAAATAGAGACGGTTTGGACGTCATAAGAAGAGACGAATGGGAAAAGTAAGAATTGTAATGAAAATGCGATCAAATCAAGTGGAAGTTTAGGACTAGGGTTGCTGATCCCAAATAGTTGAAATGAAATTATGAAGACGAAGGAGAAGAACAAGAAATTTAACATTTTTTAAATAAGATATAATTTTCAGTTATTAAAAGTATCCTAAAAATCCTTAGAACTTTATTTATGTAATTAGTAGGGTACGGATTATAATATAAATTGCATTTTTTCTAAATGTCGTAGGGCAATGCTTTTCATGCACACAATTTGTTTTATATGTCGAAGAATTAAAATTTGAAATTTTTATTTTGCATTTGTTTATAACATTTTAGTGCATGCATTTTTAAGTTTTAAAGTCATTTTTTTTTCGTTTTACAAACTTCATAGTTATCAAAATATTTGATAAAATTTATTTTGATTTTCTTCTACTATATAACCATATAATAAAGGTCAGTCTTACCACACTTTTGTAGAACTTAACTTTAAGTCTCATTGGCCTATTATGAATAATTATTCTATATATTTATAATAATGTTTCTTGCAACATTTATACCTATTAATATTAGTAGTTTTTTATTATAACATATTTTAAATATCTATCTTGATAGGTACCTGTTTTATTTGGCTATTTGAAAGATAAGTTTATGAATAATACATACATATTCAAAAAAAATAGTTATCTTTATTTTAATTTAAAAATATATATCCTAATCTACTCTTATCAACTCTTAATAATGTGTTAGTATTATAATTAAAACTTTATACATTTAAGCTTTTGAGCGGACATACAAATATAATTGCTTAACTATAAAATGTAGGTACTTATTATTTATTTTTCTGGTCTGTGAACAACTTTTCTATCAGAAATTTTAAATTAAATAAATAAAAAATTACAAGAGTAATTTTCCCAAAATATGTATATTGTCATTTTTTAAATGTAGTAAAACATTTTGAATTTTTAAGCTATTAAAAGATATTTGACCTTTTAAATATTTTTTTCAGTTTTTGTTTGATTTTATGTTTAAAATTGTTTTGGGTGAACAAAAATATCTGAAAATTCAACACGAGGTTAATCATAAATTGCATTTGGTGGTGAAAAATAGATTAATATTTTTTTTATAACAAGTTTCAATTTCAACAATTATAAAAATTCTAATAATTAAGGCATTTCAAAATATTTATAACTGAACTTCGCTTAGAATCGTATTTTGTCAACAAGTTTTAATTATTAGATAGAGATATAAATTAAATAATTATGTATCTTAACTATATAACGTTTTTTATTTTACTAATAACCTTTTGAGAAAATGGTTGCTATGGTAATTTTTAAATGTTCTCAATTTATTATTTATAGAATTACCCAAATGTTTTTATTGATTATAAATACTATACACTGTGTTTTATTTATTTTTCAAGTTTGTTATTTTGTTTACAGTAAACCTCCTGCTTTAAAAAAATCAATGGAAAGAGGTATGGAAACCATGATGCAGCTAGATTTAACTGTAAATAATGAAATCATGACTATTTATGGATTTGGCAACAATAAAAAGGAAGCTAAAGTTGCTGCGGCCAAGATGGCATTAAAACATTTGAAAAAAATTATGTAAATACTTTTTTTTTTTTATGTGTACGTAAACTAATTTTTTTTTGAGAAAAAAATTTTAATGAGGAACACATTAATATTATAACTATGTAAAACGACCAATTTGTATAATTTTACTTTTTATGTATTCCTTCATTTAATTATACTTAACGCTTAATATTTTGTCTTTCGCGTTCTTCTTCCGCTCGCTTTGAAAGCACTTGGCAGACATCTCTTTACTGCTTCCCAGTTATTTCTGGACTTAAGTATGTTGTTAACCATAGTATCCGGCTCAAAGACGACTCCAATACGTTTTTCAAGTTCCCTTTGGTGCCGGTACTAGCAATCGCATCAGAATATCGTGTGTTCCGATTATCCATGTCTACTTGGCAATCTGTACACATCGAGTTTTCTCGCTTTCTGAACTTATGAGGATACTGGCCAAAACATCCATGACCTGTTAGAACCTGCGTCAGATGGTAGTCAACGAAGTGAAACTGTTTGGTTGATCACTGCTTAATGAGCCTCCATGTCCATCGTCCCGTTTCAGCCGCATCCCACTCCTGCCATATCCTATATGTTTCTTCTCGCTCTCCTCTTCCTATTTCTTTTTGCCCTGATTCTGCTCTTTTACCGTATTTTATTTGCCTTTTCTTGGCCAGTAAGTGTACCAGAATAAGCCCCGTTACTACCATAATTCAGTCGTGGAAACCATCCTATACACCATCGCCACTTTAAGTGCAATAGATCTTTGGGGTCTTAGAATTATAATATTTACTTTGTATACTATTGAGCCCGCTCGATCTGGAGCCGCGTATATCAATTGACTGATAACTACTGACGCTAATAGCTGCTGTTCTCACTGTCTTGAGCCTCCAACGTTCGACATCATATTGTCTTTGATAGGGCTGATGGTGTGGAGGATGCTTTCGCCACAACAGTTTCCAGGTTATTTTTATATCCCAAAACCCTACTTAGCTCAACTACTAGGTATCGCACTTGTTTCTTTAGTTGAACCTGAACTCCTCTAATCCTAAAATTGGTCTTCTCATATTATCTTTTTAATATTATGGTTTCTGTCTTCTGTATAGATAGTTTAAGTCCACTATCTTTCACCTATATCGATAATAACTCCAAAATTCGATTCATAGTTTTCTCTAGAATAACCCACCATTATATTAATTTATACATTTATTGTACCTGTATACAATTTATTAAGTCACACCGTATTATTTATTAAATAGTTTTTTGCTAACAATATTTGTAAAGGTGGCAAATAAAGAATAAGAAGTGATAACCTGGCACACTAAAGTCCTGTAGATAATTTTATTGAAAGGACTTCTAACATGTTCACCGTTGATTATGGCAATTTGTTCTCAACCACTTTTTAAAAAGTATTTATCATATTAAGTTAGGTAAAATAAAAATCAAAACTACGTTATTAATATAATTATACCAAACATTTGGTATCGTAATATTATTTTAAATATTATTCATAAAAGAACTATTAATTGTTGGTAGTTAATAAATCGTTTTTATAATAAATAACTATTATCTCGTAACCATTTATATTTAAAGTATTCAACGTCAGGTGGTTTTGAACTGACTATGACAATCGTCTCCTAAATTTAACAACTTTTTGAGGAATTTCTTCAATAACTCTTTTTGTAGATTGCTATTTTAATACAGCAATGCTGTTCATGAAATGGTTAGAATTACGGCGTCAATCAATCTGTGAGCGCATTCAGTTCATGGCTTAAAATAAACAGGTTAAGAAACGCAGCTGTGATTATTGAGGCTATAGCCTGTCAATCCTCAGATACCAGCGAGAATGATACCTAGTGCCTCATGCAGTAATATTTAGCTTTATTTCTATTTTTCTATGATACTTTATGAATTTTGCTATGTATTTAAGTTTTAACTATGGCTTAAACCATCTTAAAACATGATTTTAACTTACCCCGTAAACAACACAATATTTAAAGATTTTTTTCTTTTTTTATATAAATACATTTATAACAATTATAATACATAACGATAACACGGATAATATAAAACATATATTAATAAATAATACGTAACTGAATATAAGTTTTGAAAGTTTCTTTTTGGCTCTATTAATTTGATTTTTGATTTTTAATGTATATAAATTGCCTCATACACATTGTTATTTACATGGTAAATATATCTGTAATTATTTCATATTTATGAATAGAACATGAAAATGTCAGACTTTTAAATGAAGAAAAAATTCATTATAAGTATTTATGGTGTATTTCAATCTATTACGCCATATACATAATTGATTATTTAAAACAGAATGAAATTAGAAATGTTATCATTTTAAAATTAATTTACTAAAAAAAATTTAAAATGTTTTAGAATTTAATACCTAGCGCCATCTATTATAATATTTAAGTAATTTGCATGTCTCCAGTGACCATTGAATTCTACAAATTGAGAGCCAAAAGATGTTTTTACACCTTGACAAACTTTAACTTTAACAAGCATATTTAACATAGAATACATGTTAAATTTAATGTTTCACCATAATTATCTATTCCAACCTGTGATAACTTAATTTGTTTCTTATTAGGGTAAAATGTTGGTTCAGAATCTATAAATATATTTTTATGATAAAGTTAAGTTAGTATCAGAAGTACACATATTTTTTTATGTAATTGAAAAATTATTGTGTACTCTACTAGTCATTATGACAAACATTTAGATGTAGATGTAACTATTGTTTACTTGGTTTAATACCTTTTAATATAAGTAATCATTTTCCACAATTCTTTTATTGTATACTTGGAATGGACTGAGAGTAAAATAAGTTTTTGCTATAATAGATACATTATAAGTAGTAATATCACACAAAAAAGCATGGATAGTGAAATTGAACTTTCATCATTTATCAATACATTATCTTGAATTACTATTTCAGATATCAATTCAATTACACTGTCAGATAACAACATTTTAAAATAAATTTATTTTTAATTTACTTTTGTTGTTGTTATTCAAATTATAATTTATTCAAACCTAATTGCATGCTCATTTGGCAAATGGTGGTTCAAACTCATAATTTAGTTCAACTTTAAAATAATTGTGTTCATCAAACATTGTCATTGTTTCATTCACCTAATAATATGTTTAAATTTGTAAAAATAAAATATTTGAACTATTAATATATATATACTATTTCCTAAAACTAACCTGGTTTATATCATTAACTTCACCACTTATATTATTAATTGACATAGTTTCAGGTTTTAATATTGGTTTTCTTAGACAAATTTAGAAAATACTTAATATCTATTAATTTTTAATTATATATATATATATATATATATATATATATATTATTTTATGAATATATATATATTCATATATTAAATAACTTAACATAAAGTTGTATTATAAAATTATAATTTCACATTAATGAATTAGTAATTCAATTTACTAACATGAAGTAGTTAAACTAGTTTTAAATTTAAAAAACTCGAATCTAATAAATTCTAATTGTGTTAGGTATACCAAATACATATATGATTTCAATAGGACATACCAGATTTAGTTACTACCATTACCAGATTCCCATGTTGATGAAATATCACTGGGTTTAAAGTGGTTTACACAAACTCTTGAATTCCTATTTAATGGACACCCAATAATATTTTCCTAAACATCAATCATATATTTAGAAACACCAAATTTAGAAGCGGTATTTTGACTAAACCCAGGAACACAACACTGGTTGGAAACAACATCGGAATAAAAAAAAAAATTATATTTGTTAAGTATACTAAAAGTATTAAACTACTAAAAAGTAAAACAATGAAAAAAGGAAATTTGTGTAAAAGTAAATTATTGAGGGTATATTAATAGTTAAATAAATTATTACAATTATATATTGGTGTTTTATACTATAACAGAAAAAATTAAAAAGTCAACTTTGAAAATATATTAGATATTATATGATTAATGATATTAACACTGTTAAAATAAATTACGTTTCTATAGTAAATTTTCAGAATTAAAAATTAAAATATTAACGAAATTTATGTTTTAGTTTCTATACAATTTATGTCCATGATTATTTCATAGATCTGTGACAAGAGATAATTAATTTAATAAAATTATGATTTATCATGGAATAATAAAATGTTAATAATATATTTTTCTCCATGGTTGCTCTGATTCTATATTGGCGACAATTATCGATACGTCAATAGTACGGAAAACGCAGTCATTTTTTAATAGATCTATGCATATTACATATAACAGGCAACCAGTTCTATAATTTTTGTATACTGTATTTTTACCATAAATAAAAATGACACTGTAAAATATACACCGTTTACGCCTTAATTTATGAACATTGACGAAATACAGAACGGCCTCTTTATATTACTCTATGCTTCCACGGCAGGGGGTCTATTCTGCTAATGAAACTACGCCAAGTACACGCGTACCTGATTTACTCTTTTGGCATAGTACTATTCCACTAAAATTTTTACTTTGCATACTTCGCGTATTGTTGTGTACTTGGCTTTCTTAAAGTATGCCAACTACGATACATCGGTAGGTGTCGTTGTTGACTTACTTAGCGTACTTTCTTGTATATATTAGATTTGGTTATTTTTTAGGGTTGTTATTATTGATTGTTTTTATTATTATTTGTTTATCTACGATGGCCATGTGTTGACTGTTGGTCATTTATACAACACACCTAATACTAAATTTTTACTTAAAACGAATGTGACGTGACTAAATTTTTTGTTTGACGAGGACACGAGATGACGAGAGTAGACAGTTAAGGATAGAGCGAGTCCTTATTCGTCAACGGACAGTATATCGGTTGTCCGACGAAGAATTTCGTAACAATTTTCGAATATCAAAACATACATTTGAACGTAACAAATAACTTTATTCGAATTTGAAAAACACTAAAATAGACTCGACATTTTACATTAGAAACCTCTTAAGATATTCCATCAGTTATCACTTATCAGTTAATATCTGTGTTATCAACATAACAACTAAGAAAAATATGCTAGTACAGAAAAAAGCAGAATAGACCCCCAGATTTATTTTATTTTGTTGATACCATTAGATGATACATTTCAATGGCATGTATTAGTATATTTAAAATTTAATTGGAATGTGTTGTAAAGTATTCTAAGACTTTAACTTAAATATCATCTACAATAAATGAATATTTAAAATTTAAATTTTGTATACAATAACAGTTACTATAATATCGTACTGAAAAGAAGACAATAATATTATTTTAAAATTGGCTACACTGCTGAGTGGCGTCTTCCAGCTTCAATATAGAAATCGAACGCCAACTCTTTCTTACTTTATAAGTCATACACACGGCTATGGCCTGTGGTATTGTAGTATAACCCTACCGCTCTTGATGCCCGACAACAAAACGTGCCGGTCGCCGATCACTAACAGGATATGGTCTTCGAAAGAAGAAACAAGATAATCAATATACAGGCGATCATTTATTTGGTGAAAGTTACAATCATTGCAAACTCAAACTATGCCGGAGACCTTTCGCCACGCTGGCTTCGTGGAGGTCTCGTTGGGCACGATGTTAATCGGCATGGCAGTGCTCAACATGATTTCTTCTAAAGTACGAATTTCGCAGTCATTGCGGTCCGACAGGTATGTGGCGCCAAGTTAGGCGAACAAACACTCGATCCGCTGGTACCCGACCGTGGCTGCATTGTTCATTGTTCCGGTGTGCATGGTTTGGTTGATGAAGTATAAGTAGATTCCCATTCTGGTTTATAGCTAACACATGCCTGGCGGCCGGGCCAATATACATTTCCTGCTACATTTCCAAGTCAAAAAAATATGCCGCCCTTAGAATTACGCAAAAGGCTTTCTGATGAATCACGATTGAAGACGAATATTGCGTATTAATTGCTGTTCCTATTGGTATGGGTGAAGAAGAATGTAATCAACATTATATAATGGTTTTATAACTTAATTGCAACAAAAACAAGCAGCGGGCATCATTAATATTACAGCACTTGGAAGCACTCAGGTATTTAAATCTGTCATTAATTATTTGAAAAATAGACATGATAGCAAACTAAATTATAACATTCTATACTTGTTGTTTTTCAGAATGCTTACATAGTGTGCATGTTCCCGCCATGTGATTATATAAAGATTGTTATAGCTGAGGTTTACCCAGTTATGGAGAAAGACATTATAACATCTATGGCGCATCTGACAATTGTAATAGCTACAGTGTAAATAATCTATAATGAGTACAAATTTCATATTTCTTCTAACGCATTAGGTGCACTAAGTATAAATTATTATAGTTCATAAAATGAAATCAAAATAAAATAAATAAATAGTTTTTTATTTAAATATTTTTGTTATTTGTTTATTTCTAGCCAATGAGTAGTAGAATTTAAAATTTACATTAACATATAGAATACATATTATTGATATAATTTTAACAGCCAAATGTTATGTTATTAAGTGGAATGAAATTAATGAGTGTTTATCGTAATTAAAGAATAATTTTAAAACAGACATTATTATTTAGTAAAATGTTTTATGTACTTATATAGAAAATCGATACATAATACACGAGTTGAAATATTTTTTTTTAATACATTTATTATAATAATATTATATATTATGTAAATGTTTGTATAAGTATAATAAAAATAAATATATATATTAAATCATACACTCATATATTTATAATTAAAATAATAAATTGAAATATTTAATCCAAAACACTACTGTACATAAAATATTCTATTATTAAATGTGTTTTGCTCAACTAATTTTAAATAGTCAATATTTATATGCACATATAATATTTAGTTAGTTGATATGACTGTAATATATTTAATTTAAATATAATATTATAACTTAAACTATGTTTATGGTTTGGTTGATGAAGTATAAGTAGATTCCCATTCTGGCTTATATCCAACACATGCCTGGTGGCTGTTACAAATTGATGACTAAACATCCTAGAACAAAAGGTCCAGAACGAATTTTTGAGTAGATTAATAAAAAATTAAAGCTAAAGCAACTGAATGTGCAAACTCACAGAATACAGAATTGTATATTTTTAATGTGTATGTTCTTTTGAGATAAAATTAACAAATATTATTAATAAATTATAACTTTTAAATGTTTACTCTTGTTCTAGGTTATTTAGTCATCGATTTTTCATCAGTCTAAGGTCTAGTCACGTCTAGAACAGTAAATAAAGGTTCTTCGAGGTTTATTTATACTTAAGTTAAAATAAATATTGTAATGTTATATCCACAATCTGTAAATTAAATTATGATTATCAGTTATCATAATTTTTAAACGTTAATATATATTAATATTTAATACTATTAATTACGTTGTATTCCAAGATATTCTATTTTTTTATTTAGTGTTTAACTAAACAAATAAATTTAATAAGGATTTTTAATCCAGAAATGTTTTTACTAAAAAAATTATTTTAACATTGTAAAAAAAATTGAATTAATTACATCTAATTATTTTCCAATAGAAATCCCATTTTATACATTATAGTCTTATAACATTAATGTATTTGAACCATACTTTTTCCTAAAAAGTGTTAACATTTTTCAAAAATAATCCGTTTACTAGTTTCCTATATCGTACTCTATAGATATTTTTTTTCTTCTGGCTTTATCTACTCTACAAGAGTTTTTGCCGCCATAAAAATTCCACACCACTTCTCATAATCCATTAACACGGATTATGTTTCTCCAATCATCTATTCCTATCCTTTTTAGATCTTCCTCAATCCATCCAACTTTTCCTCGGGCGTCCTCATGGTCTCTTACCCGTTGGTTTCCAAGACATTACCGTTTTAATTATCCTATCATCACTTCCACGCATAATGT